CAATTTAATCGATAATTCCCCGAATTATTTATTTGATTATGATGATTTTATTAATAAGAAAATTTCTATGTATATTGTTTTAAAAAAAAATTCAATTATGGTGTTCGCATTTGAAACAAAGAAAGGTAATCAATTAGAAATACGTCGCTTTTCGAACGATATGAAAACCATATTTTCGATAAAGTTATTGCTATAAAGCTAAGAAGTTTACGTCAAATAAAAATGCTCAAATAAGATTCGAGTTACCAATTAGAGTTTTTTTAAGATTCGATGAAAATAACAAATATTATTTTTCTGTTGATTTCCATTTGAATTCAAACTATTTGAATGAGGTTCTAGCCGAGTGTAGATATCTTATCAAATATTAAATATCATATTCTAACGTAAATTTTATTCGTGAAATCTCTCATATCTTGGATCACTAACTGAAATTTTTGACTTTATCTAATGTCAGTTTTTGTTGACTTGTTTGATCCTCAGTCGACACGTCAATAAGAGCAAAGAATTGATAGTATTCTTTCTTGCAAATGTTATGATCTGAGAAAGTATGAACATTTGTTCTCATTAAAACATTTGATATACGATATGCATCATAAGGTTTTGTTGCAAGACAAAACTTCAACTCTACTACGCAATGTTAAATTTCTTGTGATGCACGATAAACTATGTCATAAGTTACTAATCCAGCTATATCTCAAAATAATCAATCATATTATAGATTTGACTAGAGCTAAGTCTTTGATGAAAAGTTTTTTTTTTAGCGCCAGAAGAAAATTCTTTATAAAAATGATGAAATCAATAGTTTATTTAATCAATAGAAAAAGTATTAAAATCGTATGAGTCAGTTGCTATTTATTGTTCTCAATGATATGATCACAAGAACTGTATTAACTACATATAATAGTTGGTTAAAACTAATTTAGTAATAGATGGATTCTCTTTGAAAATATCGTTCAAATTCGAAGAATACATGTATGAACTTTTTATAAAAAGGCAATATATTCATCTTTCTTTTAATTAAACTCTGGGAGATAGAGTCCTGCATCGGGTCGGGTTTTCAAACCCGATGCATTCACCGTTATTCATAGTGAATATAACAACTAACAACGATGCCTGGTCGAATGTGAGTGACAGACACCCATATCGAAACAAGCAGAGCTGGTGGTCTTTGAGCCAATAGTGGATATGTCGGGTTTGAAAACTCGACCCGATGCAGGACTCTACTGCGAGATTATCTATTCCACTAAGAATATGTATTTGTGATTCTATCTTAATCATAATTCTTCTATTGAATATTTCTGTACATATACTAAGAATTTATCTTCTTCATCTTGATAAAATATGAAATAACTTTACATCTAATATTTCTGAGTTTCGTTCTGTCATCTAATAGATAGAATGAAAAAAGAAATTCATTTATTGATAAAATTAGCTGATTTCACTAATTGATTATGATTAAAATTGATAAATGTAGACATCAACTGTAGCTGCGTTAAGTAATCTTTATCTGAATTCACTGAATGTTATCTTATAATTAAAAGCTGTTATTTTTTCATATTTCTTACTTAATCTCTGTAACATCTGAATTTCCATTTGTTGTTAATGGATCATTAAAAACTGATCTTTAACATTTTTTTTAGTATTAGTCTGATGAGTTGAAAAACGTTGAGACATTCTAAATAATCATTAGATATTAACTCAATATTAATTATATGATTTAATGCAAATAATTAAATTTTACTTCGTTTTATGTTATACAATTGAATGTGTAGATGACGATTGAAAAGCGCGATGAAATGTGATAAAATGATTTATTTATTTTCTTCAGTGATGACGTTCACTTACATATATGTGCCTACTTTCATTTGTAGTCAAATAAACATCGTTTTTCTCGAAAAAGAGAGAGCGAGAACATATTCGAGGTCAGTACAAACGCACACTATTCGTTGTTCGTTTCTCGTCTTTTCTCTTTCTATCTTTCTATTCATTCTTTCTTTCTGTTATTATTCGTTAGTCATTTTCGACTTTACTTATTAAATTGTGAGATTTGAGTGACTTATCTCTGTAGTTTAAATCATTCAAATTGAAGAAAATTTCATTTTGGAATATCGAATTTTATAAAAAAAAAAACATAATCATTATTTAGTTAGATTAATACACTTTCTCATGTTATCTTCTATTCATTTCTCTCCTGAACATTTCGAACTTCGTTTTTTATCCGAATGCAATATGTTAATGTATCAGAAACATTTAATGGAAGTCAAAAAGAAAAATATGAGGATGCTATTCAACGAAGACTAGTTTCTGTACCCGAGCAAGAGTTACAAATACATTAAAAACTGATATGATCCACATCCATATTAGAGAAGTTCCATGTGTTTTTTTTGTATCCAGAATTTTCTCTCCTTATGTTATTTTATCATAAATTTATATGTTGTAAAAAAAAACAATATCTCTAAATTAATTTTTCAAAGGTGCTTTAGTATTGGAACCAGAGATGTCCATCGCGGCTGAAAATCTGCCGCTGCCGCGCCGCGGCCTTAGAAAAAAAAAGCTGCCGCACCGCTGCCGCGCCGCGGTGGTTTATAAAAAAATGTTGCCGCGACGCTGCCGCACCGCGATGACTTATAAAAGAAACGCTGCCGCGCCGCTGCCGCGATGAATTATAAAATAAACGTGCCGCCACCGCGCCGCTGCCGCGACGATTTTCAAAAAAGTGTTTCTAATTTCACTGCTGTGACTATATTTGACCAGAGATATGGGTACTAGTCCATCAGATTTATTCAATATCAGGGCGTTTCATTTGTAAATCGTGAAATTCTATTAAATTCATACAGTTTTTCAATGTCCTCCAAAAAAATCCTGCCGCTGCCGCGCCGCTGCCGCGATGGTTTTTTAAAAAACCTGCCGCTACCGCGCCGCTGCCGCGATGACTTTTAAAAAAATCTGCCGCTACCGCGCCGCTGCCGCGGTGATTTTTTTTAAAAACCTGCCGCTGCCGCGCCGCCACCGCCACCGCGGCAGCGGCAGCGGCAGCGGCAGCGGCGCGGCAGCGCCGCGATGGACATCTCTGATTGGAACATCCAAATTCATTGACATAGAACTTCCAGCTATTACTAATAAATAAAACAAAACATAATTTACTTGTCTACACTTATTTATTATTGATGAAGATTTTCTACTAAGTAATGTTTTTAAAAAATTTGAAGTTTCATCAGACGTCAACAGTGAAAATTTTGTTTTCTTTAGTCATATATTAAATTTCGAAAAAACTTCTGATTGTTAAAATATACCATATAAGTGTATGCAACTATGTAGAAAACTCTTGAATTTCTGTTTCATTGAAACTAGTGACATTCTTATACAATGAAAATCTTCGTGTTTTGTGCTTTTACGTACCTCTAGAGAATGAATTGTTCGGTTGACTAACAATAACTAGTATTAATTGTACGAATAAAAATGATGGACATGTTTTTTTTCCGATTCTTGTAACTTTCAATAGTCATAGTGCAAGATGAGAAAGTCCATGAGACGTTGGTTTTTCTTGCAATATAGTTTTTGCTTATATTTAATTGAAAGCTCTGTTTGTATTTTTATGAAGCAATGAAAGACAAAATACTGCAGTGAGAAAAAATCTCAAATACAAGATGATATTCGTCTTTTCTTAACTTATCAGTCAACTTTGTATATCTGTGTTTAGCTACATAAGTATGACTGTGAACAGCTAGTAGAATAGATACCAACTTTTCAACCGCTTCGTCTAGTAAAATAAATGGTATCTTCTCAAAACTGCCAATGGAAGCGAGAAGTTTATGGAGGTCCTTGACAAAATCAGCGATGCATAAAATATGTTGTTTTTAATCACTTTTCTTCTCTTTCTATGGTCATACTGAACAGAAACATCAGAAATTTAAAATGATAAGCATCTCAAAAGTACTAAATGAAAGCTTTTGTCATAGTATTTTCACGGATTTTGATGTTACTTCTCAGTTTACGTTAAACAACTTCTATAACATTTTTACTCAAGTTTTTATACAAATATATCTTTCTTTCGGTGTAACCAAAATAAATAGAAATTTTTATATTTCAACGGTAATCTCTTAGCCCTTCACTATCTAATTTTTATTTACTTTCTTAAAACAAACTTTGTTAGAATAGAGGTATTCTTTTTGAAAGTTTTGTTGGATTCTCATCTTTTCTATGTCTCAATAATGCATGAGCAATCAAACGTATAGAAAGAGTATGTCGCACCGATATAATAAGATAAAAGAAAATGTATGTTCAAGTCTGACTTCGGCGACTAATAAATAACCTATGGTTGCTGGGACTTTATTAATTAAAGTTTCGTTTAAAACTTTTCTTAATTAGGAAAACCATGTTCATTGTGACTGACGGTGCCAACATTTTCTGTAAGCATTAATAATGTTTTTCGTGGATTTATCTCTGACATCATTGTAAAAAATATACTTAAAAATCTTTATTTTACGAAATAACTGAGTCTCTTCAAGCTAGATTTATTCTATTAGTTGTAGAACTGTTTTAGAGAATGTATGAATAAAAATTGATAACTAAATATGTCACAATATATTACGAATCATCAATAAATATCTTTTAATGTATGAATAACATCGATAGTATTTATCAGTGAATCAGTTTCATCAACTAGGTAAAGTTTTTCAAAATGTTTGAGAAGCAAAAAATTATTTATAAACCTCCGATACTCAATATAGTTCGTTCTGTTGTAAATCATACTATTGTTTCTCTAAAATAGTCAAACTAACGCTTGTATGAAGTTCTGTGTTTAATATTGTAAAATAGATTGCAATTTGAAAGAGAGAAAAAAAGAAATATCTATTCAATTAACGTGTTCATTGTGATTGAGTGCGACCTCTTGTTTAATGTATATGGAAGTCCATGTTATACTATATGGTTAAGTAACTGGAACTTGAAATATTGCAGCAAGAAAAATCGTTTTTTTTTGTGTTTATCATTCTTTGATTATGTCTATTAAAACTACACGAATACCTCGAGTGTTGTCCATTCAAAGTCATGTTGTTCATGGATTTGTTGGCAATAAATGTGCTACTTTTATCTTACAGGTTTTTTTCATTTAATAATATTAAAAATATGATTACAATATTGAATATGGATATTTTCAGCTTTACGGTTTCGAAGTTGACGTAATTAATTCAGTTCATTTTTCAAATCATACTGGTTCATATTCACTATGATGTCTTTTTTTGTTTCTACAATCGATTTGTATTATTAATTAGGATATAATGTAGTAAAAGGTAGTCGATTAAGTGTTGATGAACTTCGAGCTATATTTCAAGGTTTAATCGCAAATGAAATTTTCGAATATGATTATATTTTAACGGGTTATATGGGTTCTGGTGAACTATTGCATGTTGTTGCTGAATATGTACGTCTTATCAAATCAAAATCTCCTCATGTAAAATACCGTAAATACACGAAAAAGAAATTAGTTTCAATTTTTTTTTCGCTTCTATTTGACAATGTTTATCTTTTAGTTTGTGATCCAGTGATAGGTGACAATGGTGAACTTGTAAGTGATACAATCATATTATGATCATTCATTTTTATATCATAGTATGTTGATCAATCATGTGTTGAAATGTATAAGAATGTAGTACTTCCTCTAGCAGATATTGTAACACCAAATGATTTTGAATTAGAGTGAGTAAAAATTTATCTATTTTTAGTTTTTAATCAATTTGATTTAGACAATTACTTGGAAAACAGATTATATGTAATCATGATGGTAATGAAGAACAAATAATTTGGCAATTATTAGAATCTTTACATAATATGGGCCCATCTCATGTTATTATTTCAAGTATATCAGCAGCAAAATTAGGTGGCGATAAAACAATGTTACAAATGTATGCTAGTTCAAAAACTTCTATGAATCAATATGAAAGATTTCGAATTGATTTTCCATATCTCGAAGGTTGTTTTACTGGTACAGGAGATTTATTTTCTGCTTTAATTCTTGCATGGTTTCACAAAGAGAATAACCTTATCGTAAGTCAATTCAATTGTTTGTCGTTAACGAATGTTTTTATTTGCAGTCAACTTGTGAAAAATCCATTTCTGTTCTTCATCAAGTCTTATTAAAAACAATCGGTAACTTTTATTATTTATCCATTGATTTTAGAGTTAAAATGTTTTCATTTTAGAATTATCTGAATCAGTTAATATTCATAATACTTGTGGTAATGAATTAAAGTTAATTGAAAGTAGGACAGCTATTGAAGCGGTTGAAATACTTTTCCATGCAATTATTATCAACAAAAACATTACTTAATAATGTCTAAATTTCTATTGATGATAGAAAAGAATAAACAAACTGATGCATTTTATATTGCTATTATATTGTTGAGATTAGTTGTTGTTGTTTTCGTTTTGTAGATGTTTCAGCGACGTGTTCTTTGTGGTATACAACCATCGAATGTTCCACATATTGGAAATTATTTGGGTAAATTTTGAACAAAAACAAAAAGTCAATCCTCATTGTGTTTGTTTATAGGTGCCATTAAAAAATGGATTGATTTACAAAATAGTGGAGACAATTTAATTGTTATGTTAGCTGATTTACATGCTGTTACAATTCCACGTGAACCTGATGCATTGAGGTAAGAAGAAATAGAATTTAGAAAAATCTTTTTTTAATAATATCTCTTTAGAAAATCAACCTTAGAAACAGCTTCATCATTAATCGCTTGTGGCATAGATCCAAAACGAAGTATTATCTATCGACAATCGGATGTAAGAATTAAGGAAGTAGACATTTTAGACTCATCAACAGGACCATTTTTCATTCATGTTGACCTTATAAAACTTGAGTCGATCAACAATGATAAAAAATTTCGATGATTCGTTGAGATGAAAATAGTCATCACTTCCATAGGATAGTTTTTGTTGTTTTTGCCTCCTTTAAGCTTCATCATCATACTCAATTATCTTGGTTACTTGGTACATTGACTACAGTTCAAAAAGTTGGTCATATTCCAACATATAAAGTATATTCGAAAATCTCTTTTCTAAAAAAACCCTTAAATAAATCAATCATTCATTTTTAGTCAAAAGTAAAAGATGACACGTCAACACCCTTAGGTCTTTTTCTCTATCCAGTTTTACAAACAGCTGATATACTTCTTTTCAAAACAACACATTTACCTATTGGTGAAGATCAAATTCCACATTTACAATTATGCACATATATGATTGAAAAATTCTATCATTATTATAAACAAAATATATTTCCTGTTCCACAAATGATGGCTAGTTCGTAATTTATATCTGTTTATTATAAAATATTTCTTCTATTTCAATAGCTGAAACTACTCGTATTCGAAGTCTTCGTCATCCTGAACAAAAAATGTCTAAATCTGATTATGAAGAACGTTCACGTATTGATATAATGGATGATGAAAAAACTATTCAAGATCATGTCATGAAAGCTTTAACAGATTTTAATGCTCAAGTTTCTTATGATCGTGAACAACGACCAGGTGTATCTAATTTAATCGATATCTATGCTGGTATGACTAATCAATCAACTGAAAGTATTGTTGCTGAAGCACAGCAAAATAATCTTAATACTGGTGCATTTAAAAAACGTCTGGCACAAATAATTATTGAACATTTTCGTTCAAAACGTCTAGAATATTTAAAATTAATGAATGATCGTACATATCTTTTAAGTCTCTTAGATAATGGACGTGAACGTGCTACAGAAATAGCTGATAAAACATTAAATGAAGTTAAACATATCATGGGTTTTCATTAGGTCTTGTTTTGTTTTCTAGATTAAAAAGATAATAGAATGAACGCTTTTGAAACAGAATTAGGTGTACAACCTGAAATAGCAAAAGCTGTAGACGAAATGGGTTGGTTATTACCAACAGATGTTCAAGCTGAAGCTATACCTATGATTCTTGGTGGTGGTGATGTGTTAATGGTATGAACTAAAAAGAATTAAGAGAAAATTTATTTGTTTTTTAAATTTAGGCAGCCGAAACAGGTAGTGGAAAAACCGGTGCATTTTGTTTACCAATATTACAAATTGTACATGAAACATTGAGAGATATTCAAGAAGGGAATAAAGGTCCTCGTACAGGAAAACAAGCTAGCTCACATAATGATGCAAAACCAGTGCAACTTAGTTTTCATGATCGTTCACATGGATTAGGTAAAGTTTTTCCATTATTATTATTATTAGTATTATATTAATTAATATTATTTAGCTATCGATACTGATGGTTTAACATGTCAAAGTCGAGATCAACGAGTATGGAATGGTGCTCGTTCGACCAAAGGAGTCAAAGGCAAAGGTAAATTATCGTTCATAAGTAGCACACATAATTTATTTATTTATTCTTAAAATATTGTTTGGATACAAATTCATTTATAATAGTATCTAAATCAGTTTCAAGATCACATTCAATAAAATGTGATTATTAGCTGACAGAGGGAGCAAAAAATATGATGAGCTACTCAAATCTATCAATCTGATAGAAGGAGAAAAGTTTTTGGGTCTACTCAAGCTTTGTGACTCTACTGCCTATATTGTATTGATAGCTGTATTGTTACACGCATTACATTTTTTTTCCTGTAATGAAGTTTGTACAAGAATATAAAACATAGAAGGCTGATAGGCATCCTCTTTTTACCTTAAACAAAAACAAGAATAGAAAAGTAGCCTCAAACATAAATGTGAGAAAAGTATAGTCACACAGATAGGATAAAATATATTTCGAATATTGTGTGTTAGTCTTTACATATGAACCATCTGAATAGAGAGAAATCAGGTGAAGAAAATATGTCGTGTTGCTTTGCTGGGGTGGTGCCTATGTTATTATTTGATGTTGTCTTTTCTGTCCAATTTGTGTTATCTTAGGTCGATATTATTTTGAAATAACTCAAACTGATCCTAATGGTATTGCACGTATTGGTTGGTCAGTACCGACAGCCCCACTCGATCTTGGAACTGATAATCAAGGTTTTGGTTATGGTGGTACAGGAAAAAAATCATTTGCAAAACAATTTGATGATTATGGTGAAACATTTAGTATTAATGATGTTGTCGGAAGTTTAATTGATCTTGATCAAATGAAAATTCGATTTTATAAAAATGGTTTGTTCAGTTATCATATTTTGATATATATGTAACTCATCTTTAATATTTAGGCAAAGATCTTGGCCATGCATTTGATATTCCTCGTCCTTTACAAGAAAATACATTTTTTGCACATGTTTGTTTGAAAACATGCGACGTTCGAGTAAATTTTGGGGCTGAACCATTTAGAGCAACACCAGTATGTCTCTTATGATCTAGGAAATATAATCGACACATTCCAATGTTTAGACTGATGCTGTATCTATTGATAATGCACCAAAAGAATGTTTAGTTGAATCTCAAGTAAAAGGTAGTGGTGCTAATGTAACAGCGAGACAACGTCCACCAAATGCACCATTAGCAATTATTATGGAGGTAAGAAGTAATGAGTTATCATTTTTGAGTTGTCTCCTCGATGCTAATAGCTATAAAGAATCTGAAAAAGAATTTGAGCAACTGAAAGGATTCTCTGTCAAGATTAGTGAATCTAAAATTTCTAAAACTGACATCTCTTCTATGAACTGCATTCAATTGAGAGAAGGTCTCAAAGTGTCAAGCACGGCGATATTTCATACTACAAAACATAGATGCTCTAAACTTTTAATCGTCATTATGTATTTTTGTAGCCATCTCGAGAATTAGCTCAACAAACTTCAAATCAAATTCGAGTATTTCAAAAATATTTGAATAATCCTCGAGTTCGGTAAGTTTCGAAGAAACAAAAACAATGATTTTAATTCAATTTGGGAAAAATAGAGAACTCGTCATTATTGGTGGTGTAGCTATTGGTGAACAAACACGTGTTTTGCGTGAAGGTGTTGATATAATTGTTGCAACACCGGGTCGACTCGATGAATTAATCAGTGGTGGTGAAATTGATTTAACACATATGCGATTTTTTATTCTTGATGAAGCTGTAAATAAAAAATTTTTTTTTTTTATTTATTCTATAATTACTTTCTTTTTCCTTATAGGATGGTTTATTATCTCAAGGATATAAAGATTTGATAATGAAATTACATCAAAAGATGCCTAGCGTTACAGTAGATGGCAAGCGTTTACAAATGATTGTTTGTTCAGCAACATTACATAATTTTGAAGTTAAAAAACTGGCTGATTCAATTATGCATTTTCCAACATGGGTTGATCTTAAAGGAGAAGATGCTGTACCAGAAACTGTTCATCATGTGGTAAGTTAATTAGCTTCTATCGATTGATCGATTCTTGTTTTGTTTTTCTCTCAGGTATGTTTAGTTGATCCAAAGAAAAATACGTTATGGCGTGGATTACGTAATCATATAAAAACTGATGATGTTCATCTAAATGATGAATTAAATTTTCAAAGTGAATCAAAAGGTAAGAATTTATTCAAACATGTTGGTTGTTTTCTTTTGTTTAATCATCATTTATTTTGATATATAGAAACTCTTTCTGAAGCAATAAAAATTCTTAAAGGTGAATATTGTTTACATGCTATTAATAAGTTTAAAATGGATCGTGCATTGATATTTTGTCGAACAAAACTTGATTGTGATAATCTTGAACGATATTTTATTAAACAAGGCGGTGGTAAGAAATAATTATAATAGATAGATTTTATTATATAGAATAGCAAACTAGGACCAAGAGCGAATAAACATACATTATCATGTGTATGTTTACATTCGGATCGAAATCCAGATGAACGACAACAAAATTTGGAAAGATTTAAAGCTAATGAAGTTCGATTTTTAATATGTACGGATGTGGCTGCTCGAGGTATTGATGTTAGTGGACTACCATTTGGTAAGATATACGAAATATATGTATATTGTAAATTAAATAATTTTTATATTTAGTTATTAATATGACATTACCCGATGAAAAAGAAAATTATATTCATCGAATTGGACGTGTTGGTCGAGCAGAACGGTAATTTATAATTAGTATCTATTTTGTAATTTTTCGTTTATATTTAGAATGGGTTTAGCAATAAGTTTTGCTTCGACTGTGCCAGAAAAAGTCTGGTATCATACGTGTCCAAGCAAAGGTAAAAATTGTCATAATACAAAATTAGTTGAACAAAATGGTTGTTGTAAATGGTATACGGAAATGACTTATTTAGCAGATATTGAAGAACATCTTGGTGAGACAAAAAAAAAGAATATTTTTTTCTAAATATTTTTATTATAAATAGGTGTAACGATTTCTCAAACAGATGAAAAAATGGATATACCAGTAGATGAATTCGATGGAAAAGTTATTTATGGGGAAAAACGAAAACAAGAAGGTTAAAGTGCAGTTTATTTTAAATAAGATTTGTAAATAAGATTTTGTGTTTTTAGTACCGGTATCTAAAGGTCATGTAGATACATTAGCACCAACAGTACAAGAATTAGTTGAACTTGAAAAACGTGTTCAAACATCATTTTTTGCATTACGTAATTGTCGAAATATAATGGCTAGTTCATAAATATAAAGTTATGATTTGGTTTTTTTTTGTTTTGTTGTTATGTTTGCCTTTTGATCATGGGTTTTCTTTCGTTTTTCTTGTTGACATGAACGCATGCGACATTTTTAAAGGACAAAAAAATCAAGATATTAAATTTATTATTCATTTTAAAAATCTTTCTTTCACATAATTCATACAGGTCGTGTTTTCTACAACGATCGCTTTTAGGCCCAATTCCTGTTGGATATATATGTAACAGAAAATGGAACTCTTTTGATTTTAATGCGTCGTATAGATTTCTTTAGTAAAAATTGAAAAGCTATTTTCTTAGTCAGTATGAAGGGAGTAATGTAAAGGAACGAAATTTTATATCGTTATTGTTTATATTTATAAAAGCATGATGACACATACAAAATCGTCACGATAACAGAGATAGACGGTACTGTCTCACGCTTCTCTTTCTTTTCTTGCTCAATGAATACATTCAATGTTCTTTCCACACGAATGGAATCGTGAAGATTTGACCAGTGTTGCATAGCTATGAACTAGAGCGCGAAGAGATACAGGACAATCTCGTCTATTTCTGCACAATAATATTAGTCGTCATGTATATTTTCTCTTTTTGCACATTAGGCGTACGTTTATTTATATTTATAATTTTTTTCGATGTACGTTTGACATAATCATTTATTTTCTTTATTATTATTTGTTTTTCGTTAGTTACTACCATATTTTTTTTTCATTTATGCTTCATTAGGCTCATTTTTTTTTCATGCTCTTTTCCCTTATTTCTGATTGATTGTGATCTTCTTTTTCTTGTTTACCATTGATATGATACAGTCATGGGTTTTTATGGGCTCTTTACTCTTATTATCATTGTACTATTGTCGACCACTTTTGACCGGCAGCTGGAACGAAGTCCAGTTATATATCTTTATGAGATCTAAGATCTTCATCTTAAAGTCATATACTTTTCTGCATGTGATAATTTTATTAAATCTATAATGAGTTCTTAAAGTTTTACCTGAAGATATAAAATTATTTCTATCGTATTACTAACTGGTAATCAAGTTTCACATGATTGCGAACTTCGATGCGAAACTTCGAATGTCGATTACGGAGAAATCGATAAGTCATAAAAATAAATACTCATTTCTACAACTGAGTATGCAATGCTTTTGTATCACTGTAATCAAAAAAGTATCGATGATGAAAATTAATACTAAGAAAACTCAAAGAATAGCTGTCAAAATGTTTCTAATGAATACTTTCAGTTGTTCTCTTGAGTTTCATTCTAATTCATCGTCTATTATCTGTTGTATTCACAATTGTCATATATAAAATCGTTTGTTTAAAGAAAGTGTAGTGGCTGACTGTTGATTGCTGTCTTCGTTTGAATTATGTCGATGGTTAAAAAGAAATAAAGTCAACAATAGTTTGCTTTATTTGATGGCTTTCTGTAAGAGACGCAAAACGGATAGTATCGGTTCGATCTGGATATTTTCATTTCGTATTTGAATGAACATCATTCTGATTTTCTGTGCTCGACACTATCGTATCAAAAAATGACAAATTTCAATGCGTATGAAGAAATTACTATAAAGATGCTGAACATCGTAGAAACTATACAAGATATTTTTTTGTACTTATGGAAGCCTTCTTGAATGTTTGATGAACGGTTTAGTAATATATGACGAGAAAGTGTTATTTCTAATATGTTATAATTAAAATTTGTATAGTAAATTTGTCTCTTATCTTCATTATAAAATCTGGTAGTTATTCGTATTCTTTGATCTATTTAAAAAATCATGACTCGACCAAATGTTTATTAGATTGATAATTACTTTTATTGATATCTATAACATTTATCTACGACGTCAAAACAACGGAAGAGAATGATTATTTGGTTTTCTTTTTAAATATAACTAGTTTTCTAAGTGTCCTTTATTGTAATTTACAAACATATTACATTTCGAAATAATATCAAATTTTATTTTATTCTTGCATTAAATAGAATAAAAGAAGATGAAGATTTAATGTTTATTCATGGTTTTCATTGGTGTTGTTGATTTTACATTAGCAGAATTTTTTGAATCATCTTTTAAACGTTGTTTATCTGCTAAAAACAGAGCACGGGCTTCGTCATCATCAACATTTCCCTCATTTCGACATTGATACATTTCAAAACAATGATTAGGTGTGTGGGAATTATTAGCTTTCGTATAAAATCGATGCCTCATCATTTTGTCTGGACTGTTATTTGCCGATGAAGTTTGTTGTTCAGTTTCCTAATTAGAAAAATATACAAAAAACATCTAGTTGTTTAATTTTAAATAAACAAACTTTTGCTATTGCACTCGGTATATCCATTGCATGAGTGCTATTGACACCTTGTTCTTTAGCTTTGATTCGTTCTACATCGTATGTCACATCACCTGAACGAATATAATCATAAAGTTTATCAACATCTTCAAATATTTCGTCTTCGGAAGTATGTCTGATATGAGAATAAGATCCTTTTTGTTGATTTTTGTTCGATTTTCCATAATAAACTGAATCTCCGCTTGCTGAATTTCCTTGTTTGGCGTCTGATGATAAATTTTCTTCGAATGTTCCGTTACTATCTCGATGAACGTATGCAGTATATATGGTAGATGATGAATCTTCCAAAAAATGACAGATACTATTTGATTGTTTACCAGAATGTCGAAACTGATCTTGAGACACTTCATCTAAATTAGAATCAGATTGAGAACGTTTTTTAAGTAATGGTGGTTTTCGTTGTCTTGTATTGTTGTTTAGTTGAAGAGGAATATTGATAAGTGATATTTCGGTTTGATATTGTTTAATTATTTGAAAGCATGTTTCAATTAATTTTTGAAAACTTTCAGTTTTAGATATATCAGACATGTTTAAACAAGGTTGAATTTCAATATCTGCAGTTACGGAAAGAGGGATAACGATGCATGGTGATGAAGTTTTTTGAGATTTTTGTGATAGTAAATTTAATGGACAAGCAAAAACCACGTTCTCATTATATTTCGCAAGTAAACGAAGTTTTGTCGATATTGGACGTGATGATTCCTCTCGATAAAGGATTGCTGAATTAATATTATCTACTGAACTCAAACCATCAAGAAGTCGAACAGATATAGGAAAACGAAAATTTGAAAGTATATCTTTTAATTGAAAAACACCAGATAGACTCATACGATTTAATTCTGTATTGAATTTCGAATCATCTGTTTGACAATTAAGTGGACTAAAACTGCCAGATTCATCAAGAAATATATAAACATCATCACCTTGTTGAGTTTGACATTTCAAACAAGGTTCTGATTTATTTGGACTAAATTTACTTTGAATATGTTCGTGTGATACATTGACAGTATTCACTGTTTGTCGACGTTTTTTCGGAAGAAAGATTTTCGATTTTTCTTTCATCCACGTTGCTGGTGATAAAAGTGAACTGGAAGGAGATATTGGTTGTTGTTGTTCTTTTTGTTCTCTGTCCAATATTCGTTTACGAAAAGCATAACAAACATTTACAATAGTTAAAACTTGTCCTGGGTGAAGAATTTGTATATCATCATTTAATTCAATAAGATTCTTCTCTAAATCTAAATCAGTTATTGAAGCATAAATAGGTTCAGTACTACTAGCAACTTTTGAAGTCTGTTCGTTTTCTGTTGAATATATAATTTCAGGAGTATATTTTTTTGTATATGCATTACAATAACTACGAAGAAAAAACGCATGTGGCCAGTTTGCAATATGATTTTCTGGATCATTAGAATCTTGTTCATTAATAATTAGATCACTTAATTTATGACATGGTTGAATTGGTTGATCATTTTCATTAAGTAGTTCAAAAAAACTTTGATATTGTTTCGGTATACGACAAAGAGGAACCGATGAAGAACGTTTTCCATTTAAAACTTTAATTAAATTTCGTTGATTATATGTATTATCATTATCACCATCTAAATTATCATCATCACTCATATTAGATGCTATATTTATTGTAGTTAATGAAGCAAGTGATTTAGAGATTTTTTTCATACTAAGAAATTTTGCCGATGCTTTTGCCGAAACTTTTCCTTGTGTTAATGTTAACCGAGTTCGATGAAAATGCTGACGTCCATCAGATGAACGATGATATTCAGCTAAGATAGAATTAAGTTGACAAATATCTAATAGTAATAATGAAGTAGCTTTTGATAGAAGATTTTTTATAGATCGTCCATAACTATTTAATGACATGATATTAACTATAATAGGTAACTTATATTGATTATCACATGAAGTATTAACCTCGTTTAGAAATTCTTTTAATGTACACGATTGCTCATAACGAGGAGGAAACGATACAGGATAATTATTTAACATACTGTGCATATTTACTGTTGTTTCATGATCTAAAACTTTAAAATTAACAGACAGAATGAGTATTAGACTGATTCAATGATTGATTGTTTTATTTTTATATTTCTTTTTCTTTGTTGTTAATGCTTTTGTCACTAAACGACACAATCAACAGTGTACGCGCACATGTAAGTTTTTGTTTTCTTCGCTTACCTATATGTCTACCACTTATACAGTCTTTTTATTTTATTTGACTATTTTGTTATAAGGACACCAACTACTATACATACAGCAAAAAATGAATATATTGAGTCGTATATCGGTCTCTCTACATTTGGTTCGTACAGGCAGGGAAGAAAAAAACACAACGTAAATCTACAACCCCCACGTGGGCATTATTCATTTTTTTCTTTTCTATTTTGTAAAAGCAATCATATAGGTAGATGATACAACGCGTCTATTAGTATTGACGATTATTACAAAAAAAAACATGCATTAGCCTCATATGTCTAGTCATGTGCTGATTCAACTAATAAAATTTTATTTTTGTTCATGTAAAAACATGCAATTTTTTTTGGTTTTTATAGATGTATGTAGAAACAATAAGAAAAAGAGAAACAAAACTTCCATATATGTAAGAAACAGGAAGTATCCATTAATGGGCATGTAATTGAAGCGAAAAAAATTCTCGATCACTCTTACTAGTATTTTTTTCTTCAAGCATATTGAATAGAATATGAAATGTACCTGACCGATGTGATACCGGAAAAACAAGTTATTTACATGATGATCATTCGTTTTTAATACATAATGTTTTGTTGCATATTTTTCTAACATAAATAAACTAGATAGAAAAGGATAATAGAATCAGTACACAACTATACTTATGTGTACACATTTGAGAAAAAAAAAACAGCAACAAAAATAGAAAATAAAATTAGAATTTTATTTGTGATAAGTTACTTGAATAGGTGCTAGTGTTAGATTAATGCTATCTCCTTTCTTTTCATAAAGATCAATTAAAATTCGATAGTCTAATTCGCATTCAATTGTTTGTGTTGTACCAACAGAATGTGTTGAATATGAGGCTTGTAATGGTTGACCCGGTAGTTGTAAATGTGCTTCACCAGTCCAGTGTTGTGGTGGTAACATTGTTAGAATATCAAATGCCCATTCTTTTCCATCTAAAATTGAACAATTTTGATCGTTATGTATACGATAAAATTGTACTAGTCGAATCGTTATTGAACGAACAAAACGTTGTTGAGGATTTGAATAGTTTATTTGAACTGAAATTTGTTCACCAGGTCGATAAATATTTCGTGACAAATAAGCTCGTAAACAAATACCATTTTTATTATCAGCACTGTCACTTAGTTCAATATCGGTTATTGCATGAGATATACAACCTCGTGCACTAAGTGTTATTGGTATTTGATAACGATAACGACTCGATGATAACTTTAATTCTAATGTATAAACTACTGATGGTGTGCGATTATTTGATAATGATGGTGGAAGACCATCGGGAATATGTAATTGGAATGTACCATTAAGAACAGATGGTGAAATTATTGGTATTAATTTCATATCTGATGATGAAAATGAACTCAGTGTTGTTTCTGCTTCAATTTTATTTTGATTTATAGCAACAATAGAACATTGTCGGCATAGATTAACTTTATGTGTTGCATGACCATCACTATCAGCAGCGGCATCCACTTCAGCTGAATAAGTTGCATCTCCAATAAGTTCAATAATAATAGGATTACGTAATGATCGTGTATTAAATAAATCTGTTGATGTTCGAGAATTTTTATTGTATAGATTATTATGTAAAAATGATGTTGGAATTTTAACTGTACCAGTTAAACGTTCACCAGTAAAATAAAATCCATCAGCATGGTTTGTACTGATATGAATTTGTTTTGTTGCAGAATTTTGTCTAGTTATTGCTTTTCCAGCAGGTGAGGGTGGTGCACTATTGCTATTTGTTGTATTGCCCATGAAAAATAAAAGTTAATTGGTGTACACAGAGAATGTTGCGATTACTTCTTGTGATCGATTTGTTTTCTCATTTTTTTGAAATTCTAACCATGTTTGCTTATTGTCTATAGCTTCAACTTATCGGGAAATGACAAAGAGAGGAAATAGATCGAGGAAAGGAAAGAAATAGCTACAAGCTATTATCGTAAATGCTTTTAGAGATCCCATTACTCAAATAATTTCCTTCTTTTTCTTTTTCTCTTTCTTTCTTCTTGTTATACCATATGCCTGACTTAACATTATACACCAGACTTTATCTAGATCGATGAAGATGAAAGAAAGATTGAATTAGACAAGAATAGGTTAGACAGAAAGAACACAGAAAAAGGAAAAGAAATTCTCTTCTGCTTCCTTATCTTCTTTCCGTTTTTTTTTTTGACAAATTATAATAGACCCATTAGCAATCAGTTTTATTGAGAAAACATAACGAATAGATCTTGTATGTTTTCTTCCTTCGATTTTCTAGTGCTTAATAGATTGTATGCTGCTAAAAGTGTACTCATCTTCTAACTTAAGATACGGTTCTGAGGGATAAAAACAAGTCTCTTAATTATCTGTTAAATTATACTCTTACATGAACACAATCAGCAAAACTCATCGATCGATTGATTAATGTTGAATTTATTCTGCGAATAAATAACAATATGATCATTATTTATATTATTGCTATATTTAATAAATGTCTTGCAGTTTTCCTTGAGTGAGTATGTCTATTGTCAATCATTAAACAATAGCTATTGAACTCAAACATAAATGCCATATTGGCATGTTTTATTTATTCAACCATATATGATTGTAATATTGTTTTAAGTAAATTAAAATAAAACAGACAATAGATCGAAACATGTCCTGTTTTTCTCTTTGTTTTCATTTTAGACAATGAACTTCTTTTTGGTATCGGTGATTTTCATAGTTCTATTTCCTTTATTTTCAAACACTATTCGCTGTTATAAATGTGATGCTACAAGCGAATGTAAAACACTAAGTAGTGGCTTATCATTCAAAAGCTATGATTCCACATCAGATAATGTGGAAATAATTGATTGTGAATATTATTGTTGGAAATCGATTTCACTTGGTAAATCATAAAATAAATAAATAACGATAGAAAATTTTATTTTGTTGATTTTAGGAAATGTATATCGAGGATGTGCAAAAAAACGTTGTGCAGTTTCACATACGATTGGAACATTTTCAAGTAGTGTATGTTGTCAAACGGATTATTGTAATGGATCTAATCGAATTTTTTCATCAAAATTTCTTTTTATGACAATTATTTTATCGGCTTTGCTACATCAACAATTTTTGTAGAGATATATAGTTGTTCTTCTATTAAGTTTGTTATTATTTTATTTTTCACGACGATAAAACAAAAAAAGAATAGTATATCATTTACGATAGAATAAATAAAAATAGCTTGAAATGATGGTATGAAAGGTCTCGTTTTAAACACTAGAAAGTATCGTATTGAAAAATATCGTACCATAAACTATATTTATATGCATATAAACTTATAGTATACGTCGATAGGAGAAAAGCTTATCATGCAGATTTTGATCTGAGTAATGAAGATTAATGCAGATAATTTACAAAAAGATTGGCATTAGTAAATATATTTATTCGTAAAGATTATGAAGAGATTATGTCAACAAGTTAAATAAAAAGCAATATGAGAGTCAATACGAACAAAATATGAAATATGATTTACATTAGTGTAATAGAATCTTCTATTGATAAAATGACGATACATGTTAATATACCACTTAGGGAAAAGTTCTGAAAACGTCAAGTTGAGTTAATTTTGAACTCAAATGTATGAAAATGAATTTATGAGTCGAGTCATAATGAATGTTTCTGCGTCGAAACATGATCAAGGGTTTGATTAATGTTTTTTTTTTGAACTTTATTTTAGGATATATATATTTAAAATTATACATGGAAATAAAAACAAAAAAAAATAAGAAAAGTATCCAAGTTTTTAATCGAAATCTATAACTATATCAATATTTATATAATCAAATGCTGTAGGTGCTAACGATGATTCTCCTTAATAAACTATGGTAGAAAGCGCAATAGTTCACATATAACTATGTAGAATTAAAAATATAACTTCTCGTATGTTAATATCATCTTTAGTGGATACAATATAATATGAAAATTGAACACATATATCTTCACTTTGATTGAATCTGTCCATTGTTTTGGTTCATTCATTAGTTCAACTGCTGAAAGATCATTATGAATAAGACTAAAAAAGAATAAATAACCAGAAAAATAACCCTTACAATGATTACTGATGTTGTTCAGTTCATTCTTGAAAATCAATATTTTGTCTACGAATACAAATTCTATCGGCAAATTTAAAGTTGCTCCAGTTCAAGAAAGACTTTAATATTTGTGAACATCTACATATATTATTGACAATAAGATTTCATTTTAGTCCACAAAAAAGTAATTAATATGTCATAGATAATTTTACTACTATCAAAGTTTCTTGCTTCATTTCGACAGATATCTTTTTCTATTACATAATAGATACTTTAATCACCTATTCATAACACGGTACGTATCATATGATAGACTTTGCGCTATAGTCAATACTATCAATTGACAACATCTTGATATTCAAATGACAATATTTATTAATAAAAAGTTCAATTATCTTGATACTCTACTAGGTTATAGAGGAAGTGACATAGATGACCGTAAATTTTCTCTTTACCCAAACCCTTACGCTCTTTTATTCTCGAAGATATTTTTAAAAAATTTCCGAAAAAATATCTCTACTTCATTGTCATAGAAATATTTCAACTCAAAAATGTCATGAAGATAATAAACTAGAGAGAAAATGTGGTACAGATTCTTCGACTACGTTCTAGATCAAAATAACTCGTGTTTGCCTTGCTGTGTAGGTAAACACTTAATTTCCTACTCTTTGATCAATTATGCATGAACTTTGCAGATTGTTTTACCTTTTTATGCATGAAAAATACATTTGTGAAAACACTTTGCACCCAATCTTTTACTGACATGGTATTCTTTAAAAAACAAAAGAATAAGCAGATGATGTCTCTTGAATATATTGAAAGATTCCAAATGATATATTTCAAATATACAGGGTGGGCCATCAGTAAGATAGCAAAGTATTTTTTTTTTCGATTTCTTTGTTATACATCGTGAGTTAGGTCTCATATTTATACCACATATACCAAGTAATATAAATCAAAGATGCAGCATATGAACAATATCTTGGTGTACTAATTTGTTCAATAACGTATAAATACAGAGTAACCAATAAAAGGAACACGTTTGAGTTCTAACAAATCTTTTATTAAAGCTATAGAACAAGAATATCACACTCACAAAAATTGTTTAATGTGTTCACCCTTCCAGTCTTTGGAAAGTTTTAGTCTCTCAGGTACTGTTTGACAAGCTTTTTGGTATAGTCCAACTGGCAAGCTTCGTACCGAAACTATAACAGTCACATATGATTCATTTTATTGGTTACTCTGTATTGGTACGTTATTGAACCAATTAGTACACCAACATATTGTTCATATGCTGCATCTTTAACTTATATCACTTAATAAATATGGTGTAAATATGAGAACTAGCTCACGATATATAACAAAGAAATCGAAAAATAATACTTTGCTACCTTACTTATGGTCTACCCTATATATTGGAAATTACGGGTTTGCTCGACACTTTTAACTGTATGTATATACATACTTGAGTGTTTCTGTCTGATTCCTTGTACCTGATGGTGATCTTAGAATGGATTAAACGTTAGTACATTTCAGTCTTAGTAAAGCATGATGCTTTTTACGATAGCTCCCAACTTCCTCCTTTCATTTATTTTTTCTAATATCCTACCTTCTGGTCTTCAATACCTATTTTGATTGTAAAATGATCCTTTACTGAATAATATAAATAGACATATCTCGAAATTATGATGTAATTATTCCATAAATGAATGACAATTAGTCGACGAAGCAATGATTGATACTAGATAAGAAAAAATTGAAAACGAACAAAAAAAGTAACCTTTATAAAACATGATATAGAATAACTGCATTGATTCGATGGTTTAAATCATTGTTTGAGCGGGAATCTTTTGCTTGTTGGCCAAGTTCACCATCATGATTTTGGATCTTTTCCAACACTATTCTCTTTTGATAAATCTTCATCGTTCTTATCATCATCGTTATTAAAAGTGAATACATAGATTATTCCGTAAACACATGACATCGATGGAAGTAACATAGTACTTGGAAATTTCGATAAGGATCGTAAGTGAACACATAACAGTATCGGTATGGCAATTCCATGTCATCCGAAAGTAAAATGAATGACGTAGTAAAAGTCTTAAAATCAGAGAATATAGTAAAGAATAATAATGAATACTTTTTTCATTCTGCCACTATATATGGAGACATGATGGCTTTTTGCTTTAACTGCAATTACTTCTTATGTAATCTTCACAAATGAATATAGACCGAAAGCAAAATTTAACAAACTAACCATGGAACTAACGACAGAATGATCATCCTCAATGCATGCATAATGATAATATCAAAAGAAAAAAGACTTACAATCAAAATATGAACATGTTTTTTGTTTCGTGACAGAGGATGCTACTAAGCAAGTATTATTTGAGAGTAGTGTGTGAGTAATTATGTGTGATGGATGAATGTGTAGTATAATATGTGAAACACGTGAAGAGAAGGGTGTGGGTATGGGGTGTGGGTGTTGCTAAAGCGAAGATTTACATACACACCCACACCCGCATCATAAGAACGACACTACACATATACATCGGAGGCCGTCAGAAAAAATCAAACTCTACACTCCATAATCCATAATAAAGAGACGGAATCGCCACAACCTATAATGGTGATGATGACCGATGTAGTCACGGCTCCTTTGAATGAGTTGAACAGATTCATTATGTTTCACATTTTAATCTCACATATATTAAACTGAAAGTCTTTTCACGGTCATGCTATATATAAGCTGGTCATCCATGAAAATATTCAGATATTCACATGATTGATAACATCATGAAAACCTAAACCACTTGATCATTTAGGTTATATCTGCAGTTTTTATGCTACATTAAATCGTTTGCTAACCAATTGTAGCACTAAAAATATCTTCCAAGAAACAGTGAGCTGTACGAATATGGCTATGGATGTTGATTAAACCTCGTATTTTGCCCAAGCCTACAGTTATAGTACATTTCATATGATTATAAAGATGTTTGATAATTACATCAAATCTAAGAAAGACAGAAGGTGAATTTATAAGATATTATAGTTTGTATCTTTATCTCTGTATGATATGTTGTAATAACACTTTGTATGCAGTTAGTTGAGAATTGTATGAAGTATCCTATTAGGGAGAGCCACAAGACGGTTCAATGAAAGCTGACCGAAAAAGAATTTCTCAGAAATATAGTCTATACGGTTGACTCTGTGATACTCTCTAGATGATTGGTCCGGTTTATGGTCTCTCTGGTTTTGGATGCTTTTTTTCAAGTCATATTTTGGCTTGTTTTAAAATGTTTTTTCTCGGTTTTGTCTTATATTTAATTTAATAATCTTTCCAGGCAGCAATATAGTAGTATCGTTAAATAAAGTGACTATTATGTGCAGCAAAGTGTTGTTTGCATAATCATTATCAGACTTGAAGTTTTGTGTAAAGAACAGCAGAGATAGAAAGAGGACAGGTCGGTTTGTTAATTTTGGTGAGAACTATTATTTGCTCACTTTTTTCTGCATTCTACACATATTTTAAGTCTCTATACACAGAATGAAAAACTAACAGGCAGTCATCGCACCATTCATCAAAAAATCGGTATTACGATGCAAATTTTTCTACCGTTTTGAATCATATCAAGGATACAGTAGTAGACAGAGAGACGATCAGTTAGAAGGACAAGGTGGCTCGTTTGATATTAAGTTTGATAAGCAAAATTTATTTCATAAAATAGCAGTTCTTTACTCGTCCTATGACATAAAATATCTAACCAGTGGACATATTACATCCAACTCAAATTGATTAATTCAAAAATTAGCAATGCTAATAGCTAATCGTGCTCTGATTGTGTGTTTGTACGTACAGTTATTGATGCATATAGTCATAATACATCGACTGCGCATGAGTTGCCTAATGCGAGTTATATTATAAATGATGCTTCAACTGCATAAAATGAATTCGAAAATAAACGAAAGAATTAGCTCGGCTCTTTCATTTAGTAAAAAAAACTTTTTTTTCAAATTATAAATTTATAAATGGAAGGAGACACCCCTGTTAATTTAGCTTTAAAAAGTTTCAATTATAATTGAAATGATAATACTTTGAATGAGTCTTGACTTGCTTTATTCGGGTTAGAGCTAAAGCAGAAAAAGACGAACTTCGTATACATTCGCAAAAAGGAGAACTCTCCAGAATTCCAACCTAGCTGTCGGCTAATGCTAGAGCCTCTTCGAATTGAATTAATTGAATATATGTAGGCATCCGTGTCTCCGCAAACATAGATAAGGATTATCTGAAGGCGGATGATATCTGACTACGCTTGCTTAGGATACGCAGCAAATCATACAATAAGTTCTGCTCCATGGGTTCATCGCGATCGAGGATGAACCATAACTAACAACACGATTTGGTTATGGTACAACTTCGACCAAAGATGTGTGAAACGGTTTCCCATCGATAGCCATTGATAAAACTTAACTGGACTGGAACCACCAACTTCCTGAAATTCTATAAATCGGTGAAATGGTGCGAACGAATTAATTATAGATATCGGTTGTCCGCTGACCTACGTCCATTCACTGCAACACCAAAACCGATTCAGCAACTTAGTATTTTACTGCGAAGGCTACAAACCTCTATCTATGTCTCGGGGCGGATTTGCGTCTCTGTGTAGTGTCACTAGACTGCGGTCAAATCTACCTGAGCACACTAGTTGGCATATCTTTATCTTCGTCTCGGTGCGTGGTGGCCCGAAGAGTCACCCGCAGAACGCCGAGTGGTAACGTCTCTCTGTGGTGGCATCTGACTGTTGTCAAATCTATTTGAACACACGAAGTCACACACTTTATCTGAAACAAACACTAACATATAGTCGTTCCATGTCGACAACGAAATGAAAGCACAACACACACGATATTGAGGAACACAGTACGCCTATATATATGCATATTTGAGGACAAAGGAAGGCAGGACATCCTTCGTAATAAAGCCGCTTCACTACTAATTGATCGATATCACTCTTAGTATTGACTAGGTATACTGATGAAGATCACCGAAAAAGGAATATATTAAATGCAGCACAAAGAACTAAACACTTAAAACCCTAGAGAATTTGCACGTAATGAGTAGAACGTCAGACTCTGACAACACATATGGTACTAGTTCCTACTTTTGAATTCAAAACAATGGAAAACATATTTCCCAGGAAGGGAAAGCTTAACTTTCAGACTATAACGTAATGTACCAATAATAAAAATATAAATCAAAACTAATATTTTGACTACGATGGAAAAGAAGAGTTTTTACCTACACCATACTCTTGCAACACATATTGAAAAAAACCTATTCTAGAGCTATGCCACTCGAAATCAAGGTTTGATTTCTAATTCCAATAAAGATATATTTCACTATCATCCCAGAATTGCTCTATCTCATTCAAAATTCGAATTATAATTCGAAAAATTCTTTTTTACTAAACTAACATAGGTGCTGGCGCTTTTTTTCGAAAATTCCATTTATATTCAAACTCAAACTAGATATCTACTCCGATTGCAAGCGTTCTTGTACACATTTGTTTCTCTTTTCTTTCATGCCGATAAAGCTGATCGCTATCTCTATCATTTATTCGTACTTCTTTGGAGTTCTTTGGCTAGATCGTTCCTTAATGTTAACGTAAACGTGCAATATGAGTACCGATTCCTGGTTGTGTGGAAGTTGATTCAGTTAATGTTAAGATTAGAAAATAGCGTGCTATTGTGCTTGAATACACATCGAAACCAATGCAGCAGGTCAAGAAGAGAACAAGACTATTCGATCTGAGCTTACAAAGTCATTTTGACGTATAAGAAAACGTTGAATTATATGGTCAATTTTTTTCAACTTTTTTGTAAACAGATGTGTTGGATCAGCAAAGAAGCTAAGAACAAAATTGACCTTCCAACGCAGCTGCCACCAGCCAAGAAAAACATTTGTAAGTCTTTTCTTGTAGTGTGATTAGTTATGGAGAAGAAATACATAAATATCACGTCGCTGTCGATTTTCCTATGAAGTCACAGATCTATTAGGATCATTTTTTACCTCTAATATGCCATCTGTCATGTGTTTTTGGTCATCGTTTTGCATGCAAATATTATTAAGAGTTAATTTCTGCATTGAATGACTTTCATTGAAGATAACGAGTCTTTCCGACAAAATTCATTAAAAGATCTGGACACTTTCAAGTTCGATTTCGCTGAAACAAATCGAAAAATATTGCATGTCTAACGACACGACAAGAGTTGTGATGCTCAGACATACCAATCTCCCGTACACTTGGCACTCTTACTAGCAGGTCTGCACTCTCCTCCAGTTTCGGTTAAACGTGATTCTTACAATATTATCTTCCAGTTTTAGAATCATCAAGAATGCAATAAATAAAATTTTATTCTACTGTAGTTCTAATCGGTAATACAAAGCGTAAGAAAGTTCACTAAGGTTGTATCACAGATGCATAGTTTCGCACTTGAAGATACGTTCTAATGCGTGCTCTTTAAAAGTTAGTGTTGATGTTTTCTGTAACACTTTGTCTTGTTTTAGATTTGTAAAACGAGTCTGCGTAATGTGATCTACCAAATGAACAGAAAAAAAAACATTTTCCTTCGACTCTCTTAAACTATATTTAATGATATAAAAACAAAGTTTAATGAGATAAGAAAGAGTCATCATCAGTCTTGTTTCAAATTGTCGCTTCACAAAATTAAATAGCCATTCACATGTTAATTGAGTATTGATCTTAACTATTTCTCATGAATTGAACTTCTGGATCGTTCATTTTCACAATTGTTCTAATCACACTAATGATCAACAGAAAGAACATCATACCAATCAGTCCATAGGACATAGAAGCTAATATTAAAGCGAATTTTCTTAGTCGCTGTACCAAGACTGTTCTCTTTCGATTCATGTTGAGAACATGATTAACTTCGTTCAAAAAATCCCAAAAGACTGTACCAGGCGACACATTTTGTTGACTAAAATAATAGAGAAGATTTTGTACAGCCATCGGTTCATCCCCCAAGCGATCGTAGATTAGAGCATCAGTTGGTTTGACATGACTTGTATCGTATGTCTTGGTATGTTTATTATCGATAGCCAAAACGAATTGGTTAATAGCATGAAAATTTGTTTTTTGATCGATATGTTGTATTTCATGTTGAGCTCGTTTGAGTTCACGTATCATTTGTAATCCCAAATAAAAATCTGGTAGTTTATTCTGTTCACCATGTTCGTTGTAACTCATAAATCGAATGCGATGTAAATTACGACGAACAACTAACCATTTTGAATTAGGTTTGAGTGAGAACGCTGTTAACGGTGCTTCATAATCGTATTCAAATGCACGTCGTGCTTGTGACTGAAAATTATTTGTCGAAATTGACGTTGTTACTGATTTAGGAACTTCAGAGACATGAGCTGCATGATAGCGATTTGGTTGATCCTTATCATCATTATATAAATTAACGATTACTCGAGTTTCATGTTCTTGTTTCTGACGACGGAAGAGACGCGTACGAACAGACAGAGCCATTTATTGGATTGTCGAAGGCTTCTACCTGTGAATGTCAATACATATATATATATGCATGCATATGTAAAAATTATGTACACACGACTAATCTTTCATGTCCAATGTTATCGCAATAAATACGACTGTTGGAACAATTTGAGCTGATACATATGACTCTGTTGGAACAGTTAAATTAGAACTTACTAAATTTTTTCAGTCAAGTAAGATGATTCGCCCAACGAATTAAGTTGAACAAAACTTACAATGGTATTTCACAAGGATGATGAGCACGCTAATTGGAAGTCAATAAAATGCATTTAGTTCAATAGGACTGCGCTCGAATCTTAGTTTTAAAGTGTCGACGTGGCTGTTGGATACTTTCTTCAAACACTCACATCCATGTCCCACATCTATCCTTCAAGTTAACACAAGATCTTAAATTCCATTACTGAAAAATCAAAATCTATTTTCATCAATTGTTTTTTTTCATTTTTTTTTAGTATTCATCTTTCTAACTTTAACTAATCCTACAAGGGAACATATTTTAATTAGTCAATCTTTCATCAGTCTTACCAATTTCTTCGTGTGAAGTGTATTATGATTTTTTCTTTCATAATCAATCCTTGATAACAGTCCAACGATGTAGAAATAATTCTTACACAAACTTAAAGTTTCAACAGTAATTGATTGGCCATTCTTTCCAAAAAAAACACCATTTTTTAATCGAGCATGGTAAGTTTACACAGTTCATCGGACTTTCGTTACTAATCGAGCTTCAATTGTTTTCTTCGTCTTTTTGTTGTTTAGTGCCTTTTGGGTGAATAAACCGATACTTTTGCTTCATAATCTAAATTAGAGAATGCTTTTACAATATTCCTAAAACATCGATCAACTATCATTACATCGTCATAGTCACACCATTTTATAACTTTAGTTTTCGTTTTTCTTATATGACTGATAATTGTAGTATATTTACGATTCCATTAAACGGTCCTAAACTAACTAAACAATAGTTATCGAACAGACATGCAGAGATGAATTTGACAAGATGATCTTTCTTTTGTTCTGAATGTATACATCGTTGAAATTTGTGTGAACTGCCTTTTGATATGTGAAAGAATAGGTATCATCCCATATAACTGTCATATTTGTTTCGAAGAGTTCATTGAAAAGCGAATTGTTTTAATTGACTGCTTCTAAACGTGACAAATGACCAATTTCTGAATATCACGGTGCGAATTCATCTATTCAAACTTGACGAAACTGATTCAAAACTTCTTGCCGTGAGTTTTCGACAATTTTTACTATCACCAAGAATATTGAATAGAGAATCGAACTGTCTAAAAGTCAAATTAGTTTTGAGTTTTATCCAGAACACTGCTAAAGTATTTTCAGCTTCACGACTAAAAAAATGTTCGAATTATTGTTTATTACATTCAGTCTATGCTATACAATATTCATCGATTAAACAAGAATGCATGAAGACTAATTGTACTGTTGAAGATGCCTTTTTTAATAAACGTAAAAGATCATTAAACAACTGGAAAAGCATAGGCAGTTTCAATATGACTATTGATATTTGTCGATTATCCATATTTATTTCTATATCTAGTGATTATCGATTGTTTCATAAAGGGTTTGTACAGCTTCGAACGTCACAAAGAAGATACATTCCTTTCAGTGCTAAAAGATTCAATCTTGCTGTTTTTCCTTCAGATCGGCCAATAATACATTGTTTATAACGCGCACTTGCAAAAATAATATTTTCAATTGTAAATGAATATGTTTCTTCATTGGCATCAATGCTCATATCTTTAATATTGCTCGTATTGTCTTTTTTGATATCAAAGTTCTCATGTTTTACTTTGGTTACTTAAATTCAACCAATATTTAGTGCAGAAATAACAAGTTTCGTCAACACTGAATAAAAAGGTTCTTCTAATCACAGTCATGAATAGGACCATACATGAGTTTTAAAGATTATCTTGTAATGCCTTTCCATTTTGTATAATGAATATCTTGTTTACTTAACACTGTCAGTAATTTTTTATTTTTATTTTGAAAATATCAAGCAAAGAATGTGTCGTCGTTAATATTAATATGGCTATGTGGGCGTCTTGTCAGTACTTTAGCCCTGCACATGTTTGTGTTAAAAGGGGTATGGGTATGAGAGCTTTGTTCTGTACACCACCATGCATCCAAACGCACTCCTTCACTAAAAAGCTTTGTTTCAGAAATTTAAAGTCAAGGATTTAATCAAATAGTCTCAAAAAAAACAAACAATATTATCATGTTCGACTGTGTAAAGGGCCATGTATTGATTCTAACGCAGCGCTTCGTAACAATTTCAAATTTATTGCTATGAGCAGATAGTGAAAGAAAGCTTGTATTTGCGTAATCATAGAGTATTAATACGATGTGTCGTTGGGAAAATGTAGGGTACTAGCAGCATAGGAGCAGGAAAACTAAAAAACTTGTTATACTCAATCAAGCATAACATTTCAAAAAGATATTTATTTTGAATCGAGACTGAACATCAATTTATTTGTGTTTGACTTTTGCAGCAAATATTGCATACTTGATTGATTTTTTTGTGCTGTTCTTTTTTTTTGTGAAAATATGGCTAATAAACACGTACAGGAGATACATTTGACAAAGTACCGTGAGATCACTTTTTAAAACTCTGAACTCATGACAATAGTTCAGTTTACACTTCACACATTTCTGAGTTGATATGTGAAACGTATTTTAAGAGCTATTGACATTTTTACTTCATTTCTGTTCTGTCAGTGTGTATGTCACATGCTTGCTATGCTTTATAGCAACGTACAACGATTGTTTCTCTTTTTTTCTTCTCTTTTTCAATGGGTATGCGAAGTGTTCCTGTGGCAACTTGTGTAAACTGAGTTGCATCCATGGCATCTGTTTTTTTTGTGACGATCAAAGTCTTTCTCATCGTCATTTTTTTCTTCTTATCGTAGCATTTTCATAATTTGTACAATCTTGACTTTTGTACAAAAGTATTCACTTTTTAATTGATATATACGTGTATATGCATCTTGTCGTAGATTTTTCTTTCATAAAACAACTCAAGCAACCTATACTCTGATAGATTAAAAGAAATGGCTGAGTGTGGTGGTGGTGTTGAAGCACTCAAAGGTAGTTGGGACTATGTATGACTTTATGCTTTTGTATCAATTACAATTCTACTTGTATTTCCTTTTTTTTAGGTAGATGGTGAAAATTTCGACGCATATATGAAAGAAATCGGAGTCGGAATGATTATGCGTATGACTGCTAAAGGTGTCAAACCGCGTTTGATAATCAGTGAAAATAATGGAACATGGACATTGAGAACTGAAAGTAGCATCAAAACACTGTCTTCCGATTTTGTACCCGGAGTAGAATTCGATGAAACAACCGCCGATGGACGTCATGTCAAAGTCAGTTCATATAGTTTTGTCGGTCAATCATCACTTTGAATACTTTTGTTTTTTCTTTTGCAGTCAACGATAAACTTCGTCGGCAACAAGTGGATACATACCATGATCGATAAACATGGCAAAAAAGCGATAGTTACTCGCTATGTCGATGATAAAGATCAACAGATGGTCGTAAGTAGAACATATGGGTTCACATTTTTCATCAAAACTCTTCTTCTTTGTCCAAAAGGATATGGAATGTGGTTCAGTGAAAGCTCGCAGATGGTACAAGCGTGTCAAATAGAAAAACTATCTATAGTTTTCACATAAGTTCTGTTCATGCACATTGATTTAATAAATGTTTGTTTTATGTCTTAATGAAAAAAATGTTTTTGATCACGAATTAATGCCAAATTTACGGTTAGATGAGTGTCAATGATGTTTCATTAAATCTTCAAAACATTGGATGCCGAAATACAACGTTGTTCTGGATCTAATCAATAATCTAGTAATATTTCTGATCAATCTTAGAATAGCTGTGCTACTGTTGATCGTCTTTTTTCTTGTACTTCAACGATAGACAACGAAGAAGATTCACGAAAGTGCTTTGAAAAAAACCAAATGAACTCGCACGCAAGGATATGAGCATCGCTCCACTTTTCATCATTCATGACAAGTTCAATAGTACTTAAGTTTAGCACTATTGATGTTGTAGTAGCTGAAATGGAGTAAAACATGCTTGCGGATGCCTATCACATAGAAAACTTCAAGCAGTTGTCTTACCAAACATACGGGTAGGTCATCATGAGATGAATTTGAATTTATATGAAATGACAAGTGTTGTTAGACTTTCTCATCATTGTTTTATTCTTCGCTCAGCTTGTCAAAATCGAATTCATAGTCTACGATGAGACAGTGTTGGTGTAGATATGGGTAATGACTCAAAGCCGAAAGAGAAATCAAGATACCGCCTTCCCAAAAGTCGGAAATTAAGCGTTACTGTGCTCGTTAGTAGCCAAAAAAGCTTTAAGCCAATTAAAAGTTTAATCTGTTCCTTCCAAAGCTTTCGCTCTACAGCCACAAAGATGAGTATTCACGTCGAAAAATCTCATACGATCTTCACTCATCTTTTATTGTTAATGTTCGAATCCTAATTGCATTTCTGGTTGAGGGTGTGAATATGGGTATTCATTTCTTACCCACAGACACACCGACGCCACCATTTTGACAAATATCGCTTTGATATACAGTTCGTCAAATCCAACTGTATTGTGTGTCACGCCTAGTTGTGATCTACAAGTTCATAATTACGACCATACATGAGTCGTAAATTATCCGTTTAGTGAAGACAGTATTACGATATTATGATGCCATGTCGTGTACGGAAAAATACAAAGGTCTATTGAATTGATGTCTGTACCGTAATACAGCCGTATTCTAAAGAGCAGAGAAAGATATGCTGACGTTTACTATCCTACCGAGTGCGAAAAGAAAAAAGATAACCATGAGTGAGATCTTACTTCTTGTCACCGTCAAGATCCGGATTTCTACATTCGAAAAAAATACAAAAATAGAAATGATCAGCATCAAAAAAGACTTTGGAACATATTTTCATTAAAAATCAACCTCGTCTCAATCAAAAATCATCTTATTTGAAGGTTTTCGAAAACAAGGCCTTGAAAGTCTTTTTTTCTATCAAACAAATTGTGTCAACGTTAAAACGTACTTAAAGCATAGGAAATGGCCAAGAATAGTCTTTCTCATTTTGGACGTTTCTCTGTCTGAAAATTTCTTTATACGACGTATTTTTCAAGAAGAAGACTTTTCAAAGTCTAGAAAATCTTTGTTAATTACTAATATTGTGCTTATGACTAAAACATATTAGTATTCTGTATAGATGAAGAAAAAGATGTTGAAGCTGGCTTTTTCTTTTACAGAAAAATATGGTATGGTTCAGTCAAAACTATAATTTTTTAAAAGTCTTCGTACACCAAGTTATTGTCCTTTTGATTGGTTTCGAAAATGAGGCACAAGTTAACTGACTCGAAGTCTTTTTGAGCATTTTGTAAACCAATTTAATTTGCGCCTTATTATAGTTAGTATGTTTAATCATATTAAGTCACAATCATATACTTTAATGTAATTGGACATCCACTGTGAAGTCTACTTATTTATATAAGAAATCATGCATTTTTCTCAGTTAGAGATCATGGAAAAACACAGATTCGCCCTATTTGAAATGGTTTAGTAGCTCTCAGCATGACTGTTATCCTGACACATTACATGTACACTTGAAGAAAATACCTTTAAATCATTTCTCTTCTCTGCAATCAAAAATCAAATAAACATAAAGTCTTCCTATATTGCTTGTATTAACTACGACATACAAAGTTAAAATGAACTCCTGTCAACCGATTTCGATTTGAGTCTTATAGAACATTGTAGAAAAAGGCCTTCAAAGACATTTTTTGTCATAAATCAAATTGTATTGGTTCTCCTTCTATTATAACACTGATGACCAAGAAAAAGAGTTTAGACTTCGGATATAAACGGCTATGTGTTCACTTAGCTACATAAACACTTGTAAGGCTCGTACATCTTACCGATACTCAATACTGTATCAATTGATGTTGCAAATACCAAATAGTTCTAAAGGTGTTAAATGCTATAAAAATATTGTACCATACACAATAAATGTCTGTTTCTCGACTTGTTTGATAAGGAAGTATTATTAAACTATGATATCTGTACCTGTTTAGCAGCACATGTTATTTATATTTACTGAGAGCATGTCGTTAACCGTAATGACTATTTACGACTAAATACGATAGAAAATGATGATTATTTATTAAACCATTTACATCTGACGTATATGATGCATGACAATGACTGTACTACATCGTAAAGCATCGTTTACGATTGTTGTACATGGTCATCGTACACAGCTGTCGTTTTCCATAGTAATTGATATATGGTCGTATACAACTGAGCATAATTAACTTGAATCTATCTGTCCAAACTTATACTTAAGGGCACAGAATTGTACGATTTACAGATTGCATAAGACGATGGAAGACTTGAATAAGACTTTATAAATTTAAAGATTGACAAATCAAATCGACTCGGCGAGGCATATCCTTCAAATAAAATCTGAATATGCTTTCACTTGAAGACTTGTCATTTACGATTAACATTCAAATAACGAAGTTTATTGCTCCTTCTTTGCGTCCCCATTTTTCAAATTGAACGAACAAGCCTGGTTCGCATTGTCGTCATTTAAATGCGATTTTATCTTTTCCTGTTATTTTTGTTTTCCAATCTTCGATCAGCTTATTGAACGGAAACAACCATCCACATTAATCATGTGAAAGTATTCTGTAATTTTTTTTTTCATTTCCGATACGGTTCTACTCGTTCTCATATACGAGACTCAGCACATACTTTTAGTAAAATTGTTACATTTACATATACTTTGTAGAACACAAAAACAGACGAGTAAGTAGATAGAATATCCAAAATGTTATGTGTAATGATATATTTTTTCTGAAAAAATGTGAAAACTTTCATTATTACTCTTAAGAAACCTGATTAATATCGAAGGATTCAATAGGCATGCCAAACAAGAAGTTTAATAGACCATTTGTTCACTGTTGAAAAATCTATCATGCACATGTAATGCAGAAAAGGTGCAAGGTCTTCATTCAGGAATGTCCATATAGTCATACTGAAGATTCACTATTAATACAAAAAATCGTTGCAAAAACTTCCAGTTTCCATGTAAATATATCTTAAACACCACCCTATGATACCTTTGATTAGAAGGCTTTAATACGTATCGAAGTATGATTCATGATCAAGTTTTAGTATTGATTAGGAAATATCCTTGATAGTATCGATTGGATTGTTCCAATCATGAGCGATACTATTCAGTATGTGGCTACTGTTTTTCCAATTCATCGTGACTTTCTAATAGCTGGTATAAAGAGACAACGACGTCGATCAATCATTCGAGATTTTGCACTCAATACATCAACGCATGGCTTACCGGGCATTGCTCGAAGTCAAAGTGTACACAATCAAGTGTTTTGGAGTATTTCGACTGCAGTTTTCACGGGTATTATGGTATATTTTGTTGCACAATCGATCAGTAACTATTTTCAATATCCAAAACAAACATCCATTGATGTAACTATCGAATGGCCTATTGCTTTTCCAGCAGTCTTGTTTTGCAACTATTCTCCTGTTCGTCAAAACCTTTTTTTCCAGCATTTCTTGACTATTTAAGTGCTCTCAACTTAATAGATAGTATCAATGCTATTAACTTTAGTTTTTCAAATTATATGATTTTTTTTCGTGATTTTTTTTCAATGGAAAATCAATCAAAATAAATCCATGTATGACTTGTACTTTCCACTTAGTTCTATGTTAATGAGCTGCTTTTTCAATGGTGTACCATGTAAATCAACCAATTTCATTACATTCGAATCACCTTCCTATGGTGGCTGCTATGCATTCAATGCTATGATGAAGAACCTTCCTAACGGTGGAACTCGTGATAGTAATGAAGGTGGTGGAGATGGAATACTGGAATTACGTCTTTATGCACACAGTCATCAATATGTGCCGAACTTATCTGATGGTAAGAGATTTGTTTCGAGATGAATTCTCGTTTTTTTTTCAAATCAGTTTTTGACATTCATATAGCTGTTGGCATTATGATTATGGTACATGATAATACACAATTGTCATTGATAGATATTGCTGACATGGCTTCAGGACCTGGACGAAAGCATAAATTGAGTTTTACAAGAAAGAAAAGTTACTTTTTATCTCTACCCTATGCAAAATGTACTAATCAGATTCCATTGGCTATGCAAGCGATGTTCAATCTATTTCAAGATGCCGATTATGCCTATTCTCAATTACTTTGCTTTACGAACTGTATACAATCGTATACGTAAGTTGTTGTATGTCGATCAATTCCATCTAGGATTATGACACTTCCAGATCAGTTCCTTTTCAAAAACGGGTCATACGTTTCAGCTTTGGCTTCTGAGAGCAGACACTAGTCAAAATGAGAAATCAATGACTCCTAAGTACTGATCAATACTCATTGATTTTTAATAAATATTTTTAAATACTTAAAAGTAATAGATCAATTCGTTAATTCATCAATTTGACAAGTTTCAGCTCTTGAGAACTGAGACTGATCTGGAGCTGTTGTAGCTCTATTTCTATCATTTATTTTGTACATTGAATAGCTACCATGTATGTGGATGTGTCAATCCTGATCAATGGTTAGCTCGTTTTGTTGTTTTATTTGGAACTGATATTGTTGTGGATGCACCTTTATGTAACATGACCGATACATGTTTCACGGAAGCAGCCGATCGTCTGATGAAAACTTATGTCATCTGGAGCATATGATGTCCAGATTGTCAGCAGGTATGTAACACGACGACCTTCGGCATCACACTGTCGTCAATATCAGCACCACCTGAATGGATGATGAGTTCTATTCGAGATTTTGTTGAAACTTCATCGGTTTCATTACCCTCTGATTGGTCAACAGCATGGCGTTCTCATATTCAATCGAATTATATTGCTATCGATATTGTACGAGGAAGTATTCAGTTGCAGAAGTTGACACAGGAGGCATTGCTCAGTGGTGTCGATTTACTATCAAATGTGGGTAGCCTTTCAGGTCTTTGGATCGGTATCAGTTCCCTTTCATTGATGGAATTGGCCGAAATGTTCGATCGACTTTTTCGATGTAATATTCATCAGATTCACATAAAAATACGACAGAAATCACGAGTAACTTATTTCTCAAACGTCAACAATCATCTTTGGAAAAATACGAATACTTTTAATTGATTGAACTTTTCCTATTTGTATAATTTATAAACAAATCTTTATATTAATAGAAAACAGTTTACTGCAATAAATATCATGAAATTATTAAGACACTCATCCAGAATTCTGAATTTTATGTTTTATTTGCATCATGATCGTTGTTTTGTGAGAATGATATTTAAAAAATAACATTCACTAGCCAGACGAACATAACTACCTTCTCATGCAAGCACTTTATGCACAATTTGATTACAAGCAGGACACCTGTAAATGATTTGTAAATATAAATATTGTATTTTACTAGTCTTTATCTGACTAGACAACTTTAACTTGTAATCAATTATTAGCAACAGAATGTAGCCAACCGAAGTGTAGTCATAATTTTCGAAATACTTTGTTTCTTATAAACAAGGTTTTTTTTCTCTGTTCACTTGGTAAAAACAGTTTTTTGACGTCTAACATCACACGATGCATATCAAAGTATTCACTGTCACAACAATAAAATTGGTATCTCATTATATAATCAAACATAGCAATATGTTTGTCACTGTTTAACTGAATATTTTGCTAACAGATGTAAATAAGAAATTGCTCGTCTTGCTATTCACATTCCAAAAGTAATCAGTTTTGCATCCATTATAAATGTGCCTATGTGCTGTACATTATAATCACGAATATCGAAGCTTTCTTTCCACGTTTATCTTTGCATAACTCATGATCAAACCAAATCTTTTTATCTTCTTAGTTTTTTAGTCTCTCCAAATGTTACTTATTTTCCGACATCTATCTTCATCAAAACTGGTTATGCTCATATTAATGAAAATTTAGATCTGGTCACTATGAAATCAATACTATGAATGTATTCATCTCAATTAAGGCAATACTATAAAAATGATGCATGATGCTGTCAGCATGAATGTTTTGAATAAAGTAAGCTTTTATGTGTATATCCAGAATATATAATTGGTTTATTGTGTCAATTCAGTACATTTTCACCATTGCCTTGTATTCAAATAAATGAAATTGATAATTTCACTGCTCAATGTAATTCGTATTCTCATGGTTAGTCATTACCTATTTATTCGATTTCCGATTATTGACTCACACAACGACGAACCATTTCGATTCTCTCTAGTATCTCATCGCAGACAACATCAGACCTATAATTTAGTTCTCGATCTCATCAATTCAATCTTTCGTTTTGCCATTAACTTGATTTCGACAATTATTCTAATGATTAGTTTTGCATGAACCAAACAGCATATCAAAGAATATAAGAATTATGCAGTTATACTAGTGAACTTAACTCAAAAATACAAAGATCTTATCTTTAGTCCTCTCATTATGGTTGCTTTTAAATTATCACGTCTTGTTGTTTAAATTTCGGTTCGATATGAAGAATAAGGTTAAGAATATTACACATTTTTTTTCTGCCTCTTTGATCTAGTATATTCTGATAACAGCTACTTCCATGTCATACATTCGTCAGGGCTCCTATATTATTTCAAAACTTTCGTTAAAACTTCAAAAATGAACTTTTAGATAGAGTTAAAAGTCAAATTCGTAAGTTATTATTTGCCTCAAAAGCTACCTCTTCTCTATTATTTTAAAGATATGAAATATGGATAGTATTATAAAACAATGAATATCAAAACTAAAAGTTCTAAGAAGCAATTAGTCCAAATAATTTCTGTGCATTAAATTTTTCAAATCGCAGGAGTCAATGTGATGTTTAAGCGTGGTAAGTATAAATATGATGACCAAATACTACATGTTGATGCCAGTAGTACTCTTTTACATTATTATTTTATTCAGTTGATTTGTATTGGTTAGAAATTTACTTAGAAATTAAAAATAATTTTGGTTGAAGTTAGTTAAAAAATCACTTTAATTTCATTTAGCATCAATTAAATGAAATTTATCGACTTTTTTAAAGATTTTTTATTGGTAATAGATCAAACCAATAAAAAAGACTAACGAATATAATATGGAGGTGAATGGACAATTCTAGTAAAGAAAGAGACTATCACAGTTTTCACTTTTATCGAGAAGCGTATGTTATTATTTTCGATTATATTGATGCTGCGTGATTTTTTCGTTACTTACTCGATGTCTTTTAGGTATAGATCTGGTGATTTTATTCAACTGTTCATGTTTTTTATTCGTTGTTTTAGAAAATGGAATTACATTCTTAGTTATAAGTAAAAGATCGTCTTTTTTTCTAAATGTTTAAGAATCAAAAAAAGAAAATAGATCCTAGTTGCCCGTAAAAGACATTAACACATGCTATATTCGAGTTCGTAGGCAAATCGCAGATATTGTTAAGGACATTTTCTTTCAATTAGTTCACTTATCGATGAATACAAAGAAAATCGTTTACTATCAAAAATTAATAAGTTTGAAATGTTTTTTTTTGTCTTCTTGTGTTTCTCAGTCGATACACTGACATGATAAATTCGAGAATAATCTATCACAATCTTAGGTACTCGACTTGGATATTAAACTTCGACCCCTGTATCAAGAAAAAAAAACAGTCATTTTTATCGTTCTCTCATTCTGCCATCGATACTCATATGTTGTGATGATATCGAAAAACAAAACGATGTATTTTACAACAGAATCGATATAGTACAGTTCGAGACGGATCTGTGTAATATAGTCTATTGCAAACGACACTAATTTCAACACTATTGTACTCAGATTCATACAACTCGAACATTTTCTTTCTCTTATACGTATGTTACGATGAATTATCTTTAGGCGCAAATTTCTCATAGATAGACGATTTTTTCTCACATATCTTTTGATAAGGCTGTATGTTTTTCATCAGACGCGCGAAGCATTAGCTTTTGCTATTGTTATCACGTACACAAGTGCAAAAACGACAACAGTGATTAGCCATGTTAATCCTATAGTGATAATTAACGTGAGTCCATATTTATTGAAAAAATCTGTCTAGTATCTCAAGACACAATGGCAACTTATCGATGTTATAAAAGTACATTTTAAGAACAATGTCGGCTTTTTATGAGACTATCATCCCTCTCTTTCAAATACTTTTTTCGATTTTTCTTGATAAGAAAAATCAAAAAATAAGTCCATACTACCTTCAATAAACTTCAAAACACGTTTTTGTATCCCATAGTCACCTCCATCTCCATTGATGCACCTACACTCACCAGTATTCTAGAATCATCACTAGTTAAGAACTTTTAAAAGTAATTCTTGTTATTGAATAAACAAAGAGAAAGCTAGTCTGAAACATATCATCCACAAAAATCTATTTTTTTGTGAAGATGATCGCTTTCAGTATTTTATAATATCAATTTCTTTCTGCCAAAATTTAGAATTTCTATTTATGTATGTCTTTTCTCTTTCTATCAAGTTATGCTAATTGAAGAACGAAATGATTTTAAGTAAAAAGTTTTCTAATTATATAAAATCATGTGTATTCACGGTGGTTACAATAATTTTACTTCTGAAAAAAATTTCCCATAACTTGAAGAACATTAGTCAAAATGTTCTAGTCATATAAACATAACATCAATAGTTCATGTTTTTTGTTTATAGTTTCTTTTCTAGATAGAACAAAAGATATCATAATGAGTGGAAATAACAAAATTGCTAGTTTTTTAACTGAACCATTATCAGAATGTGATCCTGAAATGTATGAACTAATTCGAAAAGAAAAACAACGACAGGTAGAAAGAAAATATTGAAAATAAAAATATTTATTTTTATTTTAATCATAAATATAGGTTCGTGGTTTAGAAATGATTGCATCGGAAAACTTTACATCACGTGGTGTATTAGAAACACTTGGTTCATGTTTGACAAATAAATATAGTGAAGTAGGATTAAAAATATCTTTCTTTTTTTTATTTAAAAAAGTACATAATTATTCAAAGGGTTATCCCGGTGTTCGATACTATGGCGGAAATGAAGTAATTGATCAAATTGAAACTTTAACACAAAAACGTGCTTTAGCAGCATTTGATCTTGATGAAAATCAATGGGGTGTTAATGTTCAACCATTATCTGGTTGTCCAGCTAATTTTGCTGTTTATGCTGCACTTCTTGAACCACATGGTCGTATAATGGGTTTAGATTTACCTGATGGTGGACATTTAAGTCATGGTTATGCAACACCATCAAAAAAAATTTCATTTACAAGTGTCTTTTTTGAAAATATGCCTTATAAAGTAAATCCTCAAACTGGTTTAATCGATTATGAAGAATTAGCACATACAGCAAAACTTTTTCGCCCTAAAATCATTATTGCTGGAATATCATGTTATTCACGTAATCTCGAATATGATAAATTTAGAAAGATATGTGATGATGTTGGAGCTATTTTACTTGCTGATATGGCACATGTTAGCGGTCTTGTTGCAGCAAAGGTTGTTGCTGATCCATTTCCATATGCTGATATTGTTACAACAACAACACATAAAAGTTTACGTGGACCACGAGCTGCAATGATTTTTTATCGTAAAGGACCAAAACGACCAGAAGTTATTAATAAAAATGATAATTCTGTACAAATGTATGACTATGAAAAAAAAATTAATGAAGCTATTTTTCCTGGCATGCAAGGTAAAACCAATTTCTAATAATTAGCTTTTAAATAAGTCTCTTGGCTCTATGTAAATCAGTCATGTAACTTGTGTAGAGACGAAGAGATTGAGCTCCTCCAACAAAGACAGAACCAATATCATATGGGTTTCAGACCAGTCATAACCAATGTGCCTTATTTATTTGTCCTTATTATCTTATAGAGAATGTGTATTAAAGCTGTGTTGAAAGTTGACGATGTCCAAAATGAATATTCACAGATGTAATAGTATCATGATTCGTTAATCCAACGCCTCTGTATAGATTTCAGACTGATTGGTCATAAAAAAATCCACATCGATTCCATCTCTATCCTTCAACTATTACAATCACCCCTACTGTGATACCTAATCTTTATAGAATGTTGAATAAAATATAGTTTTTATTTAGGTGGTCCACATAATAATAGTATTGGTGCAATAGCTGTTGCTTTAAAACAAGTTGCATCAGAAGAGTTCAAGCATTATGCTCAACAAGTTGTTAAAAATGCAAAACAACTTGTTAAAACACTTTCAGAAAAAGGATATACATTTGTAGCTGGTGGTACTGATACACATTTAGCATTACTTGATTTACGACCATTAGGTCTAGATGGTGCTAAAGTTGAACGTGTATTAGAAGTTGTTTCAATTGCTGTTAATAAAAATACATGTCCAGGTGATAAATCAGCATTAAAACCGTCAGGTATACGTTTGGGTACACCAGCATTAACAACACGTGGTTTTCAAGAAAATGATATTATTCAAGTTGCTTTATTTATTGATCGTGCTGTACAAATTGCACTTGAAATTTATCTTATTAATCCAAGTCAAACATTAAAAGATTTTAAAGATAATATGAAACTTGATCAACATGTAAAAAAACTTAATGAATTGAAACAAGAAATTGAAGAATTCGCTTCAAAATTTCCAATGCCTGGTTATGAATCAATCTAGGATTTTTTTTATTTTGTCTTTCGGACAATAACTTTTTCTTTCTTGAATATTCCTTCTTTTGTGATGTTATATATTATTGGGTTTATGGTGCTACTTTTTCTTCCATTTATTCAAAAAATTATTTGATAGAATCTAAGTTTCAGATTATAACTCATTCATATCTATCGAAGAACAATGAGTATTACCCATTGTATATTTGATTTAGATGGTTTATTATTAGATACTGAATCAATCTATACTGAATGTTTACAGAAATTATGTGTAAAATATGGAAAAAATTTTACAACAGAAATAAAACTGAAAATGATGGGAAGATCATCATTAGAAGCAGGACGAATATTAATTCGTAACATAGTCATTTCATTAAATAAAATAAATTATTTTTGAAATTTTAACAGGTGAATTGGATTTACCGATGACTGAAGAAGAATATTTAACAAAATCAACAGCGCTTTATGTAGAAGCATTTCCGTCGTCTCAATTATTACCAGGTGCTGAACGACTTGTTCGACATTTAGCAGTTCATAATATTCCAATGGGTAAAAATCTAATATGTTCTAAATGAATCCTATTGCAATTATTTTAGGAATTGCTACAGGTTCTAGGCGTGAATTGTATACTATCAAAACTAATAATCATCGTGAATTATTTAAATTATTCGATCCAGTTATTTGTACAGAACCAAGAGAACAACGTTTATGTAAACCAGCACCAGACATATTTCTTACATGTGCAGAAAAATTTCCTAATCCACCTCTTTCAATGAGTCAATGTTTAGTATTTGAAGATGCTGAAACTGGTATTCAAGCTGCTCTTGCTGCTGGAATGAAAGTGGTATTTATACCAAGTTTACCTATGAGTGTTTATGATCCAGCCATTATTAAACAAGCTACAATGACATTGGATAGCCTTCTTAAATTTGATCCTGCTGCATTTGGTCTACCGCCATTTGATCATGCTTAGGCTGATAAGAACTATATTTATTTTGTTTGATTGTCGGATGTGCAAAAAAAAAAAGATCTCATTATAAACAATATACTATCATTATTATTAGTTTTATATGTGTTTCATATTTTATTATAATCTAGCGTAAAAGAATTTGTAATAAAATAATTAATGCAATGAGAAAATTAAAGAATTGTTTTAATAGACAAAAGAAAATAGATATTTGCAAGAGATACAATAGTTCTTTTCTGTTATCTTTATTAATCAATCATTAAGATATGCCACTTGTCATCATTTCATTATAGTCTATAATCTTCAAAATTAATACAAATTGATTTTACTTCAAGATTTCTTATAAAATTATTTGTTGAGCATATTTCTTTTTTTATTTTATTTAGACCATATTTCAAGATTAATTGTCTAATTTTTTAAAATTTGATATAACGATATGAAACTGGAATTACTAGAACATCCTTGTCTAAATAGTTTTATGAGAAGGTTATATTCATCTTTGCTAGAATATTCACAAGATGACAATTTATGCTTCTTAACACTCGTCAATAATAGACAATATTGAAGATAAATATCTGATTTGCTTGAATCTCGGATGAAGATATGTAAGACGAATTGCTTTTTGATTCTAACTTTGAAAATGATTTCATACTATTTTCTTATGATATCAAATGTTTTTTTAAACATTTTCATTAATTAATTTAATGTTGTCATTTTGTTTCTTGGGTTTAAATTTTCATTAATACAATACATGAACAAAATTCATTGAAAAGTAACAAAAGAAAACAAATAATTATTTTTTTTTAATGCATCAGTGTCATGTGTTATGCGTCTTAACACTAATATATCTCTATGAGTTAGGTATTCGTGTCTTTATTTTCATGTCTATTATATTCATTTATTCGTACTTCATACAGACGGACAATCACAACTATTATACAAATATAAACAAGATCATGTACCAATGATGATTGCAATTAAATATGATGTATGTATAAGCTAGTTACGTGTGAAGAGAGAGAATATATTTAGTTAAATAATTTTGAAATAAAACATTTTTAGATGATAACAAAATATATAATACGCAGTTTAAAATCATGCAAACGATTCACATTCGACAGTTAAAGATCCGATGAATTCAATTCGAAACATAGAATAATAATTAGTTGAATACGGTCAGTAACAACTAAGGAACTTCAAATAGAAAGACACCTAATAGATTATTCAAATCTGATTGGTTCGATTAATATATTTATTCATTTTTTATTTGCTATTGATTTGTCTATATTGTTGAATAATAATAAGAAAATTAGAGTTCATGTAGTTATCTAAATTCTATAGACATACTGCTAAATACATAAGACGTATCGAAGAGCAAGAAAATGTACTGAGTTTTTTCTCTCGCTTCATAGAAAGCAAATTACCATTTTCTTTTTGGCCCAATTTTTTCCGTTCTTATTCTTCCTATTCGTGTAAACTTCCATTTATCAGCTTGGTATGTTATATGAGACGAAGCGGTAAAGAGAAAAAAAGATATTTAACGTTGATTGGCTTCCTCTCAAATGATCATTAGTTTGTTGGTGAATGTTATCGTCTTTAGTTTAACAACTATTACCAATGTCATCGACAACAAAATCATTTTTAATCAAAGATATTCTTTCTGAAAATTGTGAATCAACATCTTCTGATGAAAGTAATGATAATAAAGAAATGTTCGTAACAAAACCAATTGATCTTCGACAGTATTTTAAACATCCATTATGTCCAGTACCTTTACGTCCAAGTTCTTTATTATTAACAAAATCAACAACAACAGCAACAACACTACGTAACGCATATCGTATTGATAATGATTTACAAAATTCACCGCTGGATGCTCTTTTTGAAATGACGAAGAAAACATTCGACAAAACAAATATGCGTAAGTTTATATTCTTGTTAAAACTTGACTAGTAATAAATGTTTAAGTATTATTTTGCTTAAAATCAACAATGAAAAATAAATCTAGTCTAGAAAAATATATATTCTCAAACAGTTTCGCTATCACTATGATACTACGAAATGAAGATTGCAAATCATAGAATCATTGTTTCAAAAAACTAGAATTAAGAATCGTAGTGCAATAAAATCTGTTCGAATTTTTTGATTTGTTGAATAAACTCTTTGTTTTTTCATTGGCTATGATTTATTTTGTTTTTCTAACATTGTCAGAAAACAAATGAATTATGGAGAGATGATTTTAATATGATTTATTACTCAGAATAATTGTATTAACAACCAAAGGAGTTATCAGAAATCTTTGTTCTAAAAGTCTATCATTCCTCATCTCACAATTTTCTTTATCTATAACTTAATGTCATTAATTTAAATCAATTATGTGTTGAAAAGTAAAAACATACATATTTAATAGAAGTGATTTTTCATCATGTTTGACTATTCATCTATTATCAAGTCTTTTCTGTTATCTAATTCATTTTATTTACGGTTCGTTTAATATTTTTCAATTTATGTCCAATTGATTATCGAATTCTTTTTAAAGGTCAAGTGTCTGACATGTTGTACTCCCGATAATCAATAGAAGTTCATCTTTTTCTTTTTCGCCTTTTCAATCTATACACGTGAGTCTTGTCTATTCGTTTTATCTTTGGTAATACGGCGAAACGAATGAATTGAGTTTGAAATGAAGCATTCGGTGTGCTTTTTCTTTTCTTATATTTAATCTTGTTTAGAGAACGAGAACAGTTACTTTAAATATGTATATAACAATTATAACTGTTTGGACTAGAACAACAGACGTACATTGGACGAATGATGATGACAAACGAGTAGTCTATCTTCATAGAAAAAAGAACAGAAAAAGTCTCATCATTAATCGATCTACATGGCACAAATTAATTGTTTCTTTCGGCATATCTTAGAGTGTATATATATTCGTACTCATAATTGGATATCACAGTTTGTTCATCTTTCTTCTTCTTGTATGTTGAATTGATATCGATCAATTTGATATATGATTATCACCACTGTTTAGAACATAGATCATTGAAGAATATTTTTTCTATCAACAAATATGATTAGCTTCTGCTGATAGACTTTCTTTCTATTCGTTGTGCGTCATCGATAGTTTAGCTCATTTGTCATTATATATACAACATATGTTTAACCATTGTTTTTGATTAGATTCATTTGATTCGGATGTTTCATTAAAATTAACACATGAATTACATAAAAGAAAACGACGTAAAAATCGTACAGCATTTACTGCTCAACAAATCTATGCATTAGAAAAACGTTTTACACATCAAAGATATTTGACACCAAATGATCGTGATCAAATTGCTAATGAATTACAACTTTCACCTGCTCAAGTTATTACTGTATGTTTTAATTTATTAGATTTTTATTAAATTATTATTTTTTTATTCTATTTTTTTGTTTCAGTGGTTTCAAAATAGACGTGCTAAACTTAAACGAGATTATGAAGAATTAAAGAATGATGTAAATGCAGCAAGAAAATTACAAGCTATGGGAGAACCTGTTGATTTTAGTTGATTGTTTTTTTTTTTCATTAGTTTATTTATTAAATAATAAATGTGTGTACAAAGAAAGAAAATTGACATGTAAGCATCAGTGATGAATCATATCTATAGACTTTTGACAAATAATCTAGCTTATAGTAATATAAATTTTGAGGAGTTTATTTTAAATGAGATGTATTCGTATTCATTCTATAGTCGAGAACAGACATGAAGATGTAAAACAGATTTAAAAAGTAAGCAATAGAAAATAAAACTTGAAAGTTATGAAGCATATTTCATAGTAGTTGAAAAGTGATACTTGGAACTGGCTCAGTCGATTTGTCACTTAACGGTTCGTTCTGGTTGAAATTTAAAAGCAAGACGCTGTTTTTTATTAATTCTTCGGGTACCAGGATTGTTTTTTTTTTGCTCTTTTTTACTGTTGTCCATGGTTTTAAGGAGCAGTTTTCTTATCGTATGATGAGACCTTGGATCATGGTGAATGAATTTCTTATGCTCACGAAAAAATTAGCCAAGTATTAGAAATTAACGTCTGTCTAAACTAAAAAATTTTTCATCTCGAAATTTTGATCTCACTTTTCTGAGCGACTTTTAACCAATAGTCATAAAATCCTAATAATTACTGATTTTCAGTTGATACTTTTATTACAAAATATCAGAAAAGCTTCGTCCTGATCTGGTCGAAAAAAATTCGACCGGTTTCAAGTATAATGATATAACCCCGATCGAAATGAACACAGAAGTCTAAAACGTATTTATGTCAATACTTAGGAAAGATTCAAAAATTGGAAACTACGTTATTGAATATGGTGAACATGATGATGAACTGAGTTTACATTAAAACCCTTAGAATTTGGAAAAAGTTTTCTAGAGAACTTTCCAAAACTTAAAAACATAATTAATTTGACTTTTTCTATGCCGCATCTGATAAAACATTGAAGATGATGTATTCAGTCCAAATTTCGCATTGGTTCTAGTGTTCTATTAGGAGATTTCAAAATTCTTAGTTATCATAGGAGCTGGAGAAAAGCAGATTTTGGATCAATAATCCTTATTTTTATAAAGAGACTTTGAGTACTTGATACACTCGTATTCTTAATCAACGAACTTGAGTTTATCAATGAATATATGTTTAAAGGAAATCAAAGATAACAAGTTTTTTTTTATTGATCTCCATGAGAGACCACAAGTTTCAAAAATCTTTTGGTCAACCGCACAGAACCTAACTTGTGTAATATCATCAGACATCATGTTTTACTGTAAAACGATAAAGAAAACATCAAATTTTGTTGAGGAGCAGAGAAATCTCATGATTCGCTGTAATTCATCAGACTTCCTCAAAACGTTGAAAAATGAATTAACATTTTGTCTTATTACTATTCGATCACCCTTTATATATGTGCAGGATGTTTTTGCATTTACTGATTAAAACTAGATGTGCGACTACTTTTTTTCTTTTCCATGTATGCAATATGAAGAAAGAGAAAAAGAATAACTCGGAATCTTTAATCATCAAAGAACTTTTGTTTTCCTATTCATTTTCTATGGCTGCTATGGAGAATATGCACGCACTTGATAGAAATAGGAAATGAATTCGCTTTGGTATGAATTATTTGACAAATTATTATCATTGAGCTTAATATCAATATATATATATATTAGAATACAATTATAGAATTGATATCTAAAATAGAACTTCTCGATTTTTGTTTTTAGCATAATAAGACTTAACAATGAGATTGTTTCAAGTAGTTCATCGTGGACGACGAATAACACCACCAAGTTATGAGTTTTCTCAGTCAATGAGCCGTTCATTTAGTTCTACATCATTATCAAAACGTCAAAACTCCATATCATCGATTTCTAACAAACAATATCGAGAATTACAACTATCAAATGAAAATATCAACTTATTGACACATCGGTAATGTAGTTCGAAATTTGCTTATTGATAACTTTTCCTGTTATTCTGTCTCTCTGAGGAAGTACAAAATAGAAACATAATTGACTGATTGATAAACAGCAGTTTTTATTCTCATAATCCTTTCTGACATTTTCAGAGTCGTGCTTTCTCGTTCTGTGTCAGTGTCTAAGCCTTATAAAAATGCATGCAAAGTAATAAAAAGAAATGCAATTACTTTTTTTTCTAATCATCATAGAATTTCTGCATTAGGTCATGTGTTCTATAAATTGCTCTAATACAAAATGGAATAGCCATTGTCAAATGAATTCTTTTATCTATTTCAGAATCTTTGTCAGAGTTTTTAACGTAAGATATCAGTAGAATTATATTATATATAAGTGTGTCGTTATCATCACACATACAAAATAAAAGTCAATATAAAATTATTATATAGTATATTGTAACTTCTATATTCCAAAAACAAAAGCAGTACAAATATGATCAATGAATCTGTGAATTCAAGTACAATTAACAGGTAGGTCTTTCATAACATATGACAATAATATCCTAAACACAGAGAAATAATAATAATAAAACCGAATTGTCAACTTTAATTATAAACGAGCGAGAAAGTCATGTATAATAAATATCTATAGTTTTAGTTACAACGCATTAGCATTTTCATTCGATTGACAAACGATGAGAAATTTCAACAAATATATAGTCCATTTTGTTTATTTTAGAAGAAATGCATTACTTTCAAAGATTGATTTATCTCTTCAACAAACGAATTCTCAGCAATATGATATTAAAGAATTAACAAAAATTAAAAAAAATATACGAAATTTTTATATATTTTTTTTTATACTTTTTTTCTTTCTATTCATGGCTATTGTTTATTCATTTATTCGGATGATTAAAAATCTGGATTAATAGAAAAGAAAACAAAATAAATACAATTTTCTCTTTTGTTTTTATTCAAATGAATAATACCAAGCTGATTGAATAACTTTGCTGTCTTTTGATATAAGAAAATAAACATAATCATGATTACTACGCCATTCATAAATCCAGATTTTAGCATCATGAGGATATTCATAATTTTCATTATTACGTTTAAGTTCAGCTAAAAGAGTTTCATCAGGGTGATCAAGAACTTTAGTTGGTGAACCCATTAAATGTTCGATTTCATGCGTTGTTGTACCCGGTTGACCTAAATGTTGTTGTAAATCGATCATTGCTTGATGACGTTTACCACCATGATCATCAATAGAAGGACGATGTTCTTTCTTGTGCTGATGGTCATGATGATGTTTTAAGCGTAGATATTCACTTGATGCTGAGAGCATATTTCTTGAAAACATGTTCTATGTTGAATGTAAATGATTGATTTGAATGCGACGTATTTTGTGAATAAGAGAATCCTTCATTTATTATCCTTCAGTAAATAAAAAATAGAAAGAAAAATGGATTAACCTTTAATAAAAAATATAAAAACTATATATATATAGATGACCTTTTACTTTTAAAAAAGGTGTATTTTTAGTGAAATGTTTTGAATAGTATCTAGTAGTTGATTAGATCGTGAAATATTTGAAAATAACGAGTGGACCAGAATAAATTAGACTGTGTGTATTTTTAGTATTTCTTCTCTATTCTTTACTCGATTGAAATACTTTTTCAATCAAAGGATGGTGCTTGAGATTCTGCACAAAATGATATGTTTTATTTAACGAGTATATTTTCCTCCATGTTTTTGGATCAAAGGCAATTGTATCCTAAAATCAAGTAGAGAATGAAAATTTTCTATTATTGAATTATTTTAACAGAACATTTGGCCTATTAATGTTGCCGTTGTTCTTATGTGATTCCGATTCATATCTTTCGTCAGTTCATCTCATCAATTGTAATCTGATGCACATAAATCAGGGAGATTCAGTCACAAAATGATTCTTAAATATGAATGCACAAAAATGGCCTGCACACCATTTTCTACTAAGATAATGTGTGTGAATCTTACAATAAACTCTGCTAATACCCAGTTTCCAAAGTTAGTGTGCTCTTTTGTGAAGATCAGTCATGGTTGACTCTTTGACCTTCTGCTATGGGAAACAGCCAAGACCTTCATGTGATAGTAGTGGTACACGTTTGATTTCAACAGATAGTTGTCTCGTTAACAACAGTTTCTTGAAAGTTATGCATCATTTCACCCTGCAAATGTTCTCTTTTGTTTGAATTGTGGATAGACAACTAGGATGGTATGACAAATTAAGAGAGCCAGTACTCTCGATCATTTGTACCCGTAATTGGTTGATTTGTAATGAAAGGATTTCGACTAGATCACAGTAAATTTTTGCCGATCTATCATCATTTCTATATTCATTTTTACAGTTGTTTGTATATCATTTCGTTTCATCTGATTTTAAATATATGTAAAACAATTTTTTTTTTCAACCATATATGGCTTCGTTGAGAATTTGAGGCGTTATATATTTAAAAAATATCTCGACCTAACGGAACATACAAGAGAGATATTCAATATACAAACAGTTTAATTTATTTTGGCATGCCTGTTATTAATCATATAAACCAAATTTTAATGATTTGTACTTCTCTGTTTTAATAAAGAAAAATATATGAATAATGTGCAAGAAATCTTTATTCAAAAGCTTGAAAAGAATTCGTATTAATTGATGTGAATTCGTTTAAACAAGGCTACCTATTTAATTTAGATAAAAAGTGTTCCCGTTCAATTAGATTCAATGAAAAATGATTCTTTTAAAAATTTGACCTTTAATCCTTCAATCATCTTTGTTCATTTAGCACTATTCTTTTTTTTTCATCAAAGAGTCTCATAACAAAAACCTGTCTGTGCGGCACCGTAAGAGTCTAGAGTGTGAAAATCACACACTCTGACTCTTACAAATTTATCGTATATTGTCAGAGAGGTTAAAGTAATTTATTTTAAAAAAATCAAAATAAGTTGATGAATCCAAATAATAACAATGTTTACAATTGATATACACCCTCTGAAATATTATGATTTGTAAAATGTTTGCATTTAAAATATCTATTCTACTAATTTATTAGATTCATTCAATACCATTATTCTGAGGAAAGACCTATTTATATTGTGAGATACATCTGCAATACATAACTTCTGTTCTTCTAATGATAATATACAATATGATATATGGCATAGGAAGCGGCAAATATCATTTTATTCTTGGTTTCATCGGTTTAACTCCCGTATGAACCTGCTATACATATCGCCTTATAATCGTTCAGTAAGGTTCCGAGCACATCATTCTTTCTCTTGACGAATTTTGACATATGCTGTTGAGTTTTGCCTAAACTTAGAATTCAATTAGTTCATACACCCTATGTTCATCCTATTCTGACTCTGTTAGATTGATAATAACACTGTCCCACTGATTTATACTTACAGAAAATCCCTTTCACTACAATAAATACGAAAAATTTTAGTATGGAGACTAATTAGAATCTACAGTAGAAACATTATATTCATAGAATGCTTTAGAAGATTCTAGAAAGTTTCAAAATGATCCAAACACTGTTATTACTTACGGGTCCTTTGCCGTTACTAGGATCAAGGAAGGTAGCCGAAAAGACCTCGAATTAAACTGCTACTCACATATATTTTCTTCGAAAATATATGTGAGTAGCACAACTTGATCCATCTATGGACTATTCATCTTATTACCTTGAATAAAATTTTAACACATGAATGAGCAAGTATATATCGAATACTAGCATTTGATATATAAGTAAATACTCGGTAATATATTTGACAACTTGCAGAATCTTTGATTCTCTCAAATTCACCAATGTTTTCTTGTTTTGCAGTTGGAAGGCCAAAAACTGTTCAACATTTAAGATATGTTTACTTTTTCATTTTTAATACCAGCATATGTTACATGGAAACAAAAGTTTTAAAGAAAATTTGTGATTGAGAATGTTTAGTCGAAATAGCATTAGAATTAAAAAAACGTAATCATAAATGAACGAGGAGAATAAGACAAGAACATTTTGTTGAATATAAAGAAAGTTTTTTAAGATGATATCAATTATATCCGTTTCTTTGTTTTGCTTCATATATATATGCTCTTCATTGGAGAAACATTTTAAACAATGGAAGAATGACATGAAGGGATCCATCACAACATTGAATCAGTTGGACACAATCCATGTTTTTCTATCCAAAAAACTTTCGGTTCATTGAGACCTGTGACCGAGATATTATCATTATGTTCGTTTAGAATATATGTTATGTGAATTAAGATGATACGTTTTTCATGATGTTTGAAAACTTCAATAGTTTCAAAAATGAATCGAATCAAGAAGCGGTAATTTATTCAGAATATAAATGACTTTTAACAATTGTATTTTCAGGAATCATATCGATGAGTTTGTCAAATTAGTCATGCTATCTATTGATGAATGTAGTAAAATATCAATGTATTTATCACAAGATAAACACATTATTCTATATAACGGTAGATGTAAATACTAATAAATATTAAATGAAATTACAATGACATAACTGTAGGATTCATATAAGTGAATTTGAATCCATAATTGTAATAAGTTTCAAACATTCTGTTTTGTTAATTATAAACAGTTCAATTCAAGAAAACCAACAGTTTTTATTACATAGCCAAAACTATTTTAGAAAAGTGTGGATATATAGATGACCCACAATCAGACATACATATCCACACACTTATGACAGAAAGTTTTAAATTTTCAAATCTTACATAATATCGTTGGTCCATAACTTCTCTACATAATGATTAATCCATTTTGCTAATTAAATAAGATTTTTTATTCAAGAAGTGATCAAAACATAAGAAGACGCACGAGACTTAACTATAACAACCAGAAAAATCAACGTTATTCACGAATTATAAATTAGCCATCAAACGGCTTGTTTGCGATTACACCAAACGATAAATCCACACTATCTAAAGTGATGTATCTTGGGTTTTCGGTAAAATTTGTACGAAAGTTCGTCGAATGTTTGTTTGATTCACTTGATATCTTACTGTTGTATTTATATTGTCAACAGGTGCAATGCGTCTCATTCTAGTTAATAATATTTTTATAACTTGTCGAAGTTCTTGATCTAGCAGAATTGTACATAGTTTTTCAACAGCTACAGCTAAGGATATTGTAACAATACCCATTAAATACAGTGTTCTCTTAGAACTGATCAGAAATAATAGAGTTGGAATTCCACCCATGAAATAAATACTCAAGAGTATTACTATATTACGAAGAAGTTCGAGATCACGCTTCTCCCCATGGATTAATCTCAATAAAGGTCTAGCGTTGTTTTTCGCTCGTTTAACTTGCCAATAAAGTAAAATATAGATCATACAAACAGATAATGCTGGTATTGTATAATAAGCAATATATCCATAGGCAACATGAATTACACTTTTCATGGGTACCCAACACAGTTTATTAGGACGATAATAAATATCTTTTGTTAATATTGCCGGTAGTGGGACAATTATAACAGTAAACCATTGAATAACTATAAGAATATGATGTGTTTTGAATGTAATTAGACATTTATATTTTGTTGAAAAAACAACAATAAAAAGACGTGATATTGCTTGAATAAGAAATGAATAAGTGATTGCAGAAATGGTGAGATATGCAAAATAGCCACGCCATCGACAAGAGATATCACTTGTTACCGAAGGAAAGAAGATAAGAAAAATATAATTATTTGTTTGTACAATACAATAAAGAATTGATGCAATACATGTATTACACATGAGTAAATGTCTGATTGTATGAAGACGAGGTTTTGTTCTTTGCACAAATATTAATATTATAATAGACATTGCTACAGTAGTAAAAGCAAATAATGCAGACAATGAACAAACTACGTAATAATCTTCGATGGGATCTGGTTTCTCTTCTGTTAAATTCATCGTTAAATAAACGGCTTTTTAACATAAAGAACTTCGTTTTGCACTTGTGCTTTTTATACAAGAAGATATCGCCTGAAAGAAGAAATGCACTGCAAGTAGACAAATAGCTTCTTGTTTTTTTTTTACAAAGGATATAACTAATTACATATAATACAGAGAAAAAGAGATAAGTGAAAGATGAGACAGAGATTTAACAGCTAATATAATCTTTCATTTTCAACCAATAGTTGAATGAGAGTCGCTCAAGAAGTAAATATAAGGAACAAGTTATAAAGCATTTACAAACGACATTTGACAGCATTAGATGAAAAATAGAAAAAAAAGTTATTTATCAATAGAAAAAGCATGTTCAGTCGGATAATATCCCATGTTCAAAAATACCCAGTCGAGTCTTATACAAACTCTTAGTTATTAGTTACAATCTGACTGTCAGCACTCGTTTACAAATACTCAATTGATTCAAGTAGATTGAAATTCCGCTACAATAGTGCTACGTCTTTTAATCTCGCTTCTAACCGCTAAGTCTTTACAAATATCACTGAACGCAGAGCGATCACTTACATTTATTTTTATCTGATAAGCTTAACTGTGAAAGTTTTTTCATTTCATTCATTTTAAATTCTTATCTTTTACTTTCAGATTATCTTCTATCTCAGTTGTTCGTTTGTTTTCTCAAGTTAACCAAAGAATTGATTATTCTTTGAAATAGTTTTAACGAAACTTATGACCTTGTATGATCATTTTGACATAGCGTTCATACATTTTCTGTTTTAAATGTGCTTTTACTGAACAATATCGTGACTCATTACTGTACATGATTACAATTACACGATATATTGGTTACTTATCAAAATATAATTATAATTTTTTTTTTATTGCAATTGGTTCTCAATAAAGGAATTGATGCTAGCTAATAAAATATAATAAATATGTATCTTGTTTTTAATTTGAAATACAACATCTAGCAGTAAGTTAAGAGAACGTAACTGAAATATGGTGGATTTCTATATAAGTCTCTCTTAAAAGAGCTGAATATCTAAATAGGTAGTACATTAAACAACTGAAGAAAAACATGTGACGTTTTTTACAACATTAAATTAAGACTGCAATAAATGCCACTGTAGTCGATCATTATATGGTGTCATATGCGACTGTTTAGATTGGGTATGATGCCTGCTCTGTAGTTGAGATTTTTTTGTAGATTTATCATTATCCTATTGTATCTTGAGTTCATGCCGTGAATGAATTAAAAAAATAACTCAAAATTTCTATATGTTAATAAGAGATTTATTCAAAAACAAAGTATCAGGGTATACAAGCGTCTAACAACGCTAATAAGGATGCATATGTTTCTACAAGAGCTAAAATCATATGTGTATGCTAATAATCATATGAATCTTGTACCAAGTATTATTTGTGAGCTAGAGACTTGGTGTAAATGGAATGAACTTTCACTTGAAAATTTTTTTCTTGTTTTCTATAAATCTCGATTGTTTGAAGCTTCTTACTCTTGCATGAATGAAAAAAGTTAATGAATTTTGCCGTTATGTTTGACTAATAGAATACTGCTTTCTCTCAGTCTGTTAAAAGATTTGTATGAAATTAAACTTATCCAATAGTGATTGTGATGATATTAATCAAGATACTATACTCAAGAAAATTTTCAAATTATTCGTCTTCTTCGTACTAATAATTCAAAATGGGTTTTACAAAATAGTTAGAATGAAAACTCGCTGTTAAACATTAACTTCATTTTAACTCTCTTGTTGTTCAAATGATGTTTACTGATAAATGGATTGCTCATAAATTCATTTCATTTTCATTCAATAAAATTATATTTTCAAGGTAGCGTATTGTAGAGTAGAGCTGTATGGGATAAATAAAAATGTTTTTCATGGGGATAACGCTGTAATTTCAAATAATATCAACAATAAATGTTATACCAAATTAAAACCCATCAAAGATGACATTTGTTAATACTAAATAGTAAGGATTATAGCAATCTTTCAGTGTCGTATTTCGGAAACTTCTAAATTTTTACATCATATCTACAGAGAAAAATTTCTTATATGAGATAGTTCAAACTACATCTCCTATAAAATGATAAATATCAAAAAGTGAAATTTTTTTAAAGCTTTGGTTAATATAATCAATAACCAGTAAGACGACCAATAGCGTTTTTACAGCACGGAGATAAGATAGATGCGACCAACAAGAAGTAATTTCAAATAGGTCAGCATTTGTTTTCGTGTTGATGAAAACATATGAAATATGGTTTTTATCGTTTCTTTATCGTAACGATCGTGTTCTGTGTAACAAATATTAGTGAAGACTCCTAAAATATTCTATCTTGTCTTACAGTTCTTTGTAGCGAAAACATTTGCGAATTTATCTCGGAAAAGTTTTTGAAATTTTTTGAACTTAAAAGCAAACACACATGCGACGGCTATTGAGCAAAGCGATAACTAGGAGATTTCATCAAGAAATCGAAATCGTAGTGAGGTATAACTCATCTAGTTTTTCGGAGAAAACAGATCTATGATAGTCAATCTAGAATGAGAGAATGGTGTAGTCTAAATCTATAGAAACCTATGCAACATATAGCCCTAATTGTGTCAAACTCAAAGATAGCTCATTATGAACTTTTCTCAAAATGAGAGAAATCATATTAGAAGTTTTTTCTAACATGAGAGAAAACTGCAATCAAAACTTGTAAAAGCAGGATGGTGGTACTCTTTGCTAATCTGTGTGACCCCCCCGATCGCGCCGTTTCTGAGTCAATGCAAAAGTCTTTACTAAAATATCAACTTCTTCTGTACCATATTACGGATTTCTAAATCAAGAAAACCTTTTTGTGTTACAACGAGCAATGTGGGAACTACAAATTTTGTACGAGACATATTTTTCAAAACGAATCTGACGAGACGAAAAAGCCCAAAGCCAAACATATACAAAAAAGTTCTTTCAGCTTCATTGTCAGACAACAGCATCTTTTATTTTCTACCCATTTTTTTAAATCAGACGGAAAATTAAAAAAACACATTTTATGCTGATTTTTGGTAGCGTAAAGAGTATTCTTGTCAATGGTGTCTCGGAAGTTAAATTTATTCTTAGTTTTTATACCAACATATAGCTTTTTCTAAAAAATAGCCAAGTTGGTCGTTCCTACGACATGAACGTTTTACAAAAATAAAAAAAACTGTTGTTTTGAATTATTTTCTCTGTTAAATTTCTATGACCTGGATTATTTCGAATACATGATGCAAAACGAATTCAGTTCATGAATAATTTCTGAAGATGGTGATTGATGTTCTTAAAAACTGATACTTTTTCGCAAAATGTTGGATTTTACAAAAAGTTCATTTTTCAAATTTTTCTAATTAAAACCTAAGGAACAAATGCAACAAATTTTTGCAAAGCTGGTATCGATAGAGTTTATTGATAGGCTACACTGTGATGTATATTTTTGACTCCAATTCGATTGCTCAAAATAATTCAGAAAAACAGATTTTTCAAGTTGACAAAAACATTGCCAGAACTTTGTTAGCAATGTTTGGTTTTGTATTTTTCCTACTCGTCTGATTCGTTCTAAAAAAATATATTTGGTACACAACTGGTAGTTTAAACATCGCTCTTTCTAACAAAACAAAAATATCTTGATTTAAAAACCAGCATTACAGTATATTAGAGTCGAACCTTTCTCGAAAGACTTTAGCATCATATATGATATCGTTTCTTTCTCATTAATAGTGAAGTAAGAACCATTTGTATCATAATACATTACATCAAACTTGATTTAAGACTCACTTTTTCTATTGGACACCAAAAAAACAATAATTATATTGAGATGACAGACTGCAGAAATAAATAACTGAATCTTGTCCAAGTTTTGATGTTCTTTTGATCAAATACAAATCGAAGATTCACAAAATATCAAGTCTGAGATCAATAGAAAATTGTCGGTTTTGTGAACCGTTTTATCAACAGTTTAATAAGTTCTGAATACGACGATAATAATTGCGTTCAATGCCAATTAATACTTTTCATTGTGATACTTTTTCTTTCATTCATATAAATCTGTAGAAAAAGCAAAAGTAACTTCTTGTAATTTTGATAAACTAGTTTCATTTTTTTAAATCAGTTCTTGCTCAAGCTCTTCAATGATATAATGCACATGTAGAACAAAAACCTCATTATGGAAATTGGAAAACATCTCAAGACCACTTTTTCATAACAACTAAAAAATAAAATAATTAAAGCCAAAAAATGTTAACTTTTTTGATTACATCACTATATTCTCTATTGGTAATATTTAGACATGTGTCGAGTCAGATATATACAGCTTAAGATGACAAAGTTTTTTCTCTATGAAAGCTTTGCGCACAGCTCAATTTAGTTTCACTTAACTGTGTATAGAGCCAAATAAATTGATCAAAGAGAAAAATATCCAAGTCTCAGTCAAAAGATTGAAAAAAAATTGTAATTTCAACCGAAACTTGGATGTGTCTCGCTTTGATCGATCTGTCCGATTTTATGCAAACTTAGATGAAAGAGAGTCAAATAGCTCACAATAAACATCTCGTAGGTTTTTCGTAGAGAAAATTCCCATCATTTCCAGCGGTATCTCTATCTCAGTAAATGTTTAGTAAAAGCAAATGAATTATGGTGATATTGAGTAGAAAGGATCTATAAATTTTTGACTATTGTAATATGTAATAATTCATTTTCTAGATTAATCTCTCGATTTTCTATGTTTTCATTATGATTAAGAGAATCGTTCAGATCGAAAAAAGAATTCACTCTATACACTAGCATCTTGCTGTACTAATAAAAATCAAGTTTTTGAAAGAAAACAATGAACAAGATTCTTTGAAAGAAAGCTCAAGCGATGATAATAGTCTTGTATTTTTCAAAACAATGATGAACAGCAATAAAGGCTGCTACCATTATTATACTCGCACTTTGCTAATTATTAAAGATTTTATAATAGATTGTTATTTACAATGAAATGATGATGAATCATCTGAATTCCAAGAAAAAAGACAAATTACAAAGATTGTAGAAACTATTCATGGATAAAATACTTTTGCTCGAGAACACTTCAATATAATAATCAACTAGTTTTGGTGAAATTTCTGTTACTATTCTATCAGAATTACTTTAAAAATTCAAATTTTGTATCTATACTCATGTATTTTGCATAAATGAAGAAAGAGAGATGGATGAAAATAATCAAGTTTACTTTCGTAACTTGTCTTTTGCGAATGCCATATTTTTAGAAAAAAAATAGGGTCATCATATATTAGAATAGTTGCTTTGTAAGTCACTTTTTTTAATTTATTTCTTTCCATTTAAAAAGACTGAATACAAAAAAAAATAATTACGCATTTTATAGATTCATTATACGCATTTACGCAATTGAACGGGCCGCATATGTAATTCAAAAACGTATTCTGTGTTCATTGCTTTGATAGGACGCTAAGTGCAGTTCACAACTGGAGATTTCAATTTCATTAAGAGTTTCACAATCTTCCTTTTACACTTTCAAGTCATCAATGCAAGGTTTTATTGATAGCATTCATAGAGTTGCATACTTATGATGAAATGTAAAGAAAGAGAATGACATATAATACATAACTAGAAAGAAAAAGTCTCAGAGAACCATTTATAAATAAATGAGAATTGAATATCTTTTAAATGAGCACTATGTTTAATATCAACGATTGCTTGTGCGGCATAGACGTATCATCTGTGATTGCTCTCAACGAAAGATTTTTTATTTATGAGATAATAACGTATTTTAATTGTACCATGTGTACTCATTAATAGAAACTAATTAGACTCGAACATTTAACAACAATTTTTCTTCTGTTGCTGATTAACAAATATCAAATATGCTTGAATGTTTGTGTTTCAGTGAAAGAAAGACTTAAACATATAACCATATATTCTTAAAAAAAAAGGTTTGTGTTAAACGTTTTAGTTCTACTAAATCAAAGAAACCTTATGGAAGGTCGATGACTGTTAAAAAGGCCCCGTCAAAATTTTTTTTTTGTTCTATATCAAACTATTGTGCAGTGTTTGAAAGTGAGCTCTAGTCGAATTAGTGATACAGCACCTATTTGTGTTGTGCACAGATACATTGAAACAGTCAATGGCTGTCATATGTACACTGAATCCAATTGTTGATAATTATCAACTTTTTCTATCCACTCATTTCTTGAGCGACTACACTAGTTTCCATATAGTTCGATAGCAACTTTCAAGAGCTTGAAAATATTACAAAAACATCGCGGAAAGATTACTGTTTATTCAAAGAAATTCGAATGAAAACTGAAGACTGATTCCAAAATTTCGAGTCTTATCTATAAATTGACTTTATTTATACAAAATACATATGTAAATAATTAATTCACTGACATACAAAGTTTTTGTAGAGCAAGATTAGCGCTATCATCTTAAAAAAATTGTTTGATTTCCATCGAGATCATGAAAATTTATAGTTCATTTATTAAATACGACTCATTATTTTACAGCTTACATTTTTCAGTAAGAGTAAAAATATTTTGGTAATATCTGAGTGATTAAAGTCGAGCGAAATACTAATTTCTAGATATCTTTACATAATTCGATAGACTTCGACAGGAATATGAATTTCAAAAAGAGAAAACCTTTTGATCATATTTTCAGTACAATAGAATGAGAAAAACAGACTAACTAGTAAAAATATCACAAACGTTAAACGAAAGAGTATGCTCAACTTTCAATCGCATTAGTTAATCCACTGATAATTGATGTTTCGAGATGTAGTGACACACCCTCAATCTGAAAATAAACATCTTTCGGACACAGCACAAACAGACAGAATATTAGATTAATTAAAGTTATTAAAACTTTAGATTACAGTTTTTAATGCTGAATATATGAAGTTTTTATTAGTTTTTTTCTGGTTTCCTTCAAGTTTTGTATTGAAAACAAGATCAGAATTTTTCTAATATTCATTTTGTTGTAGAGCTTTTCAAACTCAATCTATCCATATAAAAATCTCTAGAAAATAACATTTTGCTACAGACCTTAGAAGTATATTTTACTTTTGCAAAAAATATAAGATGTAAATGTTTAGTCATGATCAATAAAGCAACTATAACTTTTCATGATATTGATGTAATTCAAACTATTTTCTTTTCAGATTATAGCTTTAATCTTTCTCCACAAAACTGCGTATTTCAGACAAGTATCTTCATATTAAGAGAGTGATCGAAACTTTTGAACCACTCTTAATTTAAAATTTCTCTCTTCTCAACTTAAGTAAAACTGAGAACTTTCATAAAATTTTCAATTCGTCAGTCTTATCTGTCTATTATAATATAAAGAAGTTAAGAGATTGAGAGTATGAAAAAAAATTATTTTATATATTTTATTGATTTATGTACACATTTAGAACATATTGTTTAACGCTACTATATTTGCAATAAGATAGTATGAAAAATATATATAGCAAGCTTAACAGTATATCAAGATGTTTTTTTTTCAAGTTATTACGTATTACTTTATACATATACTACTTCACATCATTGAGAAAATTCTAATATATATTATAAAAAATTGGAATATCCACTTGAGAGATTTGTTTTATATTTTGAATTCATATGGTAATCTTCATGAAAAATAAGCATTGATTTTCCATTTTTCATATAATCGTGGTTAATTAGGTGTTTTACCACAAGAAACTTTGCCAGAAAATCAAACTGAATTTCTACTTATTAGAGAATTGTTGATTTTCTAAATGATTGAAATGTGCTCAAAATTTTATAACAGCTTGAAAGTGCTTTAGCATTGTATGCTTTGATTTTTGTATAAACCAGTATTTCTTTTTAGTTTACTGCCTAGAGAAAGGAATAATATGAAAGAAGAGTGCGACTTGATATTATAAATATTTTGTTTTTTTATTAGAATAGAACAAAATTTAGTAAGTTTAATTTATATCAACGTTAATAAAATATAGATCTATTTCTAATCTCAAGACGATAAAAGAAGATCTTTTAAAAGCTGTATGACTTCACAACTCAATTTTACGTTCACAAGCAAAAGAAAAGGAATCACTTTGAAGTGAAACATGTTTGTATGCCACCTATAGATATCATCCAAACATTTGTTATTGAAAAAGAAAGAAATCACATTTTTTATTTCCTTCATTATCATTACTTTTATTTATTTTTTTAACCAAGGAAGACTTTCTGAAAAGATACTGATTTATTAACAGTGAAAATGTTTTTGTATGCGTTTGATTAAATTTAAAGTTATGTCTAATCATATTCGTACATTTCTTCTTGATGATCGTATATGGATAAATAATGCACATCTGTTGACATATATACATGGAACACATGATAGTTTTTACCTACATGGAGTGCTGCTATCTGCCGATTACAATATTGATTTGTAAGGCGGTATCCAGTAGATGGAAGAAAGGAGGTAATTTGTTCCATATTTCGAAAGTAAAAGAATAATTAATAAAATTTAGGTAAGAGTTTAACAATTCAAAGAACATGAAGCTTTTTGTTTTCCTCTCAAACGGTTGATTGTTAATATAAAATGATATTTTCTATAAACGAAAATTACTACAATGGTATTGTTTTTTTATTGAAGAATAGACAAGTTTATTATTTTATGAGTCATAATACAATCAGAAGTTGAATGACACTCGATATATTACGCATATTTTTTTGATGACAACAGAACGATAAAAAAATAATATCTTGCATAATTTGCAAGTGATTTACATTCGACTTTTGAGGCGATAGAGATTTTTTGAATATTCCAAATTTGATGACTACAAAAAAATTGTTTTTCCGTTAAATCAATCAATTCAATATTAGAAGGTTTTAAAGAGGTTATGCTCAAAATTTTATTTGCAGATAATGTTTTTTTTTTGTTTTATAACTCTCATTATAAGAATGACTTCAATAATAAAATTCAAGTTTTTCATTTTCCACTGGAACGATATCAAATATACATCATAGTGATCGTTAAGAGGCTAATAAAAACGTATTCATTATTTGAATTATGACTTTCTTTGCTTTATCTATCACTGATATGACACCTAGATATGTTTAGTATGTCTACACCTCATGATACAAACATCCTGTATTAAGAAACTTAAAACATGTCTCGATCAATTAATTATTTTTTGGTTTTATCAATCATGTTTGTACTATGTAAGTGTTGTTGTTCTTTTCAAATAATTTCATATATTATTCAATTTAATTTTTATTTATAGTTCAGACAAGCAAGACAGAATCTATAGAGGTAAAAAATCGTTTTAATCAATCAAAAATAAAACAATGGGGAAACGAAAAACATTATCCAACATCAACAACTATTGTAAATGATCAATCACAGATTTCATCATCGTCATCATTTGAATTCTGTGTACCTTTTCATACTTGTTCTGCAAACTTAAATCGTACTATATTAGTTATATTGGTTCCTATATTTATTCTGATCACTTGTTTTTATTATAATTGTTATGAATATTGTACAGTGAAACATGAACTTGATGTAGAAAAACCAAGACGATTACATCTATATCAATATGTTGATGATTCTATACATAACCAAGGTTTTTCAATATAATTCAAAACGATATAATTTCCCTTGATTTAATAGACGACCTTAATTGTAATGACTATATTTTTCATTTTAATCCACATTTAGTTATTTTATTATTCGGTTGACGATTGCTTTCGATCAATGTTCTATTTTTTTCACGTCATACATCAATACATTGTCTATATGTTACATATCTGTATTCTCTTTTTCGTTCTTTTCATATACTTTTGTACTTTTACTACTGTATGTTATTCATTGATCTGTATGAAAAAAAATGTATTTCATTGTGACTACAATGCTTATATATTATGTTGAGAGCAACTAGTTACCGTATAACGAGCTGTAAAAATGAATAAATCAGATATTCAGTTAAAATAGATTTTTCTTGCTAACTCAACCATGATTGGTTATCTATCATCATTACACAATCGTCAGTTTGTTTTTTATATGAAAATGCATCTGATTTTATTCACTCTGTCATTTTGATGAGTATGTCAAATTATCTTTTTCCTTTTTTTTTTCTTATTTTATTCCCAATCTCTACGTTTATAAAAGAGCAATATATTATCAAACATATCATTTATGTATCCTTAATTTCAGCAAAAAACACAAAACAAGTGATCAAAGATTGACTTATGCATTAATCCCATCAATACAAACTGAATCAAGATTATCACGCAATATCAAATACGTGCATTTTTCATAAACAGAGCAGATCAAGGACGAAGTTATTTTTTTTTCTATTGTTCTTTTTCTTCTTGAGATAAATAGGAAAAATACATTGAGTATTGTACAGTATGGGCTCTTCAAATAGTTGTCTGCCAATATCAGTTAGAAATTTCCATTTATGTCATCGTAACTCAATGACAAAACTAAATTATGACTATGAAGAACCAATTAATAATAATGCAATTAATATAAATCACGTATCAGAAGATGAATTATTATTTTTACCTGGTATAAATCGACAATTAGCAAAAAATATAATTGAATATCGACAAAGCCATGATGGCTTTTCACAAATCAGTGAACTTTTACAAGTTAATGGAATACCTTCGAATTTACTTCGACGTATTTATGCTGATATAACTATTGATTCATCTTCTTGTTCTTCATTAAATAATAAAAAAGAACTTATTAATCTGAATTTAGCATCATATGATGAATTATGTTCAGTAGCTGGTTTAACACCAAATCTTGTTAAACGAATAATTCAACGTCGAGAACGAAAAGGATTATTTCGTTCTCTTAGAGATTTACTTAAAATAAAAGGAATCGACTACATTATTTTAGAGACTATTCGTCCTTTTGTCACTGTTGATGATAAAAAAATTAGAACTTCTATTAGTTACACTTCATTGAATAATCTTTATTCAACATTAAATAGAAATGATGATAATGCAAAAGACACACTTTTATTTATTTCACGTTTATTACAAACATTACCAAATGAAACACAAACATTACTTCTTTCATCATTTCCTTCACATCCATCTGTTATTCCTAACCATACTAATAAACAAAATACTTTTCGTTTTGCTTCATGGAATTTACAACAATTAACCAATGATAAGGTACAAAACCCAGGTGTTAGAGAAGTTATTTGTCGAGTTATACTTGAAAATAAGTAAAGACAAGAAATTTATTGTTTTATTGGTTAAATTTTAATTTGCGTAGTTTTTCATTAATTGGTATTCAAGAAATTGGAAACAAAGAATCGTTGGATTCAATTGTGCAAGAACTAAATAATCCAACTATTCCATCAATTAAAAATTGGCCTAATCGTCGTCATGGAAAATGGAAATCTATTACCAGTGATGCCTCTATTGAAACATTACAGGTAAATTAAAATAAATAAATCTTTCGTTTTCTTTTATATTTATTTTTTATGTAAAAGACAGCTGAATATCTTGGATTTCTGTATGATGAATCAATTGGTATTGAATTTAAAAAGGCTTCATTATTACCATTTAAAACATACTTTGCTCAATTACCATATATTACTATATTTCGTATATTTAATAGACTTGAATTAGTTTTTGTTAATATTCATTTAACAACAAAAAAATCAAATGGAGATAAAAGTGAAGAAAAAAAAGATGAAGCTAAATCATTATCAGTTTTAGCTCAAGCTATGAAGAATACAATTGGTAAGATTCAAAGAAGAAATTTGATTCGATTTATTTTCTATATTTAATTTTTAAGAACAAAAACATGTAATCATTTTTGGAGACTTTAATAGTGTTCCAACAGCTTCAGAATTTGAAGCATTAGTTAAATGTAATTACTCCTATGTTATTCAACAAAATACAAATATTAGTTTAAAAGAACCACAAGGATCAATTTGTATAGATAATATTTGGCTTTCTGAGGAAGCGAAAAGTTTAAGTACAGGTAAGATTTATTTTTAACATTAAACTCAACTATTATTATTTTAAGGAAATTCCGGAATTATTCGTGATAATCTTACTAATATTTGGATTCCAAATGGTTGGGCATTGGGTGGTTTAGTAAGTGATCATTGTCCGATTTGGATGGAATTTGATTTATCTTAACTTAAATAAAAACCTATATTTCCTTTTTTACTTTTGTAATAGTGGATATGTGTTTCTATACAATATTTATTTTTTTTGTTAGGAGTTTACTTATACTGTTATAATTGCAAAGCAATACTTTGCCTTGATATTTATTTTGTAGAAAAATTAATATATTTTACATGTTATGATTTAACTGATTAGTAAAAAAATATACAAACGATCAGTATAAAGAGTGAATGGTCAGTACATGCATTATTGGTATTTAATTACAAAGTGCTCAGTTTATTGTATATAATTAGTGGTAACAAGTAAATCTTACAGTAGTAAAAACTTTAGATTTGCTCAATGAAAAATATAAATTGTATCAACACATATCTTCTTTTAAACCATATAAAATAGCATACGAACCTTGATTCGAATAGTTTTTCATTTCATTCAAACCCACATCCTGTTCAAGAGAAACGACTATTTTTTGCTTTTGCTGAGACGTTGTTTTTTTTCTAAATTTCTTACCTAAAACACAATCTTAGAAATTAAAAACTACATAGTGGTGATCAGCTTTATGAGTTCTGTAGACTCATGTATAATGCCACTACAACTCACTTTTGCTTGACTTTGAATTAGCGACACCTTACCAAATATTACCTTCATACACTCAGTTTTTCATAGTGAATCTCAACATATCAGCTTTCCAAACCACATGAAACGAAATATTTTAAAATCTCAAAAAATGCATCAGTTTTTTCATATGAAAAATGTAGTTTCAAAAAAATGAACCCTTCTCGGCTATCGAAAAACGCGATTTTTGTACTGAAAGAACTATCAAAAGAAATAACAAAATACAGATTCTAACTCAGCTGCTGAAACTCTATCGAATCATGTATAACAGATGACAAAAAATTGTACTAGAATTTTGCGTTTTCGATGCCTTACATAGTATCATTAATTTTCGCGTTCTGTACACTTTAACCTTTCCTCTATAAATTGTTGCTATGACCAAAGGATGGTGCGAATAAGAGATCAAATTGATCCAACAGTACTTTTCTTTACAAACTTCATTGAATCATATATCCATGGAAAGAGCATGTTGAAACTAACATTTTAACACTAGTTTCATCAGGTTTTGATCGAGTTTTGAAATCTAAAAGCTACCCACACAATAGTTCATTCCTGTTAATTTTTTAATAATCGATTCTATCACGATGGATTTAGTTTGAGTATTCTCAGATAAGATAATAAAAGGCTGAAATTATGAATTTGACAGTTCTTCCATGCGATTTTGTTTTGACATATATATCATCAATTGATTGTTTAATCTCATGAGATATATTATTCATATATTGATAGACAATTGTAGTATATTGATTGTATTTATTATCCGTGTTTCTAGCTTTCAACTTCTATTGTACTTTGAAAATCGAAATAGCCAAGATTCGGCTATGCTCATTTGATATCCTATTTAAAAAGTTACAAAATCATTTACTTACTAAAGTCAAAAAAATATGGCCACTTAGGAAATTTCTAAGCGTACCATTTTTCAGACATAATTTTATATCGTTTCATATCCTTTCTTGCTATTTATTTTTGCTGAAGTATTTCTTTTTAGTAAATGAAACATGATAGACAGATATTTATATTCGTTTTTTCTATTTCTTGTTGATATATGAGACTTGATGTGGGATGAACACTTTGTACAATAATTGAGGAGATTTTCGCATCGATTGGTCCGACTCTGCGCTGCTGAACCAAATGCTTTTCTACTGAATCAATCAGAATTGTAGACTGACCTGTCCAGCTAGGTGATATGAACTTGACTGGTTCCCAGCAAGACTTGAACACCAAGTGAAGTTTTGTAATCCAGCTATTAAGGATTGTCTTGATCTTCTCAAGGTCAATTTTAATCGATTCCAAAGCATCCTTCAACTGATTCTGAGTGATTGTAGTATTGTCGTTTGAACCAAACTACTACAGAAGAAAAAGCAATTATTTTTTTTAGATGAACAAAAAATACACTCTGCTCATAGTTTGCATTTTTCTCACCTAATATTTGAGACAAGAAAGAATTTCTCTACATAACACATACATCTGTTCGCACACACAACATAAAGTGCAGATAAAGATTTCTGTATCGTATTGAAGTATCAAAAGTTCGTTGCGAGGCTCTCTTACTTCGTCCTCTCTACTAACCACCATATTTGCGTTTCACTTTCGTTTCGCGTCTTTTTTCTTCTCAACAAAAAACTGACGTTTTTCTTTGTTCTGCCTATTGTTAAATTGAAGCTAGTCTAGAGGCTCAGCTCTCATCCTCCATGGCTCTTACCATCATCTAAGTCGAGCACCTAATGCATGGGAAGCAATGAATAAAAAATGAATAAGAAACTTGCGTTTTGAGCTGAAGAAATGTGTAATAATGGCTAGTTCCTCAATTTCCTCTGTCTTTTATAGATAATTTAAGTCTTCTCTTTCTCTTTCTCTCTTTCTCTTTTCCTTCGATATCGAAAAAAAAAGGATTATTTATTAAGGATGTTCAAATAAAAAATAGTAACTTTCGATTCCTATTCCCGCATTTCTCTAGTTTCCTCGACCTCTCTTCTTCTCTTCTGGGTCTCTAGTGTAAAAAACTTTCAGAAAAACCCTGCTCGTTCAAAGAAACTATTTCTTTTTTTATTAAATAAGAGTGGCTTAAATTTATATATTCAGACTAGAAATGAATCTAAAAGAGATAAAACACACGTTTCATCAACATAAGAAAACATCTAATCTATTCCAAAGTTTTTGTTTTTTAAAAAAATTCTATTTTATCGAATGAAAAATAGTAAAAACAAAAGATGATGTCCAATACAAATGATATTCGAAAATCCAACGAAGTTCATATGGCTATTCCAGTAAATGACTACCTATACATGTAGTCTAATTTTGAGTTATTTCAACACCATATTCACATTTAACGGATTGACATTCAGTCCATATCTCATTTAAAAATGATCATCGAAATAAGCAAAACTTCAAAACTTCTTGGAAAGTTGTCTGAAAAAGAATATAAACATTCAATGTAAGTTTCTAAATGTTTAGAAATGTTTAACGGCCCTTCTCCTCTTTTCAGTTTTGTCCAGTTTTGACGGATCGCTCATTCTTTTATTTAGCTAGACACCTTTTATGGATGAGTTCTACTTACTTTCATATAAACAAATCATTACGTGATGGATGCAATTCAATCGAAAATAAATATAAAACTATTACGACAAGTTGTCACGTGGCATACAATATTTCACTTTCTTTTTCTTCTTTGTGATTAGACCTCGACACTATCTCCGAATACCTCAATGTATAAACAAAACAATGATATGAACAAAAATTTGCTGTGACTGTGGTACTTTCATACAGAAAAATATTTACAAATAAAATGAAACGGTCAGATAAAACATTTTATGAAGATATATGTTTGATAACATATATTGAATGAGAAAAACATGTTCGATCACGTATATCGACATGATTAAAAGATTTATACAAAAAATTTAGACTTACCATGAATGTTTTATTCTACTTCTAGTGGCTTAAAAAAGGAAAAAAACCGCATTAAAATGATTAAATCAGAACAACAATTGATGCGCTTCAGAAGCATCAATGAAAACAGACGTTTTCCTTAATTGAATTCCATGATTTTCATCGAAAATCAAATTCACTGCATTTGCTTCGTTAAATGTCTCTTTCAGTGGTTGGATTTGAAATAAATCAATTTTCATGTTCGTTTCAGTATCCAAAACACCTTTTATTTAGTATTGTTCATATGATCTTTTTTTTGAATTTCTGAAGTCTATGAGTTAATTGCTGTACGAAGTATATGTATTGGTTGTTAAAATGTAATGATAAGCAGGTTCAGTAGAAGAGCTATTAGCATTGCGCTTAGATCTTGGTAGAAAAAAAACATCATAGCAAATCATATTACGTTAAATTATCGTCATGTAGTTAGCAGTGTCTCATCAGCCATACTAAGGACATTCGTGTTGATATTTCATAAAAATGAGTTTTAGAATACTCATATATGAAACATTTTCTGGCTTCTATTTAATTGTGTTTTACTTATTCGTATTATAAGTCAATTAAAGTGAGAATAAATCAATCTCTCCGTTGGTATCAAATTTGTATCAAACTCATTAGACCAAGACGATATTATAGATGCATTTGTAAATTTGTTTCTATCAGTATTTGCTATCAATGATATGCTGGCCACAATAAGATTCAATAGTTGAGACATTAGACTAGGATGTTATCAGAAAGATGATTATATTAAAATAATAAATGTTGGTGAAATTGCATTCGACGAACAAATATTTTGAAGTTGAAGAATATTTACTATCACCAAAAAGTTTCATCTGTGCCAAATGCAATATCCCAGGTCATATAAAGAAAGAATGTTATTCACCTATCGATGCTTGTCGAAGATATTAGAAAAATAGAAGTAATAGTAATAAACGCGATGAGTATTCAGTTAAATGTTAGCATTGTGACAGAGATCATATGGCTACTGCTTATAAATGCCCTGAAATAAGACAGATTTCGTGAAGAATTGATTATTCAATCCAAATATGATCGACACAAATTACCACCAAATATTAAACTTTTTATCCCAGTGTTTGTCAATTAAATGGTGATCTTAATCGATTTTTAATTTAATATATATAAGACCAAGTGCAGCTATGATAATGTTGACTAAAGAATATATAGTCTAATTTTCACGGATATTCATTGTATTGTTTCAATGTCTAGTATTTATCAAATGGCATCATCAGAAATGCTAAGAACTAGCCCGAAAAAAATATTTTATCAATATTTTTTCTCTTTTCATTTTAATTAGAACAATAGGTCATTTATAAAAAACAAGAATGAATTGATTTCTTATTCTTTTCTTTTGCTTTACCTATTTTTATAAATTGTTAGGGTGTGGGTGTGGATCTTGTGTTTACAGACACCCACATCCTTTTTCTGTAGAGTTTAATAATTGGGAATCTTCATGGGATCAATTAAACTTATCTGTTAAAAAAATAGATCTGTAATAAAATTGAGCCATTTTACAATCAGATAACCGTTCGATGACTATATAAGGGTGAATCCATGGAGACCCATCCACTTTTTGGAAAGGTCTTTTTTTTCGATTTTTTTTTTGTTCAAAAGGCTGATCTCGACTAGAAAACACTTTTGGTCAAAAAAAAATTAAATGCTCTCTATCAAAAATTCCGAGTTTTCGAGCATTTTCTCGGAACACCTATGGTGTACTTTTATATATAGGGAAAATGGCATGAAATAGGATAGAAATTTTTTAAAAACAATTTTTTCGGATTTTTTTGGTTTTCAAAAATATAAACAAAGTCTAGAAACATGTTTCTTGAGGTACATCAGATCAATCCTAATGAACGTTTTGAATGCTCAGTCATTTTCTGGTTATCCATGAACAGAAGACTACAGAAATCCAGTACAAGGAGGAGATGAAGGGGGCTATCCTTTATATCTGAATACTGAGTATCATCATCAGGGTTGATTTTAAAAAATTTGATTGACTGACAAAGATATAAAGAGGATTTTTATTTGAATGTAAATGTCCTAATCATTGTTGACCGAGATGTCAAACTATATTGAACAGTTGAATTGTTGATTGGTTTGAATTCATGCATACTTCGAATGCCTTGTATTGTACCTAAATAAATACAGACATTAAGGAATAGAAGAGAAAGTCTTTCTCACCAGCTGCTCGAAGTTTTTCGCTTCTAGCTTGCAGATAACTGTTCTTCGCTTCTTCTACTTCATCTGATTCAAGAAAGAACACATGAACACCAGGAATATCCTTGTTAGATCTTCTTGCCGTTTCAAGTTGTTGTTTCTGGGTGAATTCGTAGAAGTCTTTTGCATTTGACATGAGAATGTTCTTGGAAAGTGTAGCATGTCTAGCCGTGGACTTGAGTACCGCACCAATTCCATCGCCAGCACCCTTACCATGTCCTGGAGCTGTAAATGTCCAACAAGCATCCAAATCAAAATCGATCTTGTGGTGGATTAGGTTCAAAATGCTGGCATTGTTTTTGAAATGTGCACACGCACCATCTTGCACATAACCAGCAAATTCGGGTGTAAGGCACATCATACTGACTGATCAAAAATTTCGATAGTTCGGATGACACGGCCTTTACTCCTTTTGGTACGCATCCAGATTTTTCATGCTTTATCGGATGTTCACAATTTTTTCGTCGTGGCATTGGAATAGATTTTTAAAGATAAAGAGATACTGATGGGTAGTCGATATTTTCTAATATCCAATGATTCATCTCGTAATCTTATTCGTGTGAAATCACAACATTTTTGAACAAGACTCTATATCTAAAGATGTCCTTAAAGAGAAATGGAATATCTATCATTTCGATAGTAGTGTCCCTTTCGATTCCATGGTCTCACTTTTTGAAGACGGTATACTAGCAAATCCTTCTAGTTATCAGGGCGGAGTTGTCAGTACGATTTCGTTCTGTGAGGATAGTATCATGAAAGTTGTTATATTCCACGAGGAGAAGAAAATAAAAATTATTCAATTTAATTGAATACAATCTATGTTGACGAAATATAGCTATTGATATGTTCAGAGAAAATGACTAAGCATTGAAAACCTCCATTAGGATTGATCTGATATACCTCAAGAAACATGTTTCTAGACTTTGTTTATATTTTTGAAAACCAAAAAAATCCGAAAAAATTGTTTTTAAAAAATTTCTATCCTATTTCATGCCATTTTCCCTATATATAAAAGTACACCATAGGTGTTCCGAGAAATTGCTCGAAAACTCGGAATTTTTGATAGAGAGCATTTAATTTTTTTTTGACCAGAAGTGTTTTCTAGTCGAGATCAGCCTTTTGAACAAAAAAAAAATCGAAAAAAAAGACCTTTCCAAAAAAGTGGATGGGTCTCCATGGATTCACCCATAATATTATGTTTTTCATCATAGTAAATCATTGAAAATTTTTATAATAATTGGAAACTTTTTCATACTATTGGTTCTACACCAAAGCGAAACTTTAGCATCTTTCTATTATCTTTGATCAGTGAAAATTATCTTGCAAGAATTTCTACGTAACCGTTTGAAAAGCTTTTTCTTTTTTGAAATAGTTCATATGTTCCACATTCCTTATGTAGATTATCAATTAAAAACTTTATTAAAAAGAAACGTTTTTTCGTTTCAAATTCGAAAAAAGTTTATTTTCATCCTTCAAAACACAAAACTGACGAGTCAAAGAATAGCCCAATAAACGTAAACTATGTTGTAACGCAAAAAAAAATTCCGAGCGAAACAACATGCTACAAAAAAAGCACATACGAGCACAAAAAAAAGGAGAAAAGAGCCTAAAACAAAGAAGAAAAAAGACACAAAATCATTTTTATGTTTGCTAGATAATGAAATATCACTGAAGCTTTCAAGCAAAAGAAGATTTAACGACGAAATTGCACAAGATAACGTAGAGCTACTTGTGATTCATCGTAGACAATATATTCATTATAATGAAGACCGCTATAGCCAAATTTTAAGTCTGGGTTGCCAATTAATTTACCGAGGGGCATACGTACACCTAAGAAAAAACAGCTCAAAATATTAATAAGAAAAAAATTCTTGTTTTTCACTAATACAAACCATAATTTCGAGTAATTGTATATCGGGGATCAGGTATATTTCGACCGACACCTTTACGACTTTGAAATTCGCTTAAATCAAGTTGTTTTGTATTGTCGTCACCATTATTATTAAAACCAACTTCTTTTATTTTACCCAAAGCAACTTCACATAATATCATAAAACAACGTTCACCATCATTCTGTGTTATACCTGAACAATAACCAAGACTTTTTGCAAACGAATCTGCTGTGTAAATGCCCTAGAAAATAAAGAAAAACAACATTATATAATAGTAAAATTGAACAAAACTCAATGAAAAAGGAGAATAGTTCTTCCTTGAGGTATTGGATTATGCGTAGTCGCAAATTAAATAACTCGATATCTATCTTTTTCTATAACCAATACTAGCTGTAGTTCTGGACAGAAGGTCGGCCTAGCTTAGAACTCTTATGCTCAATCCCTTGAGTTTCCATGCATACTGACTAATCACAAGAACAAGTGTATGTCACTACTAAGCCAGCATGCTATTGGACGGGTGATGACAGACAAACAGCTGTTAGTGACTTGCCCGAAGTCATTTCATGACTGATAGTACCAAAGTTTTCACGCATCATCTAGCGGATATGTGTAAGTTAAACGAAAGTTAAACGCAAGATTGTTTTTTGTTTTTATTAAAAATATTTATTCTAATCTTTCCAGGAACAACCCTCAAAAAGTATTTCTCTAACATATATTTTTCTTACTCTGCTACTAAGCTAATGAAAAAAATATCGTTTGTTTTTGGAACACAAATCATTGGTGTTTGTTTTCAAAAACAAGAATTAGTGGAATTCAATTGCACCTGTCATCTGGATGAATACAAACTGTATAGTACAATGGTTGCAAAGGATCTATTTACCAGATGAAAACTACTCAACCTGTAATTTTTTAGTCTCATAATTTGACCCTAAATAGAGTTTGTTGAACTCTGATCACAAAAACTAATCAAGGTTTGATAGGCCTTCATGCTGAGAAACTAGAAGGTCAACATAGATTTTTTTTCCCCAAACGAAAATATTTTAACATAAAAACAAATATCATGTTGCTAGATCTTTCATTTAACAGCACAATGAGGCTTCTATTGCCAATAAGAAATTTATATCAAACAGTTTTAGGTTGCTTTCTGGATGAAGTATGCTTTGGATAGTGAGACTGTCTGAGACAATGGAGACTTCCCTGCACCTCAAGATGACAGCGGATGAGAATATTCTATTTGAAACACCATATAAACATGCAAACTTTTGTTTCCTAATAATAAAATGGAGGTTAATGCAATTAAATTATGGAAAATTCGACAAAAGCTTTTTTTTTGTCATAAGGACAAAACCAATATTTTCATCTTAAATTCTTTACATTAAGGTCTACCGACCATGGCTTGCTGTTTGCAATTAGAGTTTACCGAGTTCTATTTGTACTCAACGAGGTTTGACAAAAGTATTAAAGCTTATGTAAGTTTTATCCAATAGCAAGAACGCATGCAATTACTGTATATTACTATTTCTTTAGTAACACAATCAGTCTATAGAAAATGTTGTTATATTACCTTTCCAAATAAGCTTCCAGTCGCTGTTGCATCCAAAGGTCCAACAAGAAGACCTTAAGAAAAAATGTTAAGTTTGAAAGCATATTTAAAAAAAAAGTTCTTCTGATGATATATACCTCTATTAAGTACACTAATTAAATTACAAATACTAGTACCGTGCCATAATAAATAATGATTATCAAGATTAGATTTAAATAATCGTGCATCTTCATTTGGACGTGCAATTTTAAATATTTGTTCAACTTTAATATTTGTTGTACTAGCCCATATATAACGTAAAATTAATTGTGAATCAATATCATCTTTATTCATAGCTTCAAATTGACAATTCATTGATTTATATAAATAATCTAATGGTGAAATATTTTTTAAATTAGCTTGTGCACCTAAAAATATTTTATACGATAATTCAAGTTCAAGTAAATCATAAATAATTTTTTCTTTTTGTCTTAAGATTGCTTCATTATCAATAATTGGTAATTTTTCATCAGCATAACCGCGTAATGGTATTATTGAATAAAATTCATTGGTACATTTATAAATGATTTCTAAAACTAATTTTAATTCATTTTGTTGTTCAATTGATTTTGTACGTTGCATTTCTAAATTTAATTCTTGTACTTTTTCAAGGTTTTTCTTTATTTGAATTAATAAATCACGTGCTTTATGTAATGTTTCGCGATTTAATTGTGATACAGGCATCCATTCAACATCTAATTGTGTTTTATCAATATTCATTCGAATAGCTTGAGGATTAATTAATGTTTTAAGAAAATATTTAAATACAGATGATTGAAGCTTCGATGGTGAATGTATTTGTTCAGATTGTAAACGATTAAAATTAATTGGTACATTTGAATATTTATATCGTTCACGTTCATTTAATTTAATTAATGTATATTTTTTAGGTTTGACTTCAAATTGATTTGTATCTTTCCATGCATTACCAGTTTTTTCACGAAATACTTTTAAAAATTCTTTACGACATTCATCTAATGTTGAATATGGTGTTAATTGATATTGACCATCATCTCCAATACGTCCCCAACGTGTAAAAAGAAAATATAAATTATTTTTACTTTTATGTTTTATTATCTGCATACGATAAAAATTATATAAACCATGTGTACCATAACTAACATCTATTTTTGTCAGACGTACATCATATGGTTCATTTTTATCAGTATCAATTAAAACTTCACCTGTTACATTCATACCAGATAATTTATCAACTTCATAAGCAGTATTTTGTTTACGTAATGGATGTTTAGATATATATTTATCAATGAATTGTTGTGCATCAGAATAAAAATCTAGTGACTCTAAAAGATTTTTATTTGGATCATTGATATAAAAATGTTCAATTGTTGCTTGAGTTGCATTTGTTTGATCATTTATTAATTTTGTTAATTCATCACATAAATGTTGACAACCATTAATAGCACCATATTGTAATGGTGATAAACCAGCAAGATCATGCTTTGTTAATGATGCACCTGATGAATGAAGTAATCGAAGTAATTTAATATTACTTGTATAAGAACCATCCGGAAATGGTTGAACTAAATGATGAATACATGTACGCCCAAGAGAATCACTTGCATTTAAATCAATTGATGATGTTACTTCAAATTTATCTGTTTCATCATTATCATCATCATCATCATCATCATCAATAGACACTTCCTTTGTAACAACAGGAACAGTTGTTGTTGCACCAAGAAAGAATGTTTGATGTTCTCGCCTAGTTTTACCTAGACCCTTTCCTCCACGACCACGACCACGACCTAGACCTTTTCCTCCACGACCACGACCACCTAGAGTATTTGTTGGTATTGTGCCATTTTGTTCTGGAGAATAATCTTTATTGAGAAGTAATTTAACGATGTCAATATTATTCTACAGATTAGTAAAAAAAACAGAATAGTGATTATTATAATTAAAGCTTGTTGGTACAGCTTCGTTGAGACTGAAATATGAAACTCATATGTCTTCATTATCTTAATACTAAGTACACAAAGTATAAAATCTCTAAAAGACAACAGTTCTTTTCCAATGATAAACTACTATTATTATTATTCTCAACATTAATTTCATGCATAAATAAGTCTTTTGTACAGACAGATTCATTAATCTATAGCAGAGCTTAGCTATCTACTATATATCTCGATATACTTAGAGACACTGATAGGGATTATTTTCGAATGTTAGAACTTAATCAGCTCATACTTTTATGTTGATGTTATGACGGTTGTGATATATCAAAACATCGTCCTTGTACTTATCATATAACTGTTTATTTGTGCAAAAATCATAAACTGTATTATTTAGAATATTGGCATATGTATTCTAACCATTTCAATTTCAACGAAGATTTTAAAATCTTCTAAACCTGCCTATTGATATCATTCAGCGTCTTTTAACTGAATTGTTAAAATTGATATGGAAGAGGATGCAGAGAGTCGAGAAACTGCAAGTTGAAACTTTCAATTACTTTTTCTTCGAAAATATACGTAAGTTCTACACACGTGATAAAACTCAAATTGAGAACAGTTTGTACTGCAATTCTGATTACTAATTTTTTTGAGTTTCGACGAGCATTATTTATACTCAGCGAGACAACAAAAATTTTGCTATGAATAATCTTCAACTTCATGTACTGCTCTTACTAGAGACTAATAGATTCAAAGTTTTTGACTTTAAATGGTGTCTTATTTAGTGTGCATGCGACAGAAACTTTGAATGAAACAGCCGATCGAAACATGAACTTGGATTAGTCTATTGATTTTTAATCACTGATAAAGGTGTATACTCAATATTTGAAACTAATTTTCGTCCAATTTTGGTCTACAAAGAAGTATAGATCAAAGCATTCGCAAAATAACAGTGAGAATTTATAAGGGCTGTAATTTGACGAAAATTAGTTTTATGTATTGATTATTCTATTCAACGTAAAACCCAGATTTAAAACATTTTCCTATCTATCGAAAAAAAACTCAATTTTTCACACAATTGAAGAATATTTTTCAAATGGCATGCAGCATTTTTTTCCGAACCATATATAACGAGTAATATTAAAAATACTACGGATGAATATTAAGGCTTCATGTTTTTGGCGTATTACAATTTTCATCACATTTTTTGGTTTGTGTAAACTAAATTTCTCTAAAAGAATCTTGTTTGAATATGTCAAAAAACAAGAATTTTTAGAGATAAATCAACGAGAACTATGCAACCGTGACAAAAAAAAATGCCCAGAAAAACCTTTGATGAAATCTAGAATAGTTGGCATCAGGACTCTTCATAATTTTTCTAAGTGGAAAAGGTTAGAAATTTGACAAGCAGTCAGAAGCAGTCTGTCTAATGGAATCTGACTGAGAAAAATTGCCTTCTCAAACTTGCCAAGCAGTTTTCAGACAATACCTCAAAATTTCTTATAAACAATGTAAATTTTTTATTTCTACTTTTCTGCTTGAGTTTAATCAGATAGACATTAATATTTTTATTTTCTACGAACTATAAAATATCTTTTACCTGACGAACAGCATGCATAAGTGGTGTTCGTTTTTCTTCATCAGAAAAATTAACATCAGCATTAAGCTGAAGTAAAAATTTAACAAGCTGAAAATTATTATGAATAATTGCATTAATTAATGGTGATGTTCGTACATTCGTTGAAGGATTATCCGATTTTATAGGTGGATAAAGATTTTTTTCAATTGATGAATCAATATAACCAAATGATAATGGATTCATAGCTATTTCATTATCATAATTACATAAACAATCTAATTGTTTACTTGATGTTATTAATGAACGAATTTTTTCATTTTGAAATGATGTTGCTGATGCTATTGTCCAAAATAACAAACCAATAGCTGTATTATCAAATGAATCGATTTGATTTAAATTAAATTCAATTGAATATTTTTCACGTAAGAAATTAATTAAAATAAAATTTTGTCGAACACATGCATAATGTATTGGATATGAACCATATTTATCTGCTAAATTCCATTCTAAATTATATTCATGAATCTGTAAAAGTATTTGTTCCAATAAATTTTCATCATATTGATTCATATTAGCTAATAAATGAAATAAATTTTGTTCGTGAGAATTTTTTCCATGTAAAAGACTTTTATCTTTTATACGTAAAAGAAGACGAAGAACAAGATTAAGTTTATTATTTAAAATAGCTGCTTCAAGAATTTGTATTGAACTTAAATGAAAACGTTCAAGTTCATTTAATATTAATGATAATGCACCTTGCCAATCACGTTGAATTATTAAATATATTAATGAATGTTGAATATATTGTTTATCATTTTTTACTTCAACATATTTCCAATGCCATATATCTATATGATCCTTTTTTAATAATGACTTCTCTTTTTGTTCATTTAATTTTGTTCGTCCTTGGATAGCTTTTTGAAAAAATAAACTTGTATGTTGAGATGTTTCTTGGATATTGTTTGATGATGAATTACTAGTAGGTATACTATATAATTTTCCAAGATCAATATCAATAGTTTGCTGAAGAAATGTAATAAATAAATTAAGATGACCTGATGCAATACAAGTACCAATTATTGAATTCGAAAGTTTATTTTCAATAAATAAACTAGCAGAATGTTGTTGTAAAAGCATTACACAAACAGTAGAACATTTGCCCTAAGAGAAGTAATAAAATGCATAAAAAACCTTTTGTTCTTCAATTCTTATAAAATACTTACAACAGCTAAATGTAAAGGTGTATTGCCTTCATTATTTTCTGTATCAAGTAATTTATATTTCATTGCTTTAGAAATTATAACACATAATTCCACAGGATCATTACCAGCATTTTTATTAATAAAAACATTATGTAATGGTATATTTCCAATTTTATCTTTTATGAACAAATCACTTCCATTATCAATTAATATTTCTTCAACATCCGTTGTAGAATCAATTGCACCTGTATTATGATAGACAGCTATATGTAATGGTGTACGTTCAGATTTTCCTGGACTATTTAAACTATTACTTGTTGATTTAATTTTTTCAACAAATAGCTTTAATATATCAATATACTGATTTGAACGAACTGATGTAGATAAATAGTAATGTATTGCTTGATTATAAAGATAATCATATGATAATATTTGACATTGCTTATGATTTAATAATTCTCTTATAATTGGTAACAATTGTAATTTACATGCTAAAATTAATGGTGTTTGTTGACGTTCATTTTCAAGAATTGATGTTGCTAAATTAACATCACATGATGATTCATTTATAAGCATATGTACTATTTTATATTCTTGAAGAACAATAGCATGCAATAATGGTGTACGTTGTGTTTCATGATGAAGAACATTTAGATTTTTTGTTTTTTTAAGAAAAATTTCAAGAGGATGTTTTATTGTATTATCAATAAATTGAACAGTACGTAATAAAGAAAAAATACTTGTTTCTTTAGGTTTTGAAATATGTTCTTCATCCTTAGTATCATCCATAGGTTGAATATTTTCATTTGATTGTTCGTCTTTATCATCTTCATCTTCTATATTTTGTTCGATTTCTGATTTATTCAATTCATTCATTGGTTTTATTTCAACATCAGGATCACATTGAACAGATTCAAGACAATATTCAATAATTCCCAAAATTGATTCATATTGTTGTTTTAATTGATCTATACCGTGTGAAGACTAAAACAAAAGCAAAAAAATCTATTTTTATCAATAAGAAAATATTCATCATACTTTATATTGTTGACAAAATTCATTAAATTTTGCAGCACAATAATGAAACGGTGTTCGACCTGTATTATCAAACATGTGACTCATTTTTTTAATTTCATCATTGATGGGCTAAAATGATAAAAGATAAATTATTAAAATAAAAAAAAAAAAAGAAAGTGAATAAATTACGAGTTTAAGTAATGTTTGAATAAGATCATATTCATTACATTGAATTGCAAAATAATGTAATAAAGTTTTACCATCATGACTTGTATCAGCATTTATTTCAATTTTAGCAATATTTATTAAATAATCAACAAGAATAAAATTTCCTGATTCAAGTGCAATCATTAAAGGTGATTGAGCTTTGTTATTCATTAGATTTGGATCACATTTATGATCCAAAAGTATTTGAGCCATTTTGAAAAAATTATCACGAAGAGTATGTTTAGCTTGAACATTCTATGAAGAGAAAATAATTTTCAAAACAAAAAATTAAATAGAATTATAGATTTACTCATTTTTCCTCTTAAAATTAAAAAGTATGAGTTTCCAGATGTATTTCTATCAAGAACTAGGTTTATTTTTTTCTAAATCTTTACCAATAAATCTACAATTTTCGAAAGTTTGTAATATTAAATCAGGAATTTGAGTTTTAAATGTCGAAAAAATGTTTCACTTTCAGGAAAAAACATTTGTAAGATTTTTGTCATTTTTAATGCGCCCTTTGGATTCATTTTTCGAAATGACTTTTTCAGACCTATGTTACACTATGTTCGAACATTTATCTCACCATATTAAATGATCTTTGTCCTGATGTATTTGTTGCCAAATAATGAAACTAAACAAAGAAAAAACATCGAATAATATTCTCTAAACTCAAAATAAAACTTACAGCATTGTTTCCATTTGCATCAACACATGTACAATCAGCTTTATGTTTTGTTACAACATAATCCAATTGTTGTGTTGATGATAATGATACTTCTAAACCTACAGTTAACATAACTAATGTTAAGCCATCATCAGTTTTAAAATTAATGTCAATATCATGTTCTGTAAGAAGATAATCACAAAGACCATAATGTCCTTTTAAAAATCCTGCTGCTAAACAAGTTGTTTGCCATGAATTAACACAATTAACATTAGCTCCAGCTTCAATTAATAAACGTACACAAAAATACCATCCATAAGCAATAGCATAATGTAATGCTGTATTTAATGATGAATCAAATGCACTTGCATTTGCACCCATACGTAATAAATATGAAACAATATGTGCATTACCACACATACAAGCATGAATAAGTGGTGTACGTTTAAAACGATCACGAGCTTCAACTTTTGCATTATTTTCAATTAAGTATTTAACTATTTTAAAGTAACCTTTTTGACATGCTAACATCAATGATGTTAATTTTCCTGAAGATGTACTTGTTAATACATCAACATTAGCACCAAATTCAAGTAAAACTTTGACACATTCCTAAATAATTTATATTCGAAAAAAAAAGTAGGATTTTCTTTTCTATTAATAGTAAATATTCATACCAAATGATCATTAAGTACAGCTAAATGAAGTGGATAAAATCGTGATTTATTCATACGATTAATTGATGCAAGACCAAATTTTTGATGAACTACTTGATCTTCTGAATCATTTGATTCAGCTTTTTCTTTTGCTGTACGTAAAAGAATTTCAGCATTTATTGCTCGACCATTCATTACAGCAATATGTAAAGGAGAATTACCACCACGATCAACATCATTAAAATTAACTTGTCTTAAAATGAAAGAAAAAAACAAAAAAAATTTGAGAATTTACGTGTTTTTGTTTAATCTTTACTTTGATAAAAGATATTCAAGTGGTTCAGGTCCTTCGCATGCAGCAGCAAAATGTATTGGTCGTCGTTCATATTTATCAAGAATATTATATTCAGGCATAATATTTAATAATTGTTTTAAATATTTTGAATTTGGATTAATGGCTGCACAATGTATTGGTGTCAACTAAAATAAATTTCTCATTAAATAACAAAGCTATTAACACAGTCTCTATTGAATAAAAATGTGAAACACGATTCAGATACTCGTGCTAATCACAGAAACATTGATTTATTCTATCTATTATGGGATACATTTCTTCATCATCCTTGTTATCCTTGAGAAATGCGATGAGGAAGTAATTCATATATTATAACGAGACGTTATTTATACATAGCCTTTGACCGTATACATACTTGGAACTGAACCGATCAGTTGTTTTATTGATTTTTAGGGCATTAAACTAACCTATTTTGTTTGTCTTTAACAATTTCCATAGTTTAATGATGAAGAGATAGGAATCTAAAAGTCTACAACTGACCAATTATCTACTTGTCGTGGAAATCTCAGCTTTAAATGTTGAATCAATACTTGTTCATCATACGATGAAAGCCTTGGATTCTGATGATTGAATTTATTATGCTCATGACAAGTTAGCCCGACGCAAACCTATCAGTTGTAAAGAAATCATATAGTTATTTAGTTTGTTTCTAATGTTAACACATACAAAATGTGACCGACAAAAATTCGAGTTGTTACTATTAGCAACTCCAAGATTTATATGAGTTTTACATTCTATGCATTCGCAGAACAGAAATAATAGACTGATTTCTCGAAAGAATTGTTTGGTTAATTGATATATTAAACGCACCAGTTTTTGTCCTGTTAAGTTAAGAGTTTTCATTGATCGGTTCGATCCATTCGAAAACAATTCAACTGGTTTCAAGCACGGAGGGGGTTGGAGTGTTGCTTAGGGTGTCTGTCACGACTGTATAGTCAAGCCTCTACTTTTACACTCTTTTTAGATTGTGTTTCACAAAAATAAATACGATAAAACTCACTTGAAAATTATCTCTTGTTTTTTTAGTAACACTTGCTGCACGATTTATTGTTAAATCTTCATTTTCAAAGAGTAAAACCTATTGAAATTATAAAAAGTAATTGCCTTTTTATTATTTTTGTAAATTATTTCAACAAACTTGATGATGAAGATAATTAAACCCATAAAAGGCATTATCTTTTATTTCACCAATAATACTTGCAGCTAATTTTCGATAACCAGAACGAACTATTTGAAAAACTTTTTCATAAACTTCATTACGCTAAATGAATATATTTCGTGGAGAAATACAAAATCTTCAAATGATTAAAGAAAATATTTACTGCATCAGGAAATGCTTCAGAAAGTAAATCATAGATTTGTCGTGAACAATTATTTTTTATTGCATATTCTACTATTTCACTACTATCAGATTTTGAATATGCGCTCATGTCATCCTTAAAATAAATCATTTAAATGATAGAGTTGCAACAAAAAAATGACGAATTTACTTTATTTAATGCATTATTGCCTTCTTTAACGCCTCGACCTGCCATGATTGGAGCAGTTCGAAAACCAAATGTATAAATTTTTGCACTAAATTAATAGAAAATATTTTCGAAAAAACAAAAGAAATTTCATTGAATTTTACCGACCTTCCAGTGCTTTGTGTTGTCATTGAAACCGTTGGAAAAGGACATCGATCTGTTTTCGGTGTTTTTAAATCTTCAATTAAAATTTTAAGCATTTCAATGTTATCATTTTTAATTGCATAGTGAATAGCTGCTAGATCATTATGAAGACTACGCTTTACATGTACCTAATTAACAAAAAAAAAAGAATATGTACAAAATCATTCTATTGTTGTTGTTGTTTTTTACCGAACAAACATGATCAACATCATCAATTAAAGTTTTCAATAATTTTGAATCATTAATAAGTACAGCTCGAATAGCTAATTTACTTTGAACGATTGAAGAAATAAAAGGTACAGATAAACTAAATATATAGATAGGAATTTTTTATTTCTGCAGAACATTATTTTAAAAATGATACTTACGTATCTTCGAAAAATGGATCTTTTCGATAATTAATTATTCCTAAATTTTCTTTTAATAAACGATTACTATGTACTTTAAATAATTGTGCTTTTGCTGTTGTAATAGGTTTCGTTGCTAGAAGATTTTTAAATATTTAATTAGAAAATCTTTCTACAATATACAAACCTGTTTTTTTAGCTGGTTTTTCACCTTCAGTTATTTCATTGATATCTTTTGTTCGTCGTCGTTTTTTTATTGCTAATATTCAAAAAAAAAACATTAAATTTTTATGTCATTAAATTTAGATCAGTGTTTTAGACAATATTTCTTGAAATATCAGATAGACATTCTCAGAGTATGTGATTATTTTATCACTTGAGGTTGTCATGATTGAGCAAGTACACTTTTTTGCAACATGTATACAGGGTGTCCCAAAAGTCCGTTGGAAAAGTTAATTCAAATATCTCTTATACGACTCAAGCAATTTAATCGATTTTTTTATAGTATGTTAGTATGTTCTTTAAAGTTTTGTTCTGTATATTTTTGGATAAATGTCTGTGCCTATAACTATTAGAATTAGAATAGTTCTATTAATGCCCAAATTTGAGTTACCTATCATTGTGAAAGGAAAAATGCAAGTCGAATTTGACATAAAAACGCTACACATGGACTGTGCTATTGCCGCTTTTCAAGGCCTTTGCGAAATGAGTATAGTAGTAAACAGACAACAATTTGAAAGACCTTCAAAAACTACAAAAGAGAAAATCAGCAAAGTTTATGATAATTGTGAAAATGTGCCACTATCAAGTGTTCGGGTTGTTGCAACAGCCTACTTCATTCCATGGACAATATCAGGACGAATTATCACTGAATATCATCTAATGAATCCATATAGAGTGTAATTTCTCCTATCATGTCATAGAGAAGATTCATAAGATCGAGTTGAAATTATATCACTTTGATACGCAAATTACAAAATATCCACAATCAGAAGAGCTCTTTTTTTTCATACAAAGTCTCTTTTCATTTGAATGGTTTATTAACAAATATAAAGTAGAGACCTATATACATAAGATATATATATAAAGATTTGGTTGAATTCAAAATAAGAACCGATAACGAAACGAAATTAGCTCGAAAATAAACTTTCTGCAATTTTTTTTAGAGATTTCAAAAACGATGGATTTAGGTATTATACTTCATGGTAATCATTTTGAATATTTGTTGCAAACTAAATTATGTGAAATAAAACTTTAAAGAACATACTAGCACATTATAAAAAAATCAATTAAATTGCTTGAGTTGTATAAGAGATATTTGAATTAACTTTTCCGACGGACTTTTGGGACACCCTGTATTTGTTTTAAGGAAGATATCGAGCTATCGAATGTGCCGCTAAGCAATACTAGATATAGGCAAGATGATCCTGGTGAAACCGAGATCACACTTGTTTTGACTTAGATCATTATCTACACTTTTTCATTGTAAGTGGTTTCTCTTATTATCGTATAAGACTTACGCCAAATGTCAAATTCCAGATTTAAGGTGTTGTAAATACTATTGAGTAACGATCACTACAATGTTTGTTGTTACAATTTTAATAGAAAAATTAATTCTTTCTTTTTTTTCGAAAATAATTAAGATAGATGAAGTATAAGTGAATGAAAAAAGTAACGAATCTCCTAGAGGAAGAATATTCAAGATCATGCACAACGTTTCAAGCTCATCGACACTGCTAGAAAATAATATTGTATTTTTCCCTATTACATATATTAGTAAACGCGAACCCAGGACGAAAAACTTTTTCTGGCTGAAGACCATCAACAAGTGGTTACGCTCATCATTAAGCAGCATCGCATATTTCTCGAGGTTTCTAAAAAGCAGAACTATTCTTCTTCCTGTTTTACTATCTATTGTATCTGTGCTTGAAAAAAAAATGTTTTTGTCCTTCCGAAAGCGAAAATCTGGGTAAAACATCGATTTAGATAAGAACTTACGAGCAGCTTCACCACTTATTTTTCTTGTTCGTTTCTTGACTGGTTGTTTACGTGAATTATCTGGTGAAATTTTTCGTTTTTTTGCTTTTGGTGTTGATTCTCTAATAGTTAAACTATCATTATCACTTGAATTGGCTTGAATCTGTTCGAGCGTTTTCTTATTGTGTTCTTTCGTTAAATCCATTGGTTCATCAGATGAAATCGTTTCACCTTTAATTGATCTTTCTAATACACGTTTTGTTTCAATAATATCTTGTTTTTTTAATGATATTGTTTTATCCGAATGATGAATAACATTTGCTATACCAGTTAATATAGTATTTAGATCAAGTGTATCTTCATAATCTAATTTAAAACGTGTATTTTCATCAACTTTTGTTTCATCACCATTTTCATCAGCTAATGAACACCAACGAATACGAATTCTTTTTGTATCATTATAAACATCTTGTAAAACTTGACAAAGAAAAAAAGCATCAGCTGGACTTCGACATGTTATAAATGTTTTATTTGTATATAAAAGTGTTCGCAAATCATTCGATGATGATGACGATGATGATGATGTAGATGCTAATAATGTATCTAGTTTTTCATGGGCTGATTTTTCTGATAATGATGTTGTATCATCATCATCATCATCATCGAATTGACTTCGACCGAATGTAGTTGTATGAACATGACGATCAACTTGAACAACCTGATAAACAAAAAAACCAAAAATTAATTTAACTATTGCACACTTAATCAGATCAGACTCTTATTTACGATTTTTTTTATACTTCATGAACATATGAATTAGATTTCTGTAGTTAAGTATTGATAGAAAAAGAAAAATATTATTCACTTTTTTCTTTCAAATTCATCATGCGAACTGTAAAATTAATAAGAATATGTTTTATTTTATTCAGCTACGAAAATTGATCGATATGAATTATAATCGAATAACTTAAAGTTATACAGTAAAAGCGTCTTTTTTTAAATGAAGGTCATCGATCGCAGACGAATAAGTTAAACCCATACAAAAAACTGTATGTGTTTCTCTGATGTATACCATATATAAACTAGAATTTTTTTTTAAACATTAAACTGACAGATTTTGTCAAATTACATTAGAATTAATTCTGATAGAACAGTTCCATCAGAAAAAAATAGAATTTTATTGATAGTGGAGCTCTGCATCATTAAATTACATAATCAAAGTTAATGTCCCATGTAACAAGAATAACTAAACGTTTATGAATAAATATTAAAGTTCACTTGAAATGGCTGAATAAGCGCAATAATAAGTAAACTATTTTAAAAAGATTTTTTATATAAAGCATTATGTTCGCACCAAAAATGGAATTGGTTCGTTTCGTAGTATTCCAAATCAACTTGGATTTAACTTTTGAAAAACCTGAACCGATTCTATCTCTGATATTTACACAAGGCAAAGTTCATTTTTAATTAGACGCAAAACTACGAAATAATTTTCTTTTATTTAAAAACAAATTCTAAATTTCATTTACATATAGAAAACATTGAACGTATCTGCTTCTTTTAATTGACAGAATAGTTATTATTATTATTTATATTGTAATGTATGTATCAACATTAGAAAATAATTTTCGAAAGTATCTTTATCAAATTTTATGTTTTTTTGAGTATTAAATTCCAAGAGAAGACAACTATTATTCTACTATGAGGAATACATAAGTTAAAGAATTTTTCATTTTTTAGGATGTAAAATAATTCACCGAAACTTAACAAAATCCTATATTTATTTATGAAACACGTAAAATTCGAAGACAAATAAATGTCAATCAAAATACTAATAGAAAAAAAGCAGACTTAAAGATCCTTTCTCTTCCTTCGATTGAAGCTTACACTAAAACAAACTATGTTTCCATCGAGATCAGTGGCGAACTCTACAACTTCCTAGAGATAACTAGACTTCCATTAAAGTTAAATATAATTTTATATATCAGTTCTTTTTTCGAGTTTTTTAATTTTTGAATATATATTTATGCAAATTAGATGAAAATCGTTGGGAATAAAACGAACAAGTAGAAATAAAGATTACATAGTTTTAATTATTTCTTGTTCAATTTAAAAAAAAAATTTCTTTTTTTTTGATTTCAGGTTTAAAAAGCCTGAATCGATTTCATTTCTACTTCATCCTATAAAAGTATCTTAATAGATATTTCTTTTTACTTTGCATTCAATTCAGAGCTTTGTTAAAAAATCTTTTGTTGAAAATATGATAATCGAGTTTCGAACTAATAATTTTCTTGCAACGAAGGCTTAGATAAGACCGGATAAATCCTAACATGATTTGTGCTGCTAGCTATAGTCACGTTACTAGAATTCCAACTTCTATCAGAATAGTTAGAATAAAAAAGAATCGAATCATAATATTTTGACCTGAAATTTCACTCATACATAAGCTCTAATGACATTTTGCATGTCCTTACAATTTCAGCTCGAACGGATGAACGCATTATAAGATATTGTATCTATAAAAAGGCCACATATTTCATCAAAACTGTAAGAAAATTGTGTTTATTCCATAATTCTCTGTCTCATGACAGACTCATTTTTTTGAGCTAAAACTTTTAGAACCTGCAACATATTATTAAAATCTATGTATGGGTTATATTGTAGATCAAAATATGATGATTGAATTTTTTCTCTGTATATCTTGAGACAAGCTTAATCTTCAATAAAATACCTATAACTCGATACGGAATGTCTAGTAGCATAAACCCCTCTTAGAATATTTTTGCTCTTATCATGACCTTTTTTTTTCAAGAAAGGTATTTTGATTATGATTTGGGAATATTTCTGTATTAGCATTAACTTCAACAAATAATTAATCGAACTCACATTCCAATAACTTCCATTTAAACCTGTATGAACAGTTTTCTTTCGTGATTTTCCACTCGTATTTGTTGTTTTTGGTCGAGTTTGTTTCTAAAATAAAAATTCAATCTATCTGTCTTGTTCAATATTCTTTTGTATATTAATTCTTTGCTTTTTACGCGTTTCGTATCAGCTGATTTCTTCTTTCGATTCTTTTTAATTGAACCTTTAACTGGCTCTTTTACATCTTTGTCTTCAGTTGAAGAATGTTCATCATTTTCAGCTACCTAAAATTAAATCAAATAGAACAAAATAATTTTTTTTTTCTTTCCTGTAAAGAGTAATTAAATTACATCGACAATTTTTAATTTGGACTTCTTGCCTCCAACTAAACCTTTTTCATCATCTGAAGAATCACTTGTGTCCATGTTAATTCTATCATATAATTCATATTTTAATTAATGGATACTTTTTTTTGACATTCGCAAAAAAAAAAAGAAACTCACGTTTGAGTTTATGCAAATTGATAGACAAGCACAATAGTTTAAATAGCTAACAGCATGAGGAATGTAGATATAAATATGATCAAAACAAAGAACAGAACGATAAAAAATAATTTCACAGGTGTCGTGAAATTCTTTTTCTTACCGCAATGTGATTTTATAACTGGTAAACTCAACTCAAGTAACACATGAAAAACATTTTTTTTTCATTGGATGAAATAAGTCATATCAATGCAAATAAATATAACGATAGATGGCAATATTTTACAATATGCATTGCAAACAAGATAAATGCACATTGATTCAGAGAAAAAAAAGAAACTTGCTTTCCAATACTGCGAAGAAGCAAAATATTCAACTGTTAATCGCTGATTGAAGAAATATATTGCTCATAAGTGAGACTCAATGAGATCAGAAAAAGCTTGAAAAAAAATTTTTCTCCATAGACCTTTCTTAGGGAGTTATGATCGTTTTATCAGATATGGCAAAGTATCCAAAGGAAAATCTAGTGAATACTCAAGAAAATTTGGCTTTATAATATTTTTTTTTGTGAATATTGAATACTCCGAGAAAGAGCCTTCTATTTTGACGAAAACTTTTAGGACATACTCAGGGTCAAGAAACCTAGTTATGAATAACAATTCAGATGAAAATTCTTTCGTCTTAATTTTTCTACGAGTACTTTGCTATAAGCTGAAAATTTGATGAGACGGTCATAATCTGTTAATTGTGTTCCGGTCAAAAAAATTTTGAGTCTGATAAAGTTTAGTTGCCAGAAAAAGGTGTAGGATGCACTAGTCACTAAATACAAAAAACTGGAAGAAAGTATCTCACGATTTTGGAGTGACGATCTGGTTTCGATTAGAAAATTTCATGGAATGTATCAGAGTACACTTACATTCGGTTTGGATTGAAATTCAAAAACTTTAGACTCAACGGACTTTAACGGATAGAAACACTTTCAGACTTTTATTTGGTCTCACTGACGAGGGAGCATTCTCAACTGTCACATCGCTTTTAAGCTGAACGTATGCACATTATGTAGACTCTCAGGATCTATGAATTCTCTGAAAAAAGTTGGTGCTGCTAGCTTATTATTGCCGAGATACAGCGTTTTTACTGTATGTTTAAGAAAAAAAGCCGTGGTCCCCCTCAGGAACATCGGAAAACTGAATTTCGAATTTCGTCTTGAAACTTTGCATAGATATAGGCCTCAATGAGAATACTTTATTGTGAAAGTTTCAGCTCTTTTCGCTGTTCCTATCCTAAGATATAGCTATCGTAAAATTGTTCATATACACCAGCAGATCCGATGTTCTTATCTCAGACTAAGAGCAACCAAAAAATCTGAAACCTTCACAATAAACTATTCTCATTGAGGCCTGTCTACATGCAAAATTTCAGGTGGAAACTCAAAAGTCACTTTTCTTGATGTTCCTGAGGGGGACCACGGCTTTTTCCTTAAACATACAATAAAAATGCTGTATCTCAGCAGTAAGAAGCTAGCAGCACGAACTTTTTTCAGGACATTCATAAGTCATTAGGGCCTACATAATGTCCATACGCTCGACTCAAAAGCGATGTGACAGTTGGGAATGTTCCCTCGTGAGTTCTATTTATGAACAAAATATCATTTCGATCGACGATTAGCAGATAACTATGTTCCCTCGCTAGTAAATTTGAAATACTGTTTATCTTCTTTAAAGAAAGTCTAGATACGAGATATTTTTCTGATCGCTAATAAATTCTTCCAATTGACAATAGATCAATGTATTAGGAGGAGAGAGAAAACGTTAATAGTCAACATTATCGGGGATAAATCTTTTAAAAACTTGTAAGGTACTAACCGACGACTCACAATTTTCTGATTAGGTTCAATCTGACACTTCAAAATTATTTTAACTTTCAAACGATATTCATTCATATTTATATTAACTTTGATGAATATTTTCTGAAATTCAGTCAAATGATTCGATTACATAAATATTCATTTGTTTCTACAAAGAGAACTTCAATTCAATTTTTTTTTTCTTGTAAACTTGACCAATGAATATATAGACGAAAAACAAAAAAAACTCGAGAATAGCCATAGCTATTGTCGAACAGAAGACACACGTGTCTAATTGATTTGAATATGCATTTAAATTAGTTTGCTATAAGACAAAAAACGACTTGTCATCTACGTGTTAAATAGACTAGTAAACTCCCCATCGTGCTCATTGAATACAAACAGAAGAAGAGAAAGAAAAATAAGGATTCCTCCCTTCTCTTCTCTCTATTTTTTCATATTCAACCAATCGACCTTTTTTCGTTTCATTGTTTCTTTTCTTCTTATTAACATTGATATACTCATCCTTGTCATTTGTTTTCTCTTAAAACTACTATATTCATATGAATCATTTATTTTATCAATTTAATACAATGTTCTTCAGTTAAAAAAAAAAAAAAAAAGAAAATTTAACAATGAAATTATTCGTTATTTTTTTCTTAATGTCAATTAATGCAAGCGAACAATGGCTGTAAGTGAAAGTTTTCTTTTCTGATATCTTTATTCTGATCAGTTAGAAATGAACAATATACTTTATTAAGTGATAAATTTAATTCATCTTACCGGAATATGAACGAAATAGAAACATTTTTGTGTTACGGATAAATCTTGCGATCATTTTTCACGTAAGCATAATTAAAAGCATAACTTATTGCATGCAACCAAAAAATTAGGCCAATTAATACAAAATGACTGCTATAACATTGTTTTCGTTTGATTGTGATTGCAATATATGGTGACTTAAAGGAAAAAATTCGATTATAATTTGCATCTTAATAGTAATACATATATTAAAAGGTTAATACTCTCAAGTAGAACGAAACATGAACTATTAAAATAAGCTAAATCAATTTTATTCGAAATATTAGTATGAGTTCAATGATCGATGTTTGTTATTTTTTAATTTAAAAGAAATCATTTTTTGAATGAACGTATTAAAATTATAATGCATGAAAAATGTTTCATTCCTAAAAGCGATCAATTTACTTTGATCGACTTAAAATTTAGAGTCCCGAAAAATTAAGAAATAGTGATATCAAAGAAAATAGTTTGCTCATTTTTATAATACCGAATCAAGTTCATTGAACACATATGAAAAAACAAGATCAATGATCATTCAATATGTTCAAGAACTTTTCGTTTGTTATTTGCTTTTAAACTATATATTTATTGCTCATAAAAAATGTAAACTTAGACGAAATATAAACATCACGATAGATTATTAATCACACTTGTAGAAAAAGTTCAAACAAATAAGATATTGTTTATCAGTTATCTTTCAAATATATACATACCGCATTTTTTTTTCAAAAGCAATGTATCTATACATTTGTTTCTTTTGATTATTTATTGAGAGGCAAACGTGATTAGATGTATTTTTGAGAGATTGTAATTTGCTACTAATTTCAAAGAATTATTCACATAAATTGAATGACTTAGACGATTTACTTTCACGTGATTATTTGAAAGAAAAGAGGGTTCGAGTTACAGTTTGGGCCTGGGTCTTTTCTACATTCACAATCTACATCCTGATTGTGTCGATGACTATTCATTTCTTTTTTTCCGAATAATCAACGAAAGATGAATTTTCATATTATGCTTTTCAAAGAACAATATTCGTGAGTGGAATTTTTGAGTCGAGCCTTTGCGGCTCTTCCTCTTCATAAAAACGCGGAGAGGAACAGTGGAAGGAAGTCAAGACCAATGATTGCTAGAAACATTTTCTTAGTAACCGAGGACAACAGCCGTTAGTTTCCTGTCTCAAAGTCCGTTAATAATGGAAAAATGCGCTGAATGATATTATCAAACAGATTTAAACTGTTTTAGAGCATTTTAAAGTTTTCGTCGAAATTTTAGTGACTAGATCGTGTTTGTAAATGTTCCAAATAGTGTAGCTTATCATTTTTGTGCATAGACTTCTTATTATATGCAGAGGGGTAAGTCACCACCAAAGACAGGGGGGAGGAGGTAGGGCATAGTCCTTTGAATTGTCTTTTCTTTGGGGGAGGAGGGTGTAAAAAAATTTTTGCCTGAGACTGTGTGTTTAAAAAAATGGATTTCTAGTTATTTGCTATGTTTTTTTTTGCGTAGACAACATAGTTCAGAAATCCATGTAAAAAATTTGAATTGAGAATCAGATTAAAAGTCGATTTTTAATGGCATTACTATAACCTGATTTTAATTAGACTTTTTACCTTTAAATGACAAACTTTATTTGGTTTCGACTTTTTTTTATCTATTTTAATCTATTACCAACAACGACTGTAATAATAGCTTTAAAAAAAATCAAAATCAAATAAAATTTGTCATTTAAAGCTGAACAATCTGATTAAAATTAGATTATAATAGTGTCAATATAGTCGATTTTTAACCTGATTCTTAATCCAATTTTTTTTACATGCGAATCACTACAGCAGAAAAGAAGCATGGATTAAAAAGAAGAGAGACGCACACAAAGATATAATGATAGAAAAGTGGATGGGCACAAAAGGGATACACGGTTGTTCCAAGGTAATCCAGATTAAGAGACCCATCTACATCTTTTTCAGCACTGTAATCTTCTTGTGCTCATTGTGTTACAAAAAATACTTTCTACGAAAAAACATCTTAGAATATGAAAAAAAATTGATTGTTTTTTTTTTTACCTTCCTTCATTTTAAGGAAGAAAACAGTCATCTTATGGAGTCAAAAAAGTTTCGAGGTATGTCTAATTCCAAAGGCGGTTACGTCAGCGACTGTTGATAGAAATAATACTTTATAGAACGCAGCATTAATAGAAACTTCCTAGAAATAGGCTTTAAGCCTTCAAAATATGGTTAGGATTATGCAATTGACACCATTTATGCAAGCGAAATTGCTTTGTCGGCAGGTCTAAATCCTATTTCAGTGTTGTTGCGTTCAAAAAACTAAATGGTCGTTGAGTGAAAGCGTTGATAATTGTTTAAAAGTTTTTGCCGCCAAAGGCGCCCGCGCGCGTGACTATTTAAAAAATAAAACTCCTTAGGCGTAAAAGTACCATAAAAAAATGTTTAAACGACATATTAGACTCCTTAGATTAATTGTGATTGTAAAGTTCTCACGTTTTCGAGAAGCGAAATTTTTTTTTCACTTGATATCTTGTTCGATAAAGACTTATTTAATTCAGCACTTTTAGCCAAAGAGTTAGTAAACTTCTACTTTATGTCTGTTTTCGCCCTTTTTACTAGTGAAAAAAAACCAAAACTTTCAAGTATTGGAGAGGTGGGCGCACTACATAAGCAGTTTTTCAAATCAGAGGGACGTTCTCGTAGAGAATTTCAAAAGCAAGGGGGCGTAACGCTCAGCACGCCCTCCCCCTATTTATGCCCCTGCCTATATGTATTAAGCTGTAATTAGAATACAGATTCTATGTAACGGATTAATTAAATTGTCGAGTTTTATTTAGATCAATTATTCAAGTGTCTAATGTATCATTTGTAAGACGAGATCTTTGTCATATTAAATATGGTCTTCATCATCGACAAATTCGTTTCTGTCAACGAAATGAACATATTATGCGTTTTATACGTTCCGGTACCAATTTAGCATTAGAACAATGTCAAATACAATTTAAAAATCGTCATTGGAATTGTACATTGTTCAAAGACAATGATTTAATTGGAAATATTCTTGATTCGGGTTAATTATTTCTTTTCTTTTTTTTAAATTACAATGAATATATTTTATTTTTTGATCTGATAGGAACAAAAGAATCAGCCTATATTCATGCATTAACATCAGCTGGTATTGCATATGCAATAACAAAAGCTTGTAGTAATGGACGACTCAATTCTTGTGGATGTGATATGACAATAAAAGATAAATATTTAAATGAATCGATTCAATGGACTGGTTGTTCAGATAATGTTTTATTTGCAACAGAAATTACAAGAAAATTTGTTAATCTTCGAGAATATGAAACAAAAACTCGAACGAGTTTATTAAATATACATAATAATCAAGTTGGAATTCGAGTAAAGTTGTCTTTTGAATTGTAACAAATGAAAAAAACCTTTTTTTTTTTTCTAGACAATTCTTTCATCAGTTGATCAGCAATGTAAATGTTATGGTGTATCTGGATCTTGTGAATTGAAATCATGTTGGCGTTCACTTCGTTCATTTACATATATTGCTAATCAATTAAAAGAATTCTATGATAATTCAATAGAAGTATATTTAGAACGAAATTTAATCAATAAAAAATTACAATGGATACCTAAAAATATTCCATTTCAAAAAGAAAAACAATCAATATCAATAACATTCAAAAATCATATGATTTTTATAAAGTCAAGTCCGAATTACTGTGAAATAAATTTATCTATTGGATCATTTGGTACAATAGGACGTGTTTGTAATCGAAATTCACGTGCTATTGATGGATGTGACTTACTTTGTTGTAATCGAGGTTATCAATCTCAGATAGTGACTATACACAATCAATGTAATTGTCGTTTTCAGTGGTGTTGTTATGTGCAATGTCAAAGTTGTGTTATAACTCGAGAAATTAGCCGTTGCTTATAAGCGAGTTCTCGGTTCTTTTTTGTGTTTTTCGATTTTTCATTGAGTGTTAAAATAAATTTCGTCCTTTTCTTTTATACATACTCACCCTGTAAAATAACATATGGGCGTGCACAATCGTATAATATCCTAATTCTTATTTGTTTATATAGCTTTAGCCAGATATTAGAAAAATGTGATTTTTTTTACTAGTCTTATTATATTTATAATACTAATGATCTGTTATTGTTTGAGTTCCATGTCTCTCTAGGACCAAGAGTTATCAAGTGTTTCCTTATAATTATTTTGTTAAAGCACTTCACATCTTATTTGTTAACGTATATCCACTTTAATTTGACATCTTTTTGGGCAATACCAAATTTGTCAACGTATATAGAGAATAAGACAAAGTTCAGAGAAAAAAGAATAGTATCTCCCTTACATGTTACACAGACGATAATATGCATATGTGGAAGGTACGACGCATAATTCGGCAGGTATGGGTATCTATGAGTCTAGTTATTGCTATTTATGAAGTTCAAATAGGTTGCTGATCGCTAATTCCTTCCACTACAATATCCATGCAATTAATAAACCATAGCAGAGTCGTGAATCTTATGATAGCTTTGAAGCTAACTTCGCATCTCTTGTAATTAACATCCTGGCAATATGTTTGGTCTGCTTCATCGGTCAATCAATAAGTTTTGTTGACTATTATACAACTCTGTGAAGAGTGATTTATTGAAAACATCTGATTATCTACCTTTATCGTCATTAATATTGAATGAATTTTTGAGTGAACGAAAATAATAATATATGGATTTTCAAATATCATTGATGCGTTGTGCTTTCGTTAAATGATAGAGACAAGACGAAACAATCAAGTTCAATGTAAACGTTTTATATAATCACACTGAAAATATTCTTTCCGTTAGTTTTGAAAGAAAAAGATTTATCTTTAAATTTACATCTTCTATTTAACTGAATAGAGTTGGATACATTTTAAAGCGAACTGAACTGAGAAAGTTTGCTAGAGTAGTCACTTTGGGGTTGAAGTGTAGAATCAACATATGTTGTTTAGCCTCATGATACCTAATACAAAATATGTTAAGTGACAAATCTCTCGTAGACTAAAGTTATTTTCTAAGGATAGTCGATCGTCAGAAAAATGATCCGTCTGAATTTATGATGCGTGACAAATCAATGCATGAGTACCCATCATTTTGAACATCTTTGATATATATTTTTATATGCGCAAAAACCAAAAACTGTACCATTTAGAATATTCACAAACACATTCCAGCAATTCAAATTTTGAGGAAGACGTTGAGACGTTGTAGAAAAGTCTAAGGAACTCAGAGAAACGAGTCTGATGTTTGTTGTCTTTGTTTTCTAAAATTTGTAATAAGGATGGAAAGTGGAAGAGAATGCCTCAAAATTTCGACTTAAAGCTTGCAATATGTTCTTCGGAAATATTATATGTGAATTTCGGAATAATTTATTCTGTTAGTTTCATGGATTATTGTTGGTTCGAGTGTTGAAAAAACAAAAAGAAATTATTTGCATAATTTTTAAAATTCTTAATTTGAATAATTTCTGTTAATTATTTTTATCAAATACAAGGAAAAGAAAAATGAGCAAAAGAAAAAAAAGACTTTATTAAATTTTTTGATAAGTTGGATTTGATAATATATAACTTTTTGATGTTGGTTTTCGTAATGTTTTGATATATTTTCCTCTTGTGATACTTCGATAACCAGATTTTTTTCCTATATTCATTGAATATTGTTTGATTTTCTTAGATTGTTTTCTGATGTCGATTGCTGATAAATCACTCATCTCCATAGGAGCATCACTAAAACCAAGTAAAAGAACTGAATTTTCAAATAATTCTGATGCAACACGTGGAATTTTATTTGATCTATAACGTTTTGTTTGTTTTCTTGTTAAATAAGTATGAATATCACTTGCAATAACAAGACAACCAATAGAAATAATTAATAAAATCGCTACACTAGCAAACGATTTACTTGCAACTTGTATTAAAAGCATTTCTACTCTTCTTTCTTCACATTCATTCCCATAATATCCATCAAAACATGAACACCTATACGAATTAATATCATCGAGGCATATTCCATGATTAGAACATTTTATATTTATACAATCATCAATATTATCTTCACAATGATCACCTTGAAAACCTTGTGGACATAAACATTTTTGTTTGGAGTTGATATTTAAATCAACAATCTCAACTAAATTTCCACCATTAACACAATAACCAAAGGGATATCTTAAATATTGACAATGTTCACCTGTTATGTATAAGGGACAAATGCATTGATAATGAACTTCTGTTGTTTTTTTAAGAGAAGAAAATTTATTATCATAATCTGGTAGAAGAGATTCACAAGTACCACCATTCAAACATGGATTTTCACTTTGACATATATCAAAAAAGAATCTTAACGGTTGATCAAGGTCACATGATTGTCTTAGCATATGTAATCGAGTAAAAACTGGTCCTATATGACTTGGTGTTCGATTACCATAACGAACAGTTCCTTCAATAAAATAATAAAAACAAAATTTTTATTATTTAACGCTAACACGACTACTCGAATTCTACACAGACTCTAGTCATTTTCATCACACGGTTATAAATATACAGTATTAGAAGAAACTGCTCATCTTCTAGATATGTTCTAGTGAACAATAGTAGACTATTCTGATAATACCTACCTATTACACACAGCTATTGTGTATATAAGTAGACTATACCGAAATCTATATGAACGTTTATTGACTACCTGAGGTTCGTCCAGACTTCAGTGAGATTCATTGTTATACTATGTATTTATAGCAAATAATGAGATCATGACTTTCAGATATGCGTTTGGGACATTTACGAAGGAAGATGTCTAAGCGATAAATCGTTTTTAAATTAGAATCCTATGCAATCGATAGAGTCTAGAGAGTAGGTAAATATACTAGAGTAGTTCGAGCTGTTAGATCTTTGTTGTTGGGATATCGAAGTTTTGAGTAGATTTGTCTTGTAGGGTTCTGGTTTTCAAGCGAAACTATACTTTTGAATTTTGAACTAAGACTTTGATCATATAAACGACGCGATCAGACTAGCTTGCAGAAATAATTTCACAATCATTTAATAAAGTGTCTATATTTCGAAGTGTTATTCGATATCTTAAAACCAAAGATTCAACAGCTTGAACCACTCTAAGATATTTACCTACTAGTTAAGTTCTATCGATGAAATATAGTCCGAATTCAAAACTGACTTATCATTTAGGCACCTTCCCTCCCTAGGCCAGTGCATTGATAGCACTAGTCAATCATATACAATTGTCTTTCTTAAGTACATCAATTCAAAATATATGTGACTACTGAATAGTGATCCATGATTTCAAACGTCTCAATAATAGAGAATGATAAGATGATGAAAAAAGACTAGATATATATTGTTCAAACTAATTGCTTTTCTGTTTGTTCTTCTTATAATCAAGTCTTCCTTCGTATCTTCATGATAGACTAGTAAAAAATTTGCGTGTTATATTTATTTTATCATTCGGGATCATTAAGATAAACTCTGCTTTGATCGAAAGTGAAAACGTCACAAAAAACTTTTAAAAAAATAAAAAGTAAAACTTTGAAAGATGTTGGATAAAGATGTCAATATCACATGATCAATATCGACTTATGGAATGTAAGTATGTATCTGAAGAGAAGACACATTTACACACACGATAATTTCAAATTATCATAATAGAATAAATTATAGTATTTATCAAAATCACATCAATATATGAGATTTGATTAATTTTAGAAAAAAAAACGTGTAGAGAATTTTCATATTTTAAGAATGTTTTAATGCATCGAAGCAGAAAGACGAACGAAAAATATTATTACAAAGTCGAATAAGCACGTTGTCTAATCGATATAATAACTATTACTTTACAGTATCTAATCTCCTTAACGATCTATCTTTTATAAAATTATGATTGTACAATAAGAACATTATTTAAAGTTGATAAACTAACATTACGAAGTATTTTTGCTTAGCTTTTATTCTTTCTTTTCCAATGATAAATAAATATTTCATTCGAATTTAGCTGCTTGGTTCTTAATTTTCTTAAGGAAAATAAAATACTCGAAAATCTCCAACTCAATTTTTGACATTTGTACTATTGTGCTTTATTGACTTCATACTTTTGATCAAAGTTAGGACATTCGTCCATATGAACTTCAGATCAACAATAAGTGATAGTCATAAAGGTAGTGTTGTGTTAAATTCAACAAAAATAAGTTGTCTTACCAGCTTTTGAAAGCTTTAAATTTATTTCTAGATTATTTTCATCTGTACAAAATTGACTATCAAAATAAATTTCAGCTGTTTCAGAATCAATTTGTTGAATATGCATATTCATATTATCTAACTTTGTTAATTTTAATTCAAATTGTTCAGTCTTAATATAACCGATAATCACATCAGATAATGATTGATTTGTTTCATTATTTCCTTGATTCATTGCTAATGAAAATTTTTTTGCTTGAACTTTATCAACTTGCAAATTAACTGGTGAACCAATAATATTTGTTGATAAACGATTTGCTTCAACATTTGTAATTGTTAAATTTGTTGTTCTATGAAAATTTGATGAATAAGAAGAAGATGGTACTGCTATATCGAAAACAATACTTTCATTTGTATTTAATGCAAGATTCCATGATGATGGTGGAATATCAAGTAAATTAAAATAAATAATTTTTTCAGTAGAAGAATTGGTTGTACTATTGAATAGTTTATTGAATAATTCATTTGATAACAGTGTATTTGATGAATTTATGTTTATAGATGGTTTAATTACAATCATTTGTTGTTGAAGAGACGTTGAGTTTGAACGGTCAATAGAAAATGGAGTAGAAGTTAAGAATTGATGATTGATGGTGGATGTCCGAACTAAAGAAGTACTTGTATTAACAGTTGATATTCGTGATTTCCAATGTGTTATTTTTCGTCTACGAGTTCGATATACATCTGTGGACTTTGTGGAAGTAGTGGTCGATATTGTTGATAATTTGCTAGTTCGTCTTCTTGTCGGTCGACGAGATCGTGTCGATGGATAAGTTACAACGAGAGTGGAATGTTCAGTTTCGGAATTATGGACATCAAGAAAAATAGTTGATGTTATTTCTGATGAAGATTGGAACGAAGTGTGTATTTCAGAATCTTCATTGGTAATTACAAGATTCTGTTCATCATTTGTAGTTTCTAATCGAAGACTTGAATACTCATTTGTTTGGACTGTCGTGGTTAAATCCAAATTAGTACTAGTAGTGACGATAGTTGAAAGGATTGTATAATCGGTCGTACTTGATTCTAAAGATATTGTAGATGTAAGTGACTCGTCGTAGAAAATGTTTGAAAATTTCGATATGAATTGATCATTAGTTGCAGTGGATGATAAAGAGGAAGTAGTTGATGTATAACTTGAAGAAAATGATTCGTCAAAGAAAATAGAAATGGAATTTTTCTCAGTAATATCTGACGATGTAGATAGATCAGTCGTTTGTAGCAGATTAATAGATGATGGTGGCAACATAGTGGGAGGCGCAGATATTGTTGTAGTTGTTGCTGAAAAGTATTTTGACGATGATAATCGATTGATTTTTGTTAATGTCGTGCTTGAATGTGAAAGTGAAGGGTGAAGTGGTGATGATAATTGAGAATTAATGGTGAGAATAGGGACTGTGCTGGATACAACAAATGGTGATGATGAGTGTAGGGTAGTGGATATATTAACGTCTGTTGATATCGATGAAGAATTAGTTTGATTGTTTTCATTTTCCATCTCTGTATGGATGAAATTAGTGACTGTCATGAATAGTGTTTCATTTTGTATATTTTTTATCGATTGATTTGTGATTACTTGAAATTCATCATTAAGATCATCGTGAAGATTGTAATTGAAACTCATAGTAGTGGTCGAATAAGATTGATTTTGAAGTAGAGTAGTGTCGAGAAGAATATTCGGAATCATTACATCACTAGTCTTTAGTGAAGAAGAATGGATCTGATTGTCATTAATCTCTAATACTGATGGATCAGATGGAGTTGCAAGTAATTCGAAATCAGAAGAAGAATGAGAAACATTAATGTTCGAGAAATATTTAGGCATTGACAGGGTGGCATTCTCATGGATAACAGTTGAAGGAAGCTGTGTTGGTTCGATGTTATCAAAACTCGAAAAACTTTGATCTGATTGATGAACTAAGTTAAATTCCGTCACGAAAGATTCTTTTTTGGTAGTTAATGGCTCATGCGAAGATATTGTAGGTGATACATGCTTTGTATTAGAAGCATTTTCAACCAATCGATCTGTAAGATAATAAATTTTATCGATAGATAAATCAGCATTCGAAGGTTTTTCATCTGATAAAAACATAGATCGTGTCATATCAAATGGATTTGTCATTAGAGTTGTTTCTAGTGATGTGCTAGTTGACATAGGCGAATGTAAATATTCAATATTAACTTCATTTGATAATGACGATGATAAAAAGGGTAATTTATCTTCATTCATTTCTAAATTTTCTTGTGTAATCTGCTTATCATGATCTTTGTCTTCATGGCTTGTTGGTAGTTGTGTAATTGACGAGAACAAGGAATCGAATGTTGAAAGCTGAGAATATTCATCAAGTGTATTGGTAGATACATCTGTATTGCTAATAGAAGTAGTGTCAACATCAGAAAATTTTTCTATGTTATCATGAATCACATTTGAGATTTTGACTGAATTAGTAGAAGTTAAGTTTTGAGTGTTAGATTGCAAAATTTTTAAAGGATCTATCGTGCTATTCATGTATTTTGAAAATATATTGAGATTGGATGATGATTGTAAATCGTAATTAAGTAAAACAGTTTCTCTGAGATCATTTGAATAATTAATGTATTTTGCATCTAGCTTTGAATTTGGTAACAACTTTTGTGTTAAATTAGTTCGAAGTACTAGATCGTCGTCGAGTAATAGATTCTTTTTGTTTTGAACATCTAATATCAAATTAGTAGTAAACATTAATAATTCTGAAGAATTGATTGTAGTATTTATATATCTTGAGAAAGTATCAGAATTAGATAATGACGGTGTTGTAAAATCAACTTGATTCAATAGTAAGTTATTATCAAAGCGTAGATTATCATCAGACGAATTATTTCGAAATTCATTTGATGAAATAGATGTCGAGTTTTCTTCTGAATGAATGTTTATATTCAAAGTCGTTTTATTGAGTGATGAAGTTCGTTCTTCGAAATCACTCGATGTAGATATCTCAGATGTAGACGTGAAACGATGATATATGTGTGTAGTATCTGTTGTTATTGATGATAATAATTTCGATACTGACGAAAATTTCAGTTCACTAATGTTATCAGTCTTGATATCATTCAAATTAAACACTTCACTCCTATTGACAACTACAGATGATAAGGGAAGGTTAGTGAAAAATAGTGTAGTTATTTGTGAAACATAACATCAAAAGCAAGAGAAAACATATACAATTACATTTTTTTGCTTACCGGGACGTCGAATATAGACAACTGGTTTCTCAGGATCTGAGAAAAAGAGAGCATTGAGCTATTTTCAAGAGAATACAGACATAATTAATTTACCTATAAAAGAAAGAAAATTAAACATCCATGTAGTTGGAATTTTTCCAGAATTTTCTTTAACAGTAACATAAACGTATGTAGTTGAATTAAGTCTTTCAATTGTTATCGGTAAATCGGATGTTTTCGGCAATACACTACGTATTGTTGTATATTTTTCAACATACATTATTAATATCATTAATTTTGTTGCTATAAATCTAATACACAAAATATCGATAATTTACAAACCAAAATAAAGATAATAATCCAAGGTCTACTCTTTCATAAACGGCATGTTTTTTTTTGTTTCACACGGCAGTTTTTTTTACCAAAATTTTTGATAATTTCCATCCTTCTTCTATTTGAAAAACATGTTGTTTTTAGAAAAAGCCAAAACTATGCTTTTCGCTTTTTCTCTATTTATGCAGCCATCATGATTGAGTAGCTACGGCATTCAACATGTATCTACAAGGAACTCTCTGAAATCTTAGCATCACCAACTACGAAATGATCTGGGTAAATTGTTCATTAATGGCTATTTGTCTTGGTTTACCCCTCCACTAGCATGCTGACCAGCGTAAGTTATGACATACACCTGCCCTTCTATTTAATTAATGTGTAGAAAAAGCTTAAAGGATTGCATGCAAGAAGCCCGTATCAGATTGACCTTATTTCCAGAGCTACAGCTAATGTTATTTGTAGAAAAGATATTCAGTTAATAAACCTGCTCTTACGCAGCATCCCATGCCACAAGACAGAAATGTTCTTCCTTCTTGTTTATCCTTTTTTTGATCATTCAAACCAGAATTCTTTGTGAGCTTGCAATCTATATATTTATTTTTTGTTTGAAAGAATATGTCAAGATGCAGAGCATGACAAAGGGACATGATCTTTTAAACAATAAAAAAATTAAATGTATAGTATGAACGCTCACAGAGAAATTTGAATTCCCACACGAGCTACTTTTGACTCTTGTTTGTTGAATATCTTCCGAAGTTATCGTGATGTAGGTCTGAAAGTTTCATACGATTTGAATATACTTGACTCAAGATTGTTTTTTCTTTTTGAGTGAAATGAAGAAGGTAAACTTGAACTTACAGATGATTACATTCGTCTGCTATTAAACCAAATGGAGCTTTGATTGCACTACTTTTAATTATTTTTCCATACCGTACACGAAAGTCTTGTGTTATACGCAATTCATGAATTGTATGTTCTTGTTTATTAGCATAATAAACTATACCCGATGGAGTTATAACTATGTTTCCTTCATTTAAAGTACCATTTAGAATAACTGGTTCATGAATCAATATACCAGTATATGTATTAAATATTGAATAAATAAGACCAATATCCGTTGATATAAACAATATTGATTTTTCTGTTTTAGCATGATTACGTTTTATAGTTAAACCATTTACATGCATATCATTTTTATTCGAATGTATTAATAATGTTTTAATACAATTTTTATCCTCAAAACTTAATTTAAATTTATTAAAAATCACTTCACAAACGCGTAATGATAGAAGACCTGATTCTAAACGTGATTCATATATAAAAAATAGATCACGACGATCACTAACTGAGAATGATGTACTTGATGTAGCATAAATAACATCAGTGGTTGTTAAATTTACAATTAGGCGAATGGTTTGTGCATCATATACGTATAAGTGATGTTTTGGTTCAATAAATATTAATAAGTCATCATGAGGAGAATAAGCAAGAAAATTGTGAGTATAGACATGGGAGACATAAGTAATATTAGATGATATTGCAGATGTTCTATATTTGCCAGACGAAAGTATCGATTGAATCTAAATGTATAGTTGTAAAAAGATATTACTAAATTAAATTATTTTAATAGTATATAATTCATTTCTATTGAATTCACAGAAAATCATCTATTTGAAGAGATTAGAAGTTCGGATTTCTCGACCTCAAAAACTTTTGGTTAAAATATATCAATAATTGTTATTTTCGAAAAATAAATCTGTACTTTCTCTCTTGATTTTTATTATCATCATTGAAATATATATTTTTATATTTTAATTCTTCTTAATAGAAATTATTCAACACTAAATTTAATCTCATGGATAGTACTTATTCGAGTTCATTGAAACGACTTATAATTATAGATATGCAACAGGCTACTTTTATTCTGTAGAAAAAGAAAATCATTGGAAGATCATTATGACTTGTGTGTTATTCATACTAATTATATAAGATATGGTTCGAAAACAATAAAATTAAAGAAAAAGACCATCTTATTTTAATAGATAAAAATTTATTATTCTTTATATCACATTGAGAATTTACATAGGGAAATAAACCAGTGAAATATATTGAAAAGAAAACGATTATTTATTAATTCATTGAATTGACTGGAGAGAATAGGAAATGATCCGAATCAACATTCATGTGACTAACCTTTGAACACAACTGACGACTATGAACTGAAGTAGTTGAATTAATAGCATCTAAACTTTGAATTTATATGTATTCAAATGATGATGAAACAAAAAAAAGAATCTTACCAACAATAAAAACAATTTGAGTCAATAAAAGTATTAAATACAAGCTAGTCAAATAATTGAATTTAAACCAGTGAAAACCATCAACTAGCATTCTGAATGTGAAGTAAAGATCAATAATAAAAACTAATGATAGTTAGTGATATTATTGTATATATATATACATAATGTTCGTAATCAATTCCTGAACGTTTTTATTGTATTATCAGCATCAGAACCTTCTGTTTACTTCCATTGAAACACAACATGCATGATCTATTAGAAATCGATTGTCGTTATATGATCGAACGAGAAAATATTTATTGAGTAAAATTTTTCTCTTCTTCAATCTCCTGTCATTTCTTCCTGGCCGAGTCAAACATCGTAAAGTGATTACTTGACAAATTAAAGTAGGGTTCAGATAGGAAGTAAGAAACCTTCGTCGTCATTATTGTTGACGTCTTTTGGGGAACATTTATTCGAAGGTGTAGCAAGATGAATGATAAGAGAAAAGAAAAACGGAACTAATCTCGTTGCAAAAAAAACACCGAAAGAAAAGAAAACAATCTAACTTGAATAAGGTAAAAAAAGCTGCAATTGCATAGGAAGGAAATGGGAATATGATAAATATGCAACTGATCCAAAACTCGTTTTTTTCCTTATCATAACTTCTATTCTTCTTTTTATATTCCGTTTGCATTGTAATAATGTTCAATGCTACGTATCCTCGAATGAATAGAAGATATATTTCCTACATAATTAAAAACAAGACGAATGAGCAGGTACATTCTTATTACCATACTTATTGAGGAAAACGTATGGAATGTCACCAAGCTCTTTCCGAACAGTCTACATATAGTTTCTTTTTCTTGACTATTGACAAATATCTTGAATTGTTTAACACTAAAGAAAGTTACTTCATGTATTCGTTCATTCTTACTAGAAGAAAACTTGAAGATAGAAAGAAATTCAAGCCGTGGTTGACCTTCGCATATAACCATTTCAAGTGAATCCTCCAACTAACGAGATAAACTCTTCAGATGCTCGCTTCAGATTTCAATTATTTTTTTTTTGTCTATAGATCCTTCATAGTGTTCTAATGAAAATTTTAAAAGACTTTGCGTTCCTACTGAGATTGGATTAAGCTGTTCATTTTTTTGTAGCTCTATGTTTTCGAAAACTCCTACTTTCAAATTTTGATCCGAAACTTTGTGCATATACAAAAGTCAGTTAAACTAGCTCCTATAAAAAATTCACACGCTTTGAACAAAGTCTATTCGAGATATAAAATTTTCGAGATATATGTAGATCCTTTTTTCATGGATAATGTATACAAACTATATTTTTTTCAAGCTTCATATCTCGAAAAGACTTGGTTCAAAAATTATAAATTTTTTATGAAAGTTAGTCTACTTGAACTCTCTATATGCGCAAAGCTTTAGATCAAAATTCGAAAAATAGGAGTTTTCCGGAAAACTGGTATCTCTAGCAAATAGACATATTAACAACTTGTTAGCTTAGTCAAATCTTCATAGGAATTCTAATTTTTTAGGGTTTCTATTAAAATACTACGTAGTATCTACATACATGGAAAAGGGAATCATTAAAATCGGAGAAGGAAAGATGCTGAGATTTCCTTGTGAAACACATACTATTTCATTTTTCTTATTATTTGTGACAAAGCTTATGCTTATGCATTGAACTCTAATGTTAGGCTTCTCCATAGATTTTATAGAGATACATTAATTAGCTTTAATAAAATAATTAAAACGATTGCTCCCAATTGTATATCTGTATAAATCATTTTGAAAATAACATTTTGCTGCTCTACTTAATTAGAAATTTAGTTTATCTTCGGTATAAATAAAATTAAAACATTTTATCTCTGAAAGTAAATTTGAATTAATTCAGTGGATTAAATTTCTCAATGACAGGCAAGACGATTAGTGAATGTTATTAGCTTTCATTGAAATAAATTCTAATTTGCAAAAAAGCTACTCATTTGTTATTGATCAATGATGAATGTACAAAACAACAAGAAATTCTCAAGCACTTGAACTTTGTATCAAATACTTTTTAACAATATTCTGAATTCGAATCAAGAGAATTTTCTAAAGAAAAAATGTCTTAACGAAGAAATCTGGCTAGTTAATAAAAAAGATTTCAAGTTCAAACTTTGTCGACAAGTAAGCATTGTATACATTAGCAAAAGCTGACGAAGACAGCAGTTCAAGTTACGGCTTGACTGAGATATCGACTTATTCATATAACTCTCCTATAGCGTTCCATTGTCCTGATCAAGTCAAAATTTCGGATTGCGACCTGAAACTTTACTAACATCGAGGTTTCAATTACACTATTCAAAGCGATCATTTCAACTATTAGAAGCGAATATAAAACGACGTATAATTGTCTGAAGTTTCACTGTAATGCGTCATGTCGTTTTACGGGCTTACGAAATACAACGAAGAAATCATGTTGGTCTTCGCTGTTTTATATCGTTTTCAACCTTTTACATCATCGCTTTCTTTGGCCTGGGTAATTTGCATGAAAAATTTCAGAAATTTTGGAAATTATTTTTGAGATGTTAGCATAAAGACGGCTCCTTCTGGGTATTGTATGTTATGCACGTGTATTTTAGAAAACTCATATTGCATAGATTATCTATTCACAATTCTTGACACCTTGTCGGCGAGTTAGTCTGATTGAAGGCTTAATAGAGGCAGAATTTCTCATTGAAATTTTGAGTTCATCAAGAAATTGGAGTACTACAGAAAAAAAGTATAGTAAGAAGTCGATGTCGCAACCAACTCGCCACTTGCACTCATATGTTCATAAACTTTTTCTAATCTATGCATTTCTTACTTGTTGACAAAATTTGAACTCAATAGCCATTTATCACTTGAGTATAGGTTCTTGTAAAATGGAATTATTGAATTAGTTGTTCTTGTCACATCGAAATGATTAATCAAACTCTTTAGAAATTAACGAGTAGAAATAAATATTTGTCACCTTCATACCATTATCAAGTAGAACGTTTCATTGCATTAATAAATAAAAATTTCTAAACCTAACCAAAGTACAATTGGTAATGTTTCTGTATATGAATTCTTTGGTGTTCAATAAGAATTAATCGTATTATCTGTTGATAAAAGAAATAATTCGGAGTTTTTTTGAAAACCTCTACTAAATTAGTATCGTTGAATGAAGAATAGTTTCTCTTGTGAATATTCTGCAGCTTTGATTGATCATATAGAATGGACTTGAAAGATCAATATTATCATGTACAGTAATGAACAAATCTTCCTCTTCTACCACTAGATCACAGCTTCAATACACCATACAAGTCTGAAAATTTATATGAAAATAAGTTGCCAACAATGTAAATCAGAATCATAATAATGTCCCGATTACTCAACTACAAACAGAATTATAACAAAGAGTAATGAATAGCTTCTGTTTTTCTTTTCAATTTCATAACTTTGCAAAGAAAGAGATTTGAGAATCAACGTATTCTTTGTTACTTAGTACTATATGTTTCATCTATTGATATTACTGGTTTCATTGAAGTTCATCCATCTTCTTCTAACCTTTATAAACTTTCAGTTAGTAATTGTTCAATGCACGAAGCATAAACCTTTAGAGAAACTTCTTTGCAATTGAAGATTGTTGGCTACAAAATGCAGAAACAAACCTTCTATTAAACCGAATTGGCATATCGATGATCATTGTATGAATCATCTGAAGTCTGAAGCAGTAATTCTTGATCGAATAGGCTGATTTTTTTTTATTAAAGACAGATTATTTACTAAACTGTACTTTCATAAAATTATATCAAGAATTATTTATGTATTTAATGTAAATCAACGTAAAATTTATTAAGCAATCTTTTTAAATTAAAAATGTCAAAGAGAAATCAAATGACATTCACTAGAACTCTAATTGTATTTCAGCCACCACATCAAAGACATGTCTTAACTTACCTTCGCAGAAAAGTATGTGCGTACATATTTCTAGGCTTTCAGCACTAATAGTGTTCACTACTG